TTCTCCCCTATCTGCTAAAGGGTATCCTGGCGATACCCCACACTGCCTAGTAATAGCACAAAAAAAAAAAATGCAGAGGGGAAGGAAATTCGATTAGAAGGGCGAGGGGAGGAATCATACTTGTGGCTTCTAAGCTAGGTGGCGCGAGCTACCGCCCGTTATAGTGTCCATGTTTCGTCGCTTTTGCTAGAAGTGCAAAGGCTCGTCAAACCAGTCGAAACTCGAGTTTCGACAAAAGTTATAGCTAAGCTGGTAGTGCGGCGAAAGCTACGCGCCCGCAGGGAGCGGGACCAGGTGGTGAAAGGGAGGCGGTTGAATCACCCGCCTACCCCGTGCTGCCACCGCACTGCCAGCTAGGTGAATGTGCAGAGTGCCGCAGGAAGGCACTCTAGGTGAACGGGGTATGTATATATCACGACGGAACCACACACGGCCGATGGCCACATTCCGAAAGCATACTACCACCAGGAATAAATAGCCCGGCGCGCTGGTGTCACTGACATTTTATCGCCCTAGCGACCCTCGCGCGGAGAGTTCACGTCCACAGGAGGCGAGCTCGAGCACCCCCCGAAAGAATAACAACCAAAGCCAGACAGCCTCCCGACATTTGCTTTCTGAGATAGGACCGCTCGTTGCTTCGTATTCCTCCCTCCTCGCAGCTGAAAACATCTAAAAAAGAAAAAAAGAAAGCGAGGCACAAAAAGCCCCTAAAACGTAGTCGTTCCCCGGAATCCAAATACCGCGGCGCTTCAAACGTAAAACAACAACCCCTTGGCGCCGAGAAAAACTCGGAAAGCAGACGGCGGACCAACCCCTTCACTTTCGTCTGCTCCTCTTGTCTGGGGGATAATTCCTAAACTCGAAACATAAAAAGGAGCATAAAGCAGATTTTGATAAACATGATTTCACCGAAAAGAAAAGAAAAGCTGCATGATATCGTTGTTTTTTAGCCGTAAGAAATTCACAATAAACGCACAAAAAAAAAAAAAAAAAAGAAAGCAGGAAAAAAAAAAAAAAAAACACTACGAGTTTTCAGAACGTGCGTTTCTGAAGACATTGTAAACAGTATTTAGAGTGGTAAGGTACCGGGCTGGACCGTGAAAACAGTTTTACTAGCTCGTTCCGATGACTCCTATGTCCATACACCGCCGCCGCCTTTGTGCATGCATCGTATAGTTATCGAGGATATTGAAACGATCTACTAAAACGCTCTAATATAGAGTTTTAGTAGATCGTTCCGATACTTTTGACAACGAATGATGCACGTGCAAAGGCGGCGGCGGAGTATCGTCATCGGAACGATCTGCTAAAACTCTCTAACCGAAAGTTGGTATTTCGGACTGAAAAAATAAACTATAGGCATCACAAAAAGCTGAAACTGCGTGAGAATTATTAGGGAGTTTTCGTATACCGCGTCCCCCCCTCCCCTCCGCAGCGAAGAAGCCGGTACTGCGCCTGCACGCCAATGGCCTTGACTATAGAGTCTCGGGTATCGTAGAAAAAAGAAACAAAACACATTCACTTGTCAGTAAGCAAGAAGACATCGTTAGCTTTCTCGCTAAATTTTTACAGCGGAGGAGCTGTTAAGGGATAGTGTCCGCAGGATCGTGTCCGTCAGCGAACAAATGATGACACCAAACTCTGGACAGCTACCGCCATCTAATGGTGACGGCGGCAACCTTTCGAGCCTTTCCACTCCGGCTCGCCGACTTGCGGCCGGCCATTACTTCATTCTCCCACCATATGTAGTACAGCTTCGGTATAGTCTTCCTTCTCCACCAGAGTGGAAAGGCTGAACGTTTTTATCTTATTTTTAAATAAACACTAAAAGCGGTCAGAAACTCAAATTTCGGTTTGATAAATATTAGTCCTATAGGTGGTCGTCGGCTCGCAAAGAATTTCCGTTTTATCTGTTCATTCGGGTAATGCCACGTGCTCAAGCTTTCGCATTTCATCCCAACCGCTAGCGCCACATTCACACGAAGTTCCAGCTTTCTGCGATGCCTAGCCTATTTATGCGAGTCGAAAAGCCGGGTTTCGTTTTCTCGATCCGACCCTAGGGTAGACTGCAGCTTTGACATCGGCTGTATGTAAATCTTACGCCTATCGATTTGTCCACCGCGCATGCGACGAGCAGAGGGAAGGCATTGGAAGCCTCTTCATGGAAAACTACCGACGTTCATTAAATGATAAATTGAAAACCAGGTCCGCCGTTATTGGAGGCCCGCTGCCTGTTTGTGGGCGGCACCCTACTAGCGAACCGACAAATAAATTCTTACGTCGTTTTTCAGCTGCCGCACGCGTCAGCGGAGTGCTCTGGCAAGAATCGATTTCCGACGCTGAAGAATCACCGTGAGCAGACGACATCGAAGTCTTCCGGCACCAGATTCCCGCACATGTTTTATACTTATACATATAAAGTCCGCTTTACAAAGTTGTTTAAAAAAAGGCGTGGAAGTTACACTTGTGTGGTCTGTTCGGGTGAGTTATATGGCGAAGGGGATATGTGGGTGGCTAATCTTTGCGATAAGTCGGTTAATTATTTTGACTCGGTTAATTAACTTTTTAATTAGTGAGACTAGAATTATGGTTCCAACTATAAACCTACTGAGCGTCATCGACAACCACTATATCTGTCAATTTTAGAGCGACTCGTGGGAGGAAACTCGGGGGCGCACTAAAGTTACCACTTGTGCAGCAGGCGCAAAGCTAGCAGCGGCAAAACGTGATGACAGTCTAATCATCGGGTTCTGCCACTGCTAGCTCTGCGCCTGCTGCACGAGCGGTAACTTTGGTGCGCCCCCGAGTTGCAAGTCGTTCTGAAATGAGTTGATTTAGTGCTTTTCGATTACGCTCATTAAGTTTCTAATAGGAGGCATATGTCTATTTTCACCAATTAAAAAGTTAGTTAACGAATTTTAACTAATTAGCCGACTTATCGGAAAGAATAGCCACCCACATACTGTCCCCCTGGCCGTATAACTAACATGCACAAACCGCATAAGTGTAACTTTCACGGCGTTCTTGAAACAAATCTGTAAAGGTTGAAAAAAAAAAAAAAAAACACACACACACAAAAAAAATTATATATATATATATATATATATATATATATATATATATGAATGACTTTTTTTTTTCTTTAGCGAAGAGTGACAAAAATTCCTAAAATTAGTGTATTCGAGGTAAAGTTACCATGAGTGGTAGGTAACTCTTGCGCACTACGACGCTTCTCACGCGCTCAAAGTCTTTCTAAAAATTACCGATTTAGTGGCTTTCGATGACGCTCTGCAAGTTTCAAAATGAAACCATATGTTTATGTTTACTAATTGAAAAGTTAACTCGTCATTTTTAAATTAATTAGCGAACTAATAAGTAAGTGTCGCGCAGTTTCTGACGTCCGCCACCACGAGTAATGCGGTCCGGGGAAATTATCTTTTGACCTCGATGACACTAATTTTAGGAACTGTTGTCACTCTTACGTGAAACACCCGGTATACAGTTTTTCCGTTTGTCGCACAAAAGCAGCAACCTTGATCGAGAACAGCCACCTCCCAGTTTGTTGCGACACGCGCGTTCCAGCGCTATCGGTTCATCGCACAGTTTGCGCTGATGGACGAGGTCTAATCGAGGGTCGAGTGAATTAAACGGTGATTTATCGACGGACCAATTTATTTCCGCGTTTCTGTGCCGAAAGTGGGAGTGTCGGCCGGTTCTCCCGAAGAGAAGGTAAAATAAATAAATACAAAAATATCGACGGTCAAGTAGCGACTATCGGTCAGTCCAATCTGCGTTTATTTTCGCAGCTAACCAACTCAGGCTCGACACATGCAACCGTAGTTTCCCGACTATAAGCCGCGGACTGTGCGAAGTTCGACGTTCGAGCTAGCAGCACCTGTTCATTTTTGTATCGCTGTAATGCGCCTATTTTCACCGACAGATTTCGCACCTGGTCCATACTCTTCTGCGTTCTTTTCTTCGCGAATCCGTGACTACGACCACCGGAATTCGAGGGTGTTGCTCCCGAGTAAAGAAGGTCTCTCGCAACAAGTTACGTCCAAAACCTCGTTCTACGCGACCTCTCGTACAAGGTGCCGCCAAAAGAGCGATTGCAATCATCACCAGAGGCGTGTCTGGTCCGGAACGGCCGGAATTGAGAACGCGTTCCGGAACACACATACGTACAGAGAGAAAACTTAAACAAGAAAATAAAAAGAGGTCCACACACATAACCCCCCTCCTTTCATGACGAAGGCGGTTTTCAAAACACAAGTATATATATATACGTGTATATAAAACTGCGGCGCGCAAGAGCGATGTGGTAGCTCCCGTCCCATTAACCGAGATGACGATTCGTAAACTCTTTTCAGCAACGAGATAAACAATAAATAAAGAAGGGTCACATTTTCGAGACAACCGCCTTGAACGAAACCAAAGGTAGAAGGACAACAAAACAAATTCCACAGGTAAGGAGATCTTAACGACCCGCCCCCTCCAGAACAAACAGAAAAGCTAGAGCAGCATCGGATCGGCTTTCGGATCCATCCTGTCACCCGAGTGCTCCCATCCCGTCCTCACACAAGGAACTGCCAGAAGCATGCACCCGTATAAAACACGATTAAACCGAGAGCGTAGCTGGCCGGTCGTTTCAGTTCGCGAAAACTTTTAGTGCGTGGATTTGGAGAGCGAAGACTTTTCTCGTGCACGGCTTTGCGAACATTGAGAACACTTGAAAAGCTACTTGCGGCGGGCGCGACTTCACGGGAAAAAAAAAAAAAAAAAAAAGCAACAACACAAGGCCCGGATATTTAAATGTTTGGTTCTCCTAGATCGCGTTTAGCATTCTTAAAATGCAAGTTGCGTCACGTGCGACGCCGTTTTGAGCGTTTTATAACGAGACCCCGTCACGATAGGTATCTTACCGATGGGGCAGGCCGAGCAAAGCAGCTAAAACAAAGGGACCATTGAAGAAAAAAAAAAAAAAAACTTTGGGAACTCACTTGGCTTGGCAGCGTGTGTCAGGCGAAGTTATTATCCATGTGGGAATGAAGTTCCAACTTCAAAACGTTGCGAGGCGCACGATGTCTCCGAGTCGGCGCTCAAAAGTGAGTCATGCCTCGCACCAGCCTTTGTACGCACAAGCACGACGGTAGAATGAAAAAAAATTCGTCATACGCTCGCGCTCCGCTACCACCGCAGCTCACGGTTCTTGTGGCTGCCATGGAAAAACAGAAAAACTCCATGCCAGATACCGGAAGTGACATAAACCATTTCCGCTCGTGACGTCCACTCAATGTTACGAACTTCGAGAAGATGTCGCTCCAAATGCTCCAAATAGTAATGAGGTTAAAATTTTCCTGGTCAATAAATTTAAACTATAATAAATATAAACATTTTTCACAAATTGTGTTTTAACGAAAAACAAATGAATGAATTGCTTTACCGAGTCTTATTTTTGTTTTTTGGATGATTTACGAAACAGAGAGAGGACTGGCTGTGTCATCGATTATCAACAATCATGGCGCTCAGCACGAACGGGCGGATCAGCCTTTACTGTTTTTGTTTAGCGGCTAGCGTCGTATTTATTTCACTTATTGGATTTTTGAGTCAATTGCTGTACTACGTGGTTGAAGATTACTGGTTACTACTAGCGGCCGTGTACTCCGTATGCATCCACGGAGTCCTGTACCTGTTCTACAAGCCGCGTGGGTATGCGTACAAGGTAAGCGTCAAATATCGTTGCGCTTGACGTTCCGTTCTCGTCATTTGCGAGCGAAAACATTTTATTTTTCTGCGTGTGCACGAGTTCCAAGTCGTAATGTAAGCATTCTAAACATGTGTAGTACGCTGTGCGCAGCGCACTCCTACAATCCTCGAGTCCCGAGGTGCTACCGGTGCGGACTGTCACAAATGTGTAGCTGAAACCGCCGCGTGGGACGTATTTGAATACGGCTCGCCTACGATGGTTTACATTTGGGCTTTCGCATCGAGCTTGTGACTCTGTGCAGCGCAGCAGCATCAAAGAATTGGAATATTTCGCCCGAATGTTAGTACTGACAAGTCTCGTGCGGTCAACATTACTAGATCAGCTCAGTTGCCAAGCTCCGCATTAGCCGCGCTTCGGAAAGCCGGCCCCCTCTGTTCGCGCGAGCGTTGTGGCGCTGTCGTCGCAGCCCGCCCGGTCCGCAAGGCCGGCCAAGCTTTGGGCAGGCTCGGGACGCTGGCTTTTCATTGCGAAATCAGACGGTCGACGGCCCTTGCGCACTCCTTTTAAAGAAATGGACTCTGCAAGTAGATTCTCCTGCAGCCACATGATTGTCATTATGCACGTTTAGGATTTCTTCGATTTTTACTCTATAATTCATCGGATAGCAGCTTGGGTGCCTAGCTTTGGGTCTGGCTTCGAAGTGTGATTCTATATTCGTGTAATATCAAAGTATAACGGGTTTTATGTCATAGTTGATGCCTCTCATATTCGTCTATGACCAGCATCCACAAGCAGGGGCTCGCGTGTGCTGCCCGCGCCGTAGGCAGTTCTCGACAAACGCTCCCACTCGTCACAAGAAAACAAACGAAATGCCTTTTCTGCCTTTTTCTTGTTACCACGACAAATCTTCGGCAAGGTTAAAATTGCAGATGAATACCGTGCAATGTTTATTTCTTTTTGCATGAAAAAAGTCGCGAGCAGAAAGCACAATACCAAGACTGAAAATACCTGTATTTGGCGATCACAGGACCCCAGCTTCCTTGTTTGCTACTGACTGCCACCGGCCGTCATCTCTCAATTGATGTATCTCGCGTAGAAGAGCATTTGCGTTACAACGAAGAGGCATTGCAGTTTTCAAAAGTGGTCTTTGCACCCCAGGCTTCCTAAGTCGCATTTTCAGGGTAGCTAAAATGTCTTTATTTTGGCTTGAAATAGATTGCAGAAACGTCGCGAGGTCAATAAAACTACATTATAATTTTATGGACAACTGCAACGTTAAGAAAATAGTAGTTAACATGAAGCGAATTTAAACTAACGTGCGCTTATAAACACGTCAACAAGCATGTTGCTGTCAGGCACATTGAGCATGCATACGCTTACACAAATGAACTCGTTTCACATAGTCAACGAGGGTGTCTCACAATTCGTGTACTGTTGCCGCGAAGCTGTAGCAGGTGCTGTAAAATAACGGTTCTAATATCTATCGCACAGTCACACGTAAATCTCCAAATATACACTCACGAATCCGCGCTGATCAGCTGATCGGAAGTGATGTCTTGAAATTCTTACCCCTTAGTCACATGTCTTCGAAATGGCATGAACACGCAAGGGAGCGAGGTTGTCGCACACGTAAATAACGCACGAGAGGAATAACTCAGTTGTTTTCACCAGTAGCAAGCCTCGAACAAAAACAGCTCGATTCTTTCAAATGACAAAGACGTCTTCAAATTGACATTCTTTCCTAATGCGGCTTTGGTATGTATGCAGCAGTTTACGCTTGAACTTAATACACAAACACAGAACACCAGTAAGTTCATGGTATTTTGGTCCGCAAATTACCAAAACACAATGGTCCATGTGCCAGAAACCAAGAACGATAGGCGCAGCCATTTCTCCAAGTTGCTTGCCTTGGTGCCGAATGTCGGAAAACTGCCGAAACTAAGAAGGCCCGGCGGGCGTAAATTTATCTCAAAGGTCCCAGGAAATGTTCTCTCAATCACGACATTATCACACTGGCAACAATACACTTTGTGAACCCACACAAAAACAATGTTTCACAACGTATTTATGGGTATACTAGGCCAGTCAGACCAGACGGGTCGGGCAGGCTTGGACACAAGCGCCGCTACGCGGCAGTGAATGGCAGCGCATCACTTTTTTCTCGGAGCTTGTCAACCTCTTCGATCCAGTAACGTTGGGTGCAATGGTGTGCAACGACGAAAACAGGAAATCTCCAAAAATACGAGACAGTGAAATAGACCATGTAGAATATGCAAATATTTAGGAATATGCCTCAATGAGGGACGGAAATATATAGAGGAACACAAAGAAAATATAGTTTGAAGAAAAGAAATTAAGCTATTATGAAACTCAAGGCGCTACGAAATTGTAGTAAATACGTAGTCAGGGGTATTGGCCTTGAGATCGACCCAGAGGTGGTGCTACTGTCGCGCTATCATCATCATCAAAGCGGGGATAGAAGCACGGCCGCGCCATAGGCTCTCCACGTTCGTGCACAAGAAGGCGTAGATTCTTGAGTTTATTTTGTCGCATATTATCGGTGGGAAAACAATTCTAGCGGAAAAGGGTGCGGTATTGTTCGGTGCTTCAGGGAAGATAGAATTGTGTTAACAGCGTACGGCCTAAATTTTAACAATCGCTTGTGTCGATGCGTCGTCTCCTCTAGGCAGACGTTGGAAAACATGGATCACCATGATGCCTGCCTGTCTCTGGCTGAACTGCACTGTTTATTTTAAATATTTGTTTCTTTCAAAATATATGTATCGGTTCACCAGCGTGGGAATTCAACAAAACAATGAATTCCAACCATGATAACACAATACTGGTACTGTGGGCCGTAAAATCGCAGGTTCTGTGCATTTTTCTTAACTTTTAGCTTTTGCAGTAATATAAATATTTAGCATGAAGAGAAGTTAGTTCTGTATTGGAAATCGCCGTGCTATTGAGTTCCGCTGCAGCCAATGTTTCCCTTTACTGCACCATTGTGTGGGTAAGTTTTTCGGAGTCGGAACCATTCTACTACGTTCCAAGAAGGAAAAAGTGGCCTTTCTATTTACGATCCCCAAATTGTATGTTGGCAGGACAACTGAAACAAGTGAAAAAAAACTGTAATAATATATCTGCTGCGAGTATAATAAACGAGCGTAACCGAGCAATGTAGTAACGTTGGTATTGTTCAATGATTTTCTCGGTAGCGTAGGTTCACCCGCTTCAATTTTTTTGGTGAAGGCCACAGATGTCAAGAGGCTAATGTTATAAATTTCTAGCTAAATAATCTTCTATTCAAACGCAGTAGACTCTGCAACTCCAACTACCTGCACCACGACACAGACAGCATGGGCCGCAGCCACAATTTTACTGATGAGGGCTAGCGACCTTCACGAGACTTTCCGATCACCCTCTGCCCTCACCTAATGCATATCAAGACTGGGCAGTTCGTCGATTAACCTTCAGATTATTCAAATGATGCTTAATTTGTGATTTTTTTAAAATGTTTATTCGGAATTTTGTGCTGGAGAAAGTCAGCAAAAAGTAAAAAATGCCTGCTTTAATACTTTTGACGTCTTTATTTCTTTTAGGACACAGGCTTGCACGGTAAACCACTTCAGCGTGCCTGTGATTGTCATCGAGGGTGATTATACTGTTTAAATAAAAACTTAAAAATTACTTCATTTTAAAAGGCTTTCCATGTTCATACTTCTGTAGGCATCACAACATGAAGTTTAAAATGGAATTGCAGTATGCCATTCATGACACAGTAAAAATAGTAGAAAGAAATGTGTAGTTTTTTTACGTCTTCCATGCAAAAAGACCGGCGAAAAATCAACTAACGGATTTATCGATTGATTTGTGTATTAAAGGGTAGCAATCAGGTGGGGTGATTTTTCTGTTTAAACTACAGCTCCAATCAACATTCAATGTTTTATGAAATCTATGGTTTGTGCAAGATATAAAAAATATGTGGGTCCAGCGGTTCTATACAAACCAACACAATAAGATTATGGAAGCTTGCGACTTAATAATAATCGCTTTTCTAAATTTCTAAGCATGTGAAACCAGACAACACAACAATCACACAATAAAGACATCAAACATTTAATAAGGAGGGTCAAGCTCAGCCGGAAACGGGCTTGCGTCTTCGAGGTCCATGCTTTTGAACGTGCGCCCGTAGCAGACGACGGACGGCGGTATCCCCGCTTTCGCATGTTCCCAATTTCGGCCGCACGGTGGCGACACGGTTCGATCTCGAGGTGAATATGGAAAGGAGTAATGGTGCCAGGACTATCGTGGGCAATGGGGTACTGTGTATGCAGGGGTTCAATCAGAATTGGAAATTTGACCAAGCGTGGTCAGGTTAGCACTGGGGACGCAGGGGGGAACTCACCAAATGAGGAAGTGCAGTGAGACATGGGCTGCTCGTCCTTTGAGAGAAGAAAGGAAATTAGTAAATTCAAATTTGAAGTAAGGTTAACTGAAATGGATGATACCCGATGGGCACGGAAAGTATTAAAGTATTTATACATAAAAAGATTAAACACATATTTGACTAACCAAACCCGAAAGCTGAAATTTACCTAAGTACCTGCACGCTAGTGATGAGGCTGAGCAGACTAGTTCAGTGAAAAGGGGAGTGAAAGAGGCAGAAAGGAAAGTGTGGAGGAAAGAATGCAAGGAAAAACCAGATTTGACAATCTGCAAATCACAAAGAAACGTCCCGTTTCTTTGTGATTTGTAGATTGTCATCTACAAATCACATTAATCTTTGTGATTGTTTTGTGATTTGTAGATAAGAAAGGAAAAGGTGTTTGGCAATTCACATGGAAGTTCGTTGCTATTCGAGGGGAGAACGGGAATGGTAAGGACAAAGACGTATAGGGATAAATTTCAGGAGGTAGAAACATTATGTGCTGTGTACCATAGTGAGAGTGAAATGCTTGAACGTTTCGTTTTGAAGTTCACGGTGCTTCGCCCTGCCCTCCCGAAAGGGGTAACGGATCTGGCGGGGGCGCTGGGTTTTGTTGGCAGGAATGAAAGAATTGAGGAGAAAAGGATTACAGTCACAAAGGGGAGGTTAGAAGATTGGTAAAAATTATCAAGGGAAAATTGAATGAAGTAAAACTAACCAGCACAGCTGGGGACAGGTGGGACAGAGGAAAATTCGGATTCCCTCCCTCGTGGTTACAGCCTAAAGTCTCAATCCTGTCTCCCAGGGGGGCCTGGTGTTGGACTAATGCCGACTATGGTAGGCTTCACCAGAGGAAAATTGGCAACTCCCTTGCCGAAGGGTCGTCCCCGGCAACGAAGTCGGGTGATGTTTTGAGGTTCTTTGCCCTATCTCTAAATGTCATCCTGATGATATCCCACCTTGCCTGGTGATAGAAAAATGCAAAGGCAAAGCAAATTGAGGTAAAAGGGCAAGGGGAGGAATCATACTTTTAGTTTCTTGGCCAAATGGTGCAAGCTACTGCCCATTTTAAAGGGTTCAGCCATTAGCCATCCATCCATCCTTCGAATAATTTGTGTTTGCTATGTTGTCGTCCTTAGTTGCGATGCTGCAACACAAGGTTTTCCTTTACGCACAGTATGGAGCACCCACGACAAAGACTTGAACCGGTTTGTGTCTACGAAAAGGTATTACGAACATAGAACCAACCTGATGAAGGTACAGGAGCCTAATGTCGTGTTCTGTCTATTGTTACGGAGTTTAACTTGCTAGGTATGTTCCATTGATAGATTAGAATAGATTGTCTGTCGGCCAGTGCCGTCTGCATGTAAATCAACGTTGTCCTCGGTGGTTTTTGGTATGCGCCTCAGCCGCACCGCTACACCATTCCCTCTCTAAGGTATTTAGGATTACTTTTTTTTTTTTTTTGAAGGTTCCTTCCGCTTAATAGCCTCGCCACATTCAGTGAAAGCCAGAGAGTTATGCAGGTGTTGTTGCTAATGCTCTCTTTTGTACACTCACAAAACCCACGCCAACGTCACAGTTCGTCCACAACACTAAAATTTGCATATCACGCTTTTTGAAGTTGATGGCGGAGTCGTATCACCTGGCTGCTTCTGTTTTATGACACCCCTGGTGGCATGTCTGAATTTAATTTTCATATTGGTGCAAAACACCCTGCACATTTGCACATTTTTACAATCAACACTGAAAATGAAATGCCCTGGTAAGGCTGAAATTCAGGAGAAGCTATAATGTTTTGTGAAGATTGCCGCTCATGACCTCGTTCACCGAATGGCCATAGCGACGGTCAGAAAAATATTTGAGTCCATCGCGCACTTACGCACCTTCATGGCTCGAAGCTCTGGGATGCCAATCTGGCCGTCGGCCAACATAGGATATCCCTTTCAAGTCAAGAGTAGTCATATGGAACATGGTGAATAGGTAATTTATCCGTTCGGGAGGTCCAGCCTGAAGACATACGGCTTCACGTAATTCAGCTGCGGTCCTATGGCTTCATGAAACGCCGTCGCTGACCACGTCACGGAGGACCTTCTTCCTGAGAGGATGCTTTCTGGATAGCATAACTTGCGGTGCCAGAAATTTCACTTCTGACACCAATGTTATGGAGTTTATTTTTGCTAGCTGTCGTCAATTGCCAGATTAAAATAGACTGTCAGTCGGCCAGTGCCGTCTGCTTGCAATTTGTCGTTGTCCTCAATGGGTTCTGGTACGCGCCTCAGCTGCACCGCTACACTACACTTTGGCTCGCCCTGCGGAGGACTAACGGCCAAAGCTATGGGCCGCCAGGTCCAATAACAAGCAAGTTAGAAATCACGTGGTATATTTTTCCGACGTGCATATCAGCGTGCACGTCTCGGAGCATGATAGGCGTGTCGGACCAACACGTGTTTCCTAATTTGCTCACGATTGGACGTGAAGGCCTGTAGCCTTGGCCTTTAGTCTGTCGTAGGGTGAGACAAAGTATAGCAAAGGGCATTTAATAATGGTGCACCAGTCTCAGTTCCACTGTGGTGCCTCAGGATGCATCTCCGGCCTGCACCTTCATTTGTGGCCCCTCGATTCCACTTGATGACGTCACATAAGTGTCATGCTGCTGCCTGCCTCAATGGTGGTGACACAGCAGGGGAAGTTGATGTGGCAGTTGCCTGTTCTGCTGCAGCTCATTCTGCAGCCAGACAGTTCATAGACTTTTCAGCAGCCAGGAGGAGTTGGGACGTTACGGCAACAACGGCGTCTCCGTTCGCGTGTCTTTTTTTGCCGCGACTTTCACGGCTATTTGCCAGGATTGCGACATCGAACAGCATGACACGCTGGTTCCTGTGACCTAATTTGTTGCTTATTCAAAACCACTTTCGGTGCATGGGCAGTACAGGTTACTAAACACATCAGTCAAAGGGCCGCCTCGGTGGCTCCCAAGCAAAGCGCCGGCCTACAGATCCCCAGGTGACAGGTTGAAATCCCGGCCACGGTGCCCGCAATATGACGTAAGCTTATTGTGACATGTAACCGAGCTTTCGGTTGCTCGTCGAAAGATCCCCGGGTGGTCTAAATAAATCCTTAGTCTTCCGCTGGGGCGTGCCAGATGCCCATCGTTGGTTTGGCACGTAAAAACCCCAAATTTGACTTTTGTTTACACACCAGTCAAAGATGCATTCCAGGCACCATAGTTCCAGAATGTTTAGTTTATGGTCTCCATTTACCCATAAGATGCCAAAATTGGGATCTAGACTCGTTTCCGAGAGGACAGGCCCCTGAACTTTCGCTTCAGCATCTGTGAACAATAGAGCGAGTCTCGCAGAGAGATCCGGAGCGACCCTCGTGCCACTTCGTTTGTCGACGTGGCCTTCTATGCTGACCCCTCCGTCTGCCGTTTCTCCTTCCGCCGTCGAGCAGATCGTGTGGCGAGCGGCCTTGTTGGGCACGGGCTGCGGCGTGGGCGTGCTGACCACGCTGCACGCCTCGGAGTCGTGGCGGGTGTTCGGCTGGTACCTGACGGCGCTGAGCGTGTTCCACTTCTCGGAGTACTTCACGACGGCCGTCACGAACCCCAAGTCCCTGAGCCTGGACTCCTTCCTCCTCAACCACAGCAGGGAGTATGGCGTGGCCGCCGCCTGTAGCTGGGTCGAGTTCCTCGTGGAGAGGAGCCTCTTCCCCGGTACGTCGCCTCTACGAGTCTCGCTGGGAAGGCTCTTCCATCCGTAGTTTATTTATTTATTGACAGTGCGGCTTTCCACTGAAAGTCATAGAAGAGTGGTAAACAATGTTAAAAATATGAGTAAAGACGTGAATATGCAAAAAACGGACTAAAAATTTGTGCCATTAGGTGCAGCAGTAAAATGTTTATTAGAAGAAAGCATTGCAATATAATTTTCAGATGAATTCCAGTCTTGTATTACCCGAGGGAATAATGAATATTTGAAAGCATCACATTTATATCTGTCTTGCTCGATTGTTGCAGTGTGAATGACCCTGGCTGATCCGGTGGATGAAAAGGTTATCTTTTCTTCCATGTCAGTATTCATTTAGAGCGTGATCCCAGCATAGTTAGATTTTCAATGCAGCCGCAAGGCCAGATCAAACGCCGACCTAGAGAATCGTCTTGTGCCAGGCTGAAGACCCTTTCCCGGTGTTCCTCTCCTCACTCCCTCTTGCACCCTTCCAACACCTGCTCTTCTCTCCCCTCCCCAAGGGAACAGGTCAGGTTGGCGCTTCTCTTACGGAGCGATAGTTTCTTTGTCGCCATCTAAACTAAAACAAATCGAGAAAGAATCATATTGCAAAGAACACATTCGCGTCTGCCGTTGACGTACAAAAAAGATTGTGCTTCGTGAAACACTACTTTTTTACCACCATTAGCGTATTAATCGTTAGCCCGGTGTTTTTTAGTCATTAGATAATACTATATTTCGCAAAAAGTGCGGGGCCCAAGTTGCGCGTAGGGCCGAGCCACAAGGCCCAACATCCAAGAAGAACGCTCCCACCACGTGGCCATGCCGCCAGGAGAGCGGTTGCCACGCTGGGTTTGTTCGCCGACTGCGACGAGTACGAGTAGTGACACCATACCAGACAATGATATACACTCTATCTCACTAGTTGGGTGCAGTACTGCGGAAGCTACGGACGAGAGAAAGAGGAAGGTCGCTTTTGTACGAATTTTGAGCGACGGGCTAGTCTCCGAGGGAGAACAAAGCGATGAGGGGTTCACAAAAGAGGGTCCGTGTAGGAAGCCGATTTCCTCCTTCCCCTCTTCTCGAACTGCCTGGGTTACGGTCTCGCCCCTGTAGTTTTGGCAACGCTGCGTGCAGCTTGTGATATAGAGTATGGATCAGTGGTTCTCAAGCATGGATGTGTCGGGGATCCCTCAAGGACCCGCTTTCCCCCCTGGCAGTGGGGGAAAGGAAGGGTGGAGTATAAAATAAGACAACTAATTGCAGTGTGAAAAGGGCATCCTTTACAGTTATAGACAGGAGAAGCATCAAATAAAAGGATGAATGGACGGAAAGATGGTTACGGCTATACCCTTTATAACGGGTGGTAGCTTGCGCCATCTAAGCAGGGTGAACAAAAAACATTTTTTTCCCAAGAAAAGACGAGGGAAGGGGGGGGAAGGGGGTTGAGGGTTGAGGCGAGGGCTTCTCGAACCCCAAGAATGGCTTCGTGGACTCCAGCAGATCCGCAGAACCGCGTTTGAGAACCGCTAGGAACGGGGGTTCCCTAAACACTCTGCGGCCGAGCGAACAGCATGTGTCATGGGCACAGTACTGCGTCGACCGGAGAGTCAAAGAGGCTGCACGTCGACGTTCGAGGACAGCAGCACGCATCCTTCGCCTATCGAGTCCAAGAGAGAACTTAAGCGCAGGCGGACAGGCTGCCTCACGATGACTAATTTTCTGAGGGAGGACGAGACCTCCCCACACAGGATGCGAGAGAGGAGATAGCGAGAGAGAACGCAGGACGGGTTATCCACTCACAAAAACCCTCGCGTGCGACAATGCCGAGGTAAATAGTGAGCAGTCACGATTTTGTCGAGGTTGAGGAATAAGGATTCCCCAACTTCAGTGGATTGAGGCTTTCAACTCCTGCGTCTTGTTCTTCAACTTGAAAGCTTACATTTTTTTACTCACCAGTCCCAAGTGTTACACGAAATGACCAACTATCACCAAGTCGCCTGCACACTCACTGTCTTTTCAAATGAGGATTCCCAAATTAGATAATGAGAGAAAAATAGACATTGGGAAGGTGAAGATAACCGGGCGCTTGTTACCCAACTAGCGACGTAAGTCTGAGGGAAGATTAAGCATAGTGCTATTCTTTTCCTGTCGGTACGTTAGGTGGAGCGTGTTTGCACCCGGCTGCAAAAAGGTGCATCCACCATGCGGATCATAACTTAAGATTTTTGTATACTGGGTAAAGGTTAACTGACAACGTTGAAAACGCTAGCTGGGTGCTGCGAGGCGCTGCCCAATTTAAAAGGTGTAGCCACAGCCATCCATCCATCCGTTACCCCTCAGAGCCAGAGTTTTTCCTGCAGGGCTGAAACAGGTCTGGTGGGTGAGCGTTCCAGGCCTGCTCATGTGCATCGTCGGGGAGGTGCTGCGAAAGTCGGCCATGCTGACGGCCGGCACTAACTTCAACCACATCATCCAGAGTCACCGGGAGGCCGGCCACGTGCTGGTCACCCACGGCGTGTACACCTTGTGCCGCCACCCGTCCTACGTCGGGTGGTTCCTCTGGTCTGTCGGCACCCAGGTGTGTTCCTCCCTCGAGCGGACAAGGGCTTTCGCTGGAAGAATGTGGCAGTGGCCTCTGGCATGTTGCTGCATTGTCCCACTCTGTACTTCTTCCTTTCTGGCTACTTTCTATACCTGGGGACAACTTCCTGTGGCTACGAAGCCGATGGTATGGTTGCCCGTGGGCTTGGGCACCTTGACCATTGATCAAAGTTGCACACGAACGCCCTTTACTTCTGAAATGCCACGGAAAGTTGTTCTTGAGCATAGTAGGCTGTTTTCCAAACTAGCCAAGCACCAGGGAGAATGCTGGGAACATAAGTACATGCACTTCACACACTCTCTTGATCAGATACAAGATTTAAAGTAAATAACCAAGATAAGGCATTGACGAACACACATGCAAAGTGACATGTTGTCAAGGTTTTTGCTTTAGAACAGTTTCTGCTGCAGACGCCAGCACGTGTAACTACACTCTCAGCATGCCCCTTCGTGCTTGGGCAATTGAGCAAAAGGTCTCGGAATTTCGGCATTTACCTGTGACGGGATTTGACGCAATAAGTGAGCATTTCTTTCACTGTTAGAACGCATTTGAATGCTGGCATTCGGCGTTTGCTTTCAAACAATGACTAACGACGAAGGCAGCTTGCTTTATGTCTACCCAATAGTGATTACAACTACAGTTCTGTGCTCTGATGTCCCCGCACTCTCTAATCTCCTCCTCTTCAGTTTCTATTCATATAGTCTATATGTCTCTACAACAATACTATATTTACTCTAGTAATAGATGCACTGTTTATGAACAAAATCTGCTTGTCCACTTCATCATGGAGCACATAGATAGCCAGTCATTGCAATTGGCGCAAGCTCAGAGATTTAGAGCACAGAGATAACATCCTCACACAAAAATGCATCTCGGGCAGATTGTATATTTGCAGATAATTGTTTTCTTAACCTTGTTATTTGCTACTTTTTTTTTGGAGAATGCGACGATCGACTGTATGTGCGCTCTACGTGAAAGTCAGCCTGCAGGCCTTGTTCATAAGCAGCGTGTTTATTACTCGAGTTGATGTTCTATAAGAAATAATGGCGCATTGTCATAAATGATGAGGTGACGAAACAAAGGATGACTGAGGGTACTGAAACATTTAATGGGGCGAACTTGTGCCCAAAACCAAAAAGGAAACGGAGGATAACAACAAAGTGTCGCGGGCGTCGAAGTCGGCGTAACAGCAGGATTGAACGCTGGGGCGAGACTGATAGTGGCTCGCCTTGTGGAGCCCCTTCTGTACACACGTGGGCTTCTTCTGGAACAGTCGGCGTAGAAGGTTCGGCGCGTAGAACATTCGGATCTCAAACAAGCAACAGGATTCTCGAATTTACCAGAACACTAAATTGCAAGAATATATAATAGATGCGTCGCTCCCAGGAATCGAGCCCTGGCTCTTTGCATGGGAGGCAAGCACGATAACCGTTAGGCCACGGCCGCGCTGCCTGCTTGGCCAGCTGTGCGCGCGGCAGTATTTGCATACAGGATACCAAGGTTAAAAATTAAACAAATGCCTAATGATTGTTCGAGTGTTCTGCGTATTTTTTTCGTTGCAATGCAACTGTGGCATTGTTTTTTTACTTTGTGAATGTTTTTTTTTTTATAAAACATGTAACAATTTTGTCAACATAAAAAGCGAAAATTTATTTAATTTTTCAGTGTAATGTGAACATTAAATAAATTACTTTTCAAAAAATTTTTTGTTCACAGTTGCATTTTTCAGGCATTCTGCCGCATATCTAGAGAACAAAAATGTTGGGTATTACATAAGTTTTTTAACGATACTTTTCCTAAACAATGTCAGTCTGTTCTTGACAAAAACAACTATACTCTCTTTCACAATTTCTTTCACACATAGATGAAACTTTGCACTGCATTCTGCCTTGCAACTGCTAGTATATACTGTAAATTTAATTCATATTATTTAGCCAAAGGTTCAAAAGTTGGCCCTTTTGGGTAGTGTCCTCCCTTAATTCGCAGACCATCCCCAGATGGCGCTCGTTACTCGAGAAAGGTCCATTGTAATGAAGTTCCCCTAGCATAGTTGCCTTGGCATGGCCATTACAAATATATTAATAATTGAAAACAAGCATGTTGGTGAATGGATACGAATGCATGAAAGAACAGAGGACAAGGACGGAAACAGGACTTCTTTCATTGAGCAACAACATAGAATGACACAAAATATAACACCATACCCAAAGCGGAGACACATAAGGGACGATACAGACAGGACTTATGTGTCTCCACTTTCTAAATGTTTAAAACGCACCAACACGCTCAAATAGTACAAGTTCATACCCAAAGGTTTCAACGTTCTCGAAGAAGGAAAGGAAAATATTGGTGAAGGAAAGAGAAATTTACTGTAAATTTAAAAGTTTAAAAAGCACTAGTGTCACGATGAGGTATCAGTAATTTAGATTACTGGTACCTTCTCGTGACGCTAGTGTTTTTTAAACTTTTAAATTTATAGTAAGTCTTCCTTTCCTTCACCAATTTTCTCTTTTCCTTCTTCGAGAATGTTGAAACTTTTGGGAGGCGGTTTTATATTTTGTGTCATTCTATGTTGTTGCTCAATGAAAGGAGTCCTGTTTCCATCTCTGTCCTTAATGTTCTATTCTTTCATGTGTTCATACAAATACATGCTCGGTTTTGATATAGCTTAATTAATTTAGATATTATTGAAGATTTCACCTGCGATTTTATGGGCAGGATTAAGTCAAATTGAAATATGGAAATCAGAAAATAAACATAGCTCAGTATACTAGGAGGTCTTCAGAATCCAATACGTTACAAATAAAAGCTCATTTTTTGGTTCCAAAACTAATTGTCACAGGAAATGCTAAAGGCATCTAAAAAAATACCTAAGCCATATTTAATTTACATACCTCAGTTATACAGTGTAACCTCATTGCAACAGATCTGGTTACAGCAGACATTTAGTTGCAACATACCACCGATTTGTCAAGTTTAGTTGGTCTTCTTTTGCCATTGAGCCAACTTCACTTATTACATATCCTGTTATAACATACATTCAGATATAATGGACCATATTAAAATACTTTTAAGTGGTTCACCATTCCATTATAGCAGACTCTTCGAGTCTGCTATAATGGAATGGTGGTGGGAATGGTAGCGGTATCGTCCATTTCGCAAACTGCTGTCATCGCTCTCGGCGCCTCCTGGGCCTTGTATGAGCAAAAGAGTGCACTTATGACGATCGTCAGTAAAGCTCAATAAGAAGTCAGTAGTTCTTTTCTAATACCGACGTCGAAGTCTTTACTAATAGCATCTGCACTCTGCATACTCCTTTTACGACATACCAAAATCTTTATCACTATTGAGGTCTGTTGTAATGAGTTTATACTGCACTTCAGTCAAGAAAAGAAAAACGAAAGACATATTAGTTGCATATTGTCACAAATAAAAATAGGACATGAATGTGAACCTGAAAATAAACGTTTCATGAGGCGAACTTGTGCCTACAAACAAAGAGAAAGGTACGACGGATCTTCCGTTGGCGACGAAAGGGCGACTGCCCGAAGCATAGTGTAACTGCTACTCTTATACATGTGGCAGGTTCAGGAACATTCTGTATTGGAACGCTCGATGGCAACCGAGAATGATCTGGAACTTTTCGGAAGAGTACAGAGTTTTAAAAGAAAGATCTGGGCCAAGCGGGATTTGAACCCCGTTCGTCTGGCAGCCGTGTGCGTTGCCAACTGCACCATGCAGGCGGCAGTATAAGTGGAAATATGGCTTCCGTAAAATAGCAAAGTATAAAAATAGTTTATTTTAAAATAACAGGAAAAAAATATTCACAGACCCATTTTACTTCACTTTCAGATCAGTATTTAGAAATAGGGCTTATTTTATTAAAATACCTGAGAAAAATTGGCTGTAGGTCTTTGGAAACACAATTTCAAAGATCTGTTATCTCCAGTATTTTCTCACATCAAAGGGCAGTGTCCCCCATATTTACATAGTGTCTGGCGAACTGAAAGCAAGAAAGTTGGAAAATACACACCAGGCACCCTCTCTTGAATAGGCCGGGAACTACGCTCTTGATTTTGGTTCTGTTCTTTGTTTACTCCCGTAAGACAGAGAACATTTTTCTCGTCCTTAACGCCAGAAGCTTGATTTCTGGCGATTAAATAGATTTCTCAAATGTTTTCTCCAATCTCCGAATTTTTTCAAATGCATGGTTGCACTCGCAGGTATCATAATTCATGAGGCACGTATGGGTGTTGAATTGTTTAGAGTATTCAGTCGAATGGTATACCGTTTCTCATTAGCTTCAAATGCATACTGCAATGAGTGAAATTAGAAGCCTTTTGTATAAATTGAAAGCAAGCTGAGGACCAAACTTCTGCCCTTAGCTTGTTTCATGATGGCCGATTCGGAGCTGAAAACCAAAACATGCTTACGGAGTGTCTTCTTGTCCCTCAGGTGGTGCTTGTCAATCCCCTGTGCATCATCGCCTATGCTTGTGCTTCGTGGAAGTTCTTCAAGACAAGGGTCGAAGAGGAAGAGATCACGTTACTCAACTTCTTCGGAGAAGACTACGTCCAGTACCAGAAAAGGACGTGCACGGGTCTGCCCTTCATTCGTGGGTTCCGTGCCGAATACTGACAATCCCTGCTGGCAAGAACCCCGCAGCCCGCTCGTCCGAAGTGATCCCGGGACCGATTCCTACGGGCAAGGCGTTCTTTGCGACAGCGGTTCTCTATGCCCGCTAATGTGCCATCTCCGAGAACAATCCCAGTCTTGTAAATTTTGCTTCACTTGCACCTCTCTGGCCGAACCTCATTGTACAGTACTGTGTGAAGGACGTAGAGGATGCATCCTCGATGTATCGTTGGGATTTGGGGTTGGTCCATCAAGAGGTATGTACACTTTGCGCAAAGTACTTCGGCATAAATCACTAAAATATGTCGTGGCATTGGGATTACAGGTGTAATCCCAGTAACTCACCAATGCACATCGTCGTACTGTAGGCAGTTTAATTTTAACGAATTTCCAGGATAGGAGGAGTTGCAGAAATCGATCTCACGAAAATGCAGTTTGCTAGAGGATCACCATCCCATTGCAGCTGCTCCATCTTTGTAAAATCTGTTATCGCAGAAATATTGAGCCCACGAAATGCAGGTTACGAGAATTGATGTGTGTTGTGTGTGCACAGGTCAAGTAAATGTCTTACTACTGCTGCAGATCAAACTTTCTTTCCCTATTAATGTAGGACACCAGTTCCTGCAGGGCAGTGATACTCTGCCACATTGTTGACCGTCAAGTCAAACACGGCTTGCAGACACATCTAATGCATCTTGCGAGCAGCTTCTTTTGTTCGAGTCCTTGCTACAAAAGAACATGGTGGTGAACATCAGCTTTTTGTAGGGGTGTGTGAATATTTGAAATTTCGAATACGAATAGAATATTTTCCTTATTCGAAATGTATTCGATTAGAAAATTGCATATTCAGAAGTTCCCGAATATTCGGCCAAAGCCGAATATTCGGAAAAGGCGGCGAATATTCGCACAAACTGTGAATATTCGAGCAAGTGCCAAGCCTTCCCCTATGAATGTTTATTCACTGAGAAAGGTGTATGAGGCGTGCATTATCGGTCTGCTCCATTTCTTTCTGTCCGATGGCAGCAAAAGAGGGTCGGTTTCGGTTTCTCTTTTACCAAGCCCTTTATTGTGTGGCACTTTTGTAGCAATATGTTATGTAACTGCGCGTTCTATAAATTGATACAATAAAATAAACCTCGAGAGTGAAATATAAATATTAAATAGATCTCGAGAGTGTTATCTAATATAAATGTCTGAAAATTAAAAAAAAAAAAAAAAGCTAGGTGCGAACAGAACATTGCATCGCCATTCACATCTTTTGCCACTCCCGCGCAACCAAAACTAGGGGTGTCACAAACTTTTGTCGAACCAGATTTTCAGGTCGAACTTTCGGGGTTCGACTGGGTCGAACCGGTTCGACGAACCTTCGAACTTTTCACCAGATTCAACCGGTTCGACTTTGTGGACAGTGTGGCCAGACCTTGTTATAAGCATGTCTAAGTTTGGAGAATTAATTTTTTATGCAAAGGGTTATTTTAATTTTGTGAACAGCTGCAATTAAAAGAAACTAATTCTAATCACTGAAGAAGTTAATAACTTAATTTTTGTACTGCATTAACTGAAATAACCAATCAGCGCTGCCCTTAATTCATCCCTTAGCCATCATTATTCAATCCGAAGCCAACTGGCCAGCCTGTTGCGCATGTGCACACGAATCGAACCTCAATACACGGTTCGTCGAAATTTCCACTAAAAGTTCAAAAGAGTCGAACCTTGGCCGGTTTGCGACACCCCTAGCCGAAACTACGGATGCCGCAAACCTGCCCAGGTTCGAGTGCGACCAAGTTCGACTTTTTCGAACTTTCAACGTGATGTTCGACAAAGGTTCGACTGAAGCTCGTCTTTTGTGCGCATAAGCAAAAATTAAAAACAAAAAAACACTAGTTGACTTCACCTGGCAAAGGTAAATTGCACTATTTGTTGGGTTTACAGGCATCGCTGGTTCACATTAATAACTAATGAAAGTGTTAAAAGCGCATATTTTCGTTTTTATATGGTGTAAACCAGTGATAACCATTTTATAAAATATAAAATAAACGACTTGCTAAATTATTTTCCAAAATTCGAAATATTCGTGTAGCATCCGGGCCCATAAGTCAAACTTCTTCAAACTTTAGTGAAATTTCGAATCACGGCGCGTAGGGAGCGCTTACTTTCTGAATACGTTGAGCAGTTAACTTTCCTGCACAATAATCTGTAATGAGTGCATTACTAGAAGTATCTTTAGCCTGCTGCAGCCCAGTAAAATTCAGTTGCATTGATTAATTTTAAAAAGGCAATAAAACCTGCTGTTACATCTTTTGTAAGTTTTGTTTACTAGTTATATATTCGATTCAATATTCGAAGCCCATTTTTCGTCTTATTTGTATTCAATTTGTATTGGAAAAATTCAATATTCGCACACCCCTAGCTTTTTGTTTTTGTGAGCATTGCACTTTTTTTTTATGAGCATCACACTTTTTTTTTTTTTTTTTTTAATAAACATGCAGTACTGTGGAGAAGAAAAAAAAAAAGAAATGGGCTGCAAATTTTGTTTTGTTGGCGGAGAAAAATTGTTTTCAATGTGTGAAAATAGTTTTGAATGTGTGATTCCTCCAGCGCTACATCAGAAACCGCGCTTCGAAATAAAACGTGCAAGCATTTTTTAAACACAATGTAAACTTTTTTTTTTTTTTTTTTTTTTTAAACGATGGAATTAGTTTTGCGTGTTCCGGCCTCCATACACGAGGCCCATTTCGTCCGCGCGCGTATGCCGCACGCGCAAGGTATCTTAAAATAACCCGCCGCGGGCGCTACGAAAAAAAAAAAAAAGTGTGTTTACAGCTTTGATGCGGACGCTGCGAGCGATCGGAGCCAATCGAGAGCCGAGATGAAGCACGTGACTCTCTGATTGGGCTCAGCGACTTACGGTGCGTAAAGTGGCGGGGCGCTCGCTTAGCGTTGGATTTGCTGCAATGACTCGTCTATGCATAAATTCTACGCCCGTTCAACGACAAAGTTAAAACGCTCAAATGTCTCGGAGCAATCAAACGGTATGCGGAGTGCAAGTTCGTCTGCTTCTTGGGCTGCAATAATATCAAAACGCCAAGCTCTTATTAACCGAAAAAAAAAAAAAAAGTGTAGTCCTCGAGGCATCTACCATTGAGGTCTACCCACTATTCTTCCAATCAAAGTCATTTAGAGCTCGGCGTCGTTGCGACGTCAACTCAACTCCTGGGCAAGAAGCAGACTTGCTCTCCGCAATGCGCTTCCTTTAATTAACCCTGCATTTCATCGAGATCTCTGCATACCTTACCGCGGAGTCAGATAGCAGAGCCCGAACAGAGAAGATTATCGCGTTGTAAAAACGATGAGAGGACATCCCGTTGCAAAACTTCCCAGATAAAGACTTCAAGCAAGTGCGACCTCGGCAAGTGTGCGACCCACACGCCTCTTCCTCGTTCCGCCACTGCAGGATCGACGCCCCGTCGGCTTTATCTCTCGCATCATGGGCCAGGAAGTTCCAGGTAAAGTTCTATCGTGAGTTTTATATTTGCGGAGCTTTATGTATATTTACTACAACCGACGTTGACGGCAGTTTTGATTTCGGTCGGACGTTTTCGGTTTCGGTTGTGCCGCGCGCGGCGGAATGAAAAGACCCGACAATGCGTCTTGCCAACGAACGTCGTCAGAAGAAAACGCAAAACCTATTTGCGGTCTGTATGGGCCATCAACAACGGTCACGCGACGTTATATACCTTACCCAAGTTATCTGCTTCATCGAATTCCGGCCTGATCGTGCACTTCTTGACCTCAAAACCCTTTTCGGCTTATCACTGGATGTTTTGGAGAGGTTTGATGCGAGTGCTTGTCTCGTCACGTCTTCATAAAATTCACTCAGTACGGGAGTTCATTCATTTTCACTCACTTTTGTTTTCCTTTTAAAGCACACATTTCCAGAGGCGCGCTTACGTATACATATATGGACAAATAAATCAGTACAAAAACAAACGTCAAAACATCTGGTTCGACGGAAGTGCCACCCGTGCAGCTGCTGGTGTGCAGCTGCCACAAATCGCACTCCGAGAGTACTACAAATAGATCGCGTTGAGCAGTGCGGTTTTGGTGTCCCCGCGGGAAAGTCACCGTGGTTGCTAAAACGGAACTTCGTGGCCATGACTGAGAATTCCGTTCGTCAAGGTGTGTACATTATTATTTTATTTAATTTTTTTCTGTAGTACCCACAGCCGGTCCTACTGCTAAGCGAAAAAGAAACAAGCTTTTTTTTTTTTTTTATTTTTTTTTGCTTTGGCAAGGTACTCTAAACTTTAAGGATATTTGGGAGTATATCCCCGAATATCAAAAGGACAGACAGGAGGAAATCTAAACTCTCCCCCCCTCCCCCCCCCCCCCCCCCCATCGCTAGTGCAGGGCGTCGAAAAGTCCCCGTTATATCGCTGCGCAACGAGATTACGCCATTGGCCAATAAGAACGCCAAAGATTGAAAGACAAAGCAAGTGGCATAATAATTTACTCCCTACATTTCTGAGTTATTAACTTCTATAATTTTGAGCTCCTTTCCCCCCGTTTCACATTTTGGCCGCCAGGCAGCGCCAGCTTTCGCGGCGCACTTGCATGGGTAAAGCTCCCTGCTTAACTCCTTCAAGTTTTTTCCGCCGGGTGGCGTCGCATCCTTTGGACTTGGGAAATACCTTCACAACTATTTAAATGAATTATAGTTCTAAGAGGAAGAAGAAGACATGTGCTAATGATTTCTACGGAACAGAAAGCAACAACCAAACATGCGTTTTGGACATGGGTGAGGCTTCAGTTTTGCCCGACGTCTCTGTTCAAGCGCAAAACACGCATACATCTCCATCGCAGATGACAAGACAGTACAGAAGCTGGTCCATTTGTCGCAAGAGGTACGGGCTAACGCATACTGCCCGTACAGCCAGGTGCAAGTGGGGGCGGCTCTACTGTGCGAAGACGGGACTATATACACAGGTAATGATCAACAGTATAATGTGCAAAATTATGTATTCATATCTGTCTCCGAGCTAATGCATGTGACCTCTTAAAACACCAACATTCATTTACTACATAAATTTCTTCTATTTGCGAAAAGGACACTACCTCAACAGGCCCAGAAATAGTGGCGATATCGTTGCCCAGAAAATTGCTCTACACTGCTGCAGCTGCCATTTTGTTAGTGCCAGCATAACACTTACTGCACGACACATTTAAAGGAGCCGTGCAACGATATTGGCTTGAAATGTTTTTTACCTTACACATGCTTACTGGCACTAGTGGGACCCCAGCACACTTGCACGCAATGCGACTTACCAAGAAACTTCTTTGTTACGGTGTAATTCCAAGGACAAAAGCGAGCATTTTCTTTCAAACTCTCCTTATCAAAACTTGACGACGTAGCTGGGGAATCGCAGTATCCCCCAGTGACGATATTTGAATGTGGCTCATAGATTGGACCCGAGCATTACGTGAGCACTCAATTTGGTCTCGGGATGATCAACAGCTCGACAAGCATTCGGGTATGGCCCGTGTCCAATCGCTGCAATGACGAAAACCGCCAACCATAACCTCTGGAACTCTGTGTGTGTCATGTGTGCGAAACATGACAAAGTGTACTGTCCTGTAGGCCTCACGGCTGTTGACCGGCACTAAATAAACTATCTATCTATCTATGTGCTTTGCCAACTCCAGCGCTTGGGTTTGACTAACATTGGTGGCCTATAATTGGCTCCAGAACATGCGGCCGCTTGTTCTGGCAACGAGTTGAGAAAGTGAGCGCTGCTTGTTTTCTTTCAATTTTTTTTCTGCGACTTCTATTCCATGTGGTGAGGAACTAACGTGTGTTTCATAGATCATTAACATCAGGGATTCGTTCCAAGCGGTATTTCCGCAAAATACAAAAATTGTTGCATTGCCCCTTTTGGGGGCGTCGTACAAATCCCTGGAATGCTCGCCTTCAGCACGTGCCCACAACAAAATTATGGATGAAATTTTGTCAGTACAAGCATGTCCCCAATAACGAAAATTCTGGTCCACAAATTTAGGATGCAACGTGGAGAACGCCAGCTATGGGCTGACCATATGTGCAGAGAGAACTGCAATTGTAAAGGCGGTATCGGAAGGCCGCAGATACTTCAAGGCAATGGCTGTCGCGTCGTAAGTCTTGTACCCTTTATACTTTCTTTATTGCAACCATTGTCAACAAAGTCATAAATATTAGGAACAAGTGTATAGACATGTTCCTACAGCCAGTGAGTGGCAATACGTCCTCAAAGAGGTCTTCTGAAGACGAGGCGGGGGGGGCTGTTTTATGGAACCGGTACTAATCTATAACGCTGGGACTTGGATATATGCGTTGAAGATGACAGATTCTCGGAGTGTAGTTTGGGGAGAGACGCTCCACCAGGTGGCCTTCTCTGCTAAGACTGTGTCATTACTTTTAATGAGTGGCATTCCCCTTCTCTCATTTAGGAATATGAAGGACTTCACTATGCCATGTGGAAACTGCCGGCAGTTTATTCTAGAGGCAAGTCACGACCACAATCTCTTTATGAAAGACACACAGGACTGGTTTATGAGCAACATTGCTCATGTCCTGTCCAGACACGTTCCTTAAGGTTGTAACATATTGTAACATTCGTAAGAAGTTTCAGAATTGACATAAGGCAATGAAATTTGGCAGGGATGGTCTTGCAACTCATATAAACTTCCACTGCAAATTTGGTTGAAATCAAGCAAGTGGTACAAAAGTTGACAACCCAGAAAAGTCAACTTCTCTACTACTTGCTTGATTTCAACCAAATTCGCAGCGGAAGTTTATACGAGTTGCAAGACCATCCCTACCAAATTTCATTCTCTTATGTCAATTCTGAAACTTGTTACAATATGGAAGTCAATGTGTTCGCTTAGGAAAAACTATTGTTTCGAAATATAAAAGTCTGTGATTTTTATGTGTAATATAGTTATAGTAATACCCATAGCACATACCCAGCTAGTTACTTTGCTATATTGCATTGTTTTTCATAAGTATTACTTCATATGAAGATTTAAAAAATGTTTTTCATGTCTGCACTCTTTCACAAATGTAGTTTTTTTTTTTTTTTAGCATAAAAGAATGTTAAAGTAGAAATACTAACTGGCCAGGTATGTTCCTCACAAAATTCTATCCTACAAAACAACTGAAGGATAGTTCTCTATTGTGTAATAGGAGAACAAGTTTTCCTAATGCGAAGTTTTGCCAAAAAGTGGAATGTAGAAAAATGCGTTCAAAGTGCTCCAACCTCTACCTTTCCTTTAGCATCGGTGGGTTAAAAATAATTTATAAAAAATTTACTATGCAGTGTAAACTAATGAAACTTTTTGAGAATGCTCTCTAGATACTGGTGGATGTAAATATGGCATTTTTCAAAATCAACTTATTTTTGCAGGATTTTTTTTTTTTTTTTGGTACTGTCCCCCCCAAAAGGCAATGCCTACAATAGCAGGCCGGTGGCTTATTTAGAACGCACAGTGCTCACCAAACTCGAACGGAACACGTGAAGGAGCCGTTGTTCAGCTTCTTCCAGGAGAGCGCAGCCAGAAAAAACGCACATTTCTCGTGTTCTGTACAAGTTTGGTGAGCTTTGTACTTGAACTGCGGCAGTGCTGCCGAGCACCATTCATACAAAGCTGAGTTCCACATTTGTTCTCTCTGTAAAAACTTCACCTAACTTTTTCAGTTCCTATTTTGTTTAAAGACAAATAAAAAGAAAACCCTCACAAATGCTAAGGGTGCAAGTTGGGCCCAAAAATAATACGAGGCACCTAAATTATTATATTCAGAGCTGCTTAAATTCAATTGTTTGTTTGTGGTACAAGTTCCTCTCATCCCTTTGCCACAGTTTGGGAACAGATTAGTATAGCACTTATTCTTTAGTATGGATATGTTGTCCTTTTTGTTATACTGGTTAAATATGAATCAAAGCGACTTATAGGCAGTATCCAATGTCTTCACCAAGAAGGTTTAAAATCAAAAGGATTTCGTGATGACAAGCAAATGGAAAAGGGAACAAACATACACAGGGTCAGTGATGTGATTGGCCTAAGCCGTTTTGGAGCACCTTTCAGAGTAGCAAAAACAGTGTTTTGGAGCTGTAAACATGGCTTTTGGAGTAGCAAAAGTGGCTTTTGGAGCTGATATTCTTCGAAAAATAAAAATATTTGTTTTAAGTGCTGTACAAATAAAACGCACTTTGCTCACCGCAATAAACAAAGTATGGTCCAGTTGAGCAACTGGGAGTCTTTCAACATGTAACTAAAATGCCAATAACATGACACATTTCGCAATGCTTCAGTTAAATGATATATATATATATAACTAACCCATTATAGATAACCAAACTGCACATATTAAATTTATTTGAACATGACCAGCTTTGTTGTAAATATCACACTACTAGGTCAACTATGTAATATAATAAACTATATAATATAATAAACTGATGAAACACGTAACTAATGCAGTGCAATGCGAAATTGTACAGAAGAAAATAGTGCATTACAACTAGTGGGTGATTTTCTATTTGCTTTTCGAAACTTTCTGCAAGGCTGCTGCAAGCCCCGCTTTGCCTTCGGCAAGTAATGAATGTCCATTTTCAATGTCTCCAAAGAAACATCCCACAAGTGTACAGTGCTGTAGGTGTTGCCGAGCAATTCTGAAAAACCGCTTGCCGCCGCTTTACTGGTTCCCGAGGAGCCAGATTCTTGTCAAAAGTAAGCAAACGTAAAGCAATGGATTGCAAGCGTCCCGGCTGATGCCTCTATAGTGCAATCATGTTCGCAATCAAGTGAGGGCAACTTCGGCAGCTTGCACGTGCTTCGTCGCACGAGCGGAAACGACTGTTCGATCGGAACCGAAACCATGCCACTCCACTCCGTCGCCAACTGGTTTCCACAATTGTATGCAAAATGTAACTGACCAGCATACGACCAAAAAAAATGTCCAGCGGCGCGTCCTTGCCAAGCCGGCAGGTGAGGTACAAGCTAAACACACAGAAAAAAAGAATGTGAGCGCATCGATGCACGACGTTGCGAGCCAGGGTCAAAAAGTTCTTGGAGCGCTTTGTGCAACGACTGAGCTTGAGACAAACAAGCGTACTGTGCGGGTTCAGCATGCAGATATTGCCTTATTTGCTTTAGCTCACCTCTCCAACTTTCTTATCGTGGCAGATTTTACATGTACCGGGGTCCCTCTCGAAAGAAAGCCCACCGAGAGAAGCCTATCTATAATCAGTACTTCGACACAGTAGTCTTTGAGTTAAAGAAGGATTTTTGCAGTAGTGTATGATTTAAACAAGAACAGGAATGTTGATGAACATATGACGGTACTTACGTTTCAGTTTAGAAAGCGCCATATCTGCAGCGACGTGGGGAAGGCAACTCCCGATGTCATGCGACCACGGTGACTGGTAGGCAGGGACCAAATATAGTTTTGCCACGGCCGTTGCTTTCAGGAGCGAGTGCTTCAGCTCACAAAGTAACTCCCGCCATGCGAAAACATGGTTTCATTTCACAGCATGACGGCATGGCTGGTACCTGGCATGTTAGCGTCAAAGCGTCTGCGCACGCTTGCATCTATCGGTGAAAAAATTTAAAAAAGACGCGAGGCAAGACCTACGAGACGACGAGAGCGCGAAACGAGAGACGGTGGGGAAAAAACCATGCAAGACCGAATGGACGAAGGATGCAGGGTAATTTGTGTCATGCGGCCGCTTGCGCCAAGTAGCTCACGCATGATCAACTAGGGTACTCAGTTTAGTTTCGGTTTTGAAAGGCCAAAGGACCAATTTCGGCCAAAGGACCGAAATTGCTCCTTTGGCGCAGGCTTGGCGTAGATTTCCCATATTTTGGTAAGATGTAGCAGGATGTATCAGGGTTAGCCCCTTGGCACAATTGGCGCAGCAATCACATCACTGGAGGGTGGACATAGATATTGTGGTGGACACAGAAGTAGGAAAACACAGGACGAGCGCAAACTTGCAACTAAAATGTTTATGTGTGCATGGATCATGACAAGTGTTTCTATGGCTGCCTCGAATCATGAAGAGAACTTTGTTGTTTTCTTGTATGGACGCGGTGTCATCTTTATTCATCAAGATAGCTGCCACGTTGTGCCACACGTGTGCGCAACATGTTTGCTGGGTAGAATTTTTCAATAAACCTTTTAGCTGCAAGTTAGCGCTATTCCTGTTTTGCTTCCTTTGTGTCCAGTCTTTTATGCGCTACTCTTTTACCCAGTCTGTTGACAACCAACTAGCCTATCAATCCACTATTTTAAGATACACAGGGTGTTTGTCACTTTTTCATCTGTTCCTCGGTCTCAGGTTTTTGGATTTATGAAGAGTCACCAGCAAACCTGTATCATGACTAAAAGGTCCGATCGTAAAGTGAGGCATAATGCTGTTTCCCACAATCAACCCCTTAACCGTTCTAGTTGTGGGGAATGATCCTCAACTGCTTAATTGTTTTCTTCAAAATTACATTTGTTGCATTCAAAATCAAGTTTCTAGCCACTAATAGACTAGAAGAAAATTTAACAAAAATTTAGTGCTGCCATCTGTTGGCAGAGCCTCAAACCAAGCCACGAGCGCGCCTGGTTTGTCCAAGACAGTTGAGTGCGTGAATCGGGGAAAGCAGATGAGGTACACACGTCCCGCACAGTTTGGGGACTGCTCCATGTTGACGAGCTAGGCTCGTCCAAAACGGTTAAGGGGTTGAATGAGGTTACAGACCGCGATGGCCCAGGCTAGCCGTGATTACAATCAGATTGCTGAAACTGTGTAATTCTGCCAACAAGTAAAGTATTTTCTTGTTTTTCCAGTTTGGACCCGACATCGTTGTGTATGCCGTTGGGAACAGTGGCCAAGTTTTAGCGAAGAGAGTGGATGAACTTCTGCCCTTTGCATTCACTGGTAGTGACCTGCCTGCAAAATAATTCAAGATAAAGGAAAGACACCAAAAATTAAAAAAAAAAGGGTGCCTTAAAAATAAAAAGGCACTTTGATCTACCTCGCTTTAAAATAAAAACCCAAAAGGATCCCTCAAAAAAAGAATCGAAACATACCATTTATTTTTAGCCTTATTCAGCCATCAGCGAGAGAAATGTGATTTACACAATAGTATCTTGCAACAGACGTGCTCAAGTATCAGTCCTTATTTCTGAAATAAAGTGTGCCATCCAGCCCTCTACCCACATCTATTCATTTAAAAAAATCATTTCCCCTCTGGTGCAAACTCGAGCTTCTTCAGCACTCCAGGAACACTTGTAGGACAGCGGCCCCTTCGGCAGCTCTCACCAAAATGGGCACCTGGTAAAAAATACATATAAAAAAGATTTCAAACACCAATCATGCATTGTAAAAAAAAAAAGAAAAAAAGTCTGTTCTTGCAGTGGACAATATCGAAACACTGTACCATTTCAAAGTGTTTACTATTAAAGGGATACTGAAGCGAAACTTGAAATACACCTATTATGGTCAGAAATAGGTTCAATATGATCAATGATATTCATAAATCATAATCGCGCGTTTGTATTTTGAACGGATGGCTATATTTTTCACCCTGATGGGCCCGATTGGGCGCGCGCTCAAAAATCGGCCATCGGAGAGCGCGATGCGTCTTGGGATATTGGGCGCATTCGTGACGTCACTTGTGCCAGTCGGGAAAGGCTAGGGCGTGAATGTTGTGGTTACGAGCGTTGCCACTTGGTGGCGCGTCGACGATTTACGACCTGTGACAACGTGGCCGTTTGAGATGTGCAAGGGCTGCACGCACGCTGCACCACGGGACCACGGCAAGTCGGCAACCACGGCAGCACTGACAAAACCAGCTCTGAGGCCGGATTCTCAAAGCGAATTCACGACGAAAAAAGTGCGTACGACAAATTTGAGAGAAAACCCGTGCTCTCGAAACGAAATTGTCGTAACCTTTGCGCAGGTTACGACAGAATCCTACGACAGCTCCGAAGCTGTCTTACGCACTTTTTACGATCAAATCAACAAGGCCGACAGCGTCGCTCAGTTACTTGGTATCGGCCACCAACGGACATTTATTTTTCTTCGTGCGCTTCTCGTGCGTCCCGACTTCAACCAGCAAGAAAAAAGGAAGGAGTGCTTAAAACAGACCACGACGATCAAGAACGCAGGATCCACAAACACACGAAAAGAGCTACAACAGCCACGATTCTGCCGACCGAGCGAGCTCGGCAGAATATAGTAGGCCTAGCAGCAACATCGACTCTGCGCACCGTTGCACCGGCGGTCCTTGGCCAAGACCGTCTGTCCATGACCGGCTGGCCTGCTGAATGGAATATGCCCGCGCGACCCTTGTGGACCCTTACCGGATGAGTAGTTTGGTCCCTGAACTAAATTTCAGAGGTCAATATTTTCCCCTTGTCATCTCGATCTCCTTGTTTTCCGAGACAGCGGTGACGAACGCTGTCGTCGAAAAGGGACTCTCATTGGACTCTCATTGATTCTATCTCCTTGTTTTGTGTGATATAGAGCTCAAATAAACGCCATACGGATTACCTTGGCAACTCGGTATGTACTGTCGCGAGCAAAAGTCTGGATAACACGGGAGCGCCGACCGAATTGCATCGCCGCGCTCCCTGGCGGCACGGCGCCTGGTGCCGAGACCCGCGCAATGCGCACGCGCGTCCTTTCTTATCTGCTGGCCCACTCGTTCGCTCGCTTCAACACGATGCGCTCCTGAGCGATTAAGTGGGCGCTCGGTGCCGCCCCGGGAACCAAGATTCCGAGAGCCTCGCTCACCGCTCTGGACGAGCTCGCGTGCTCCGCGGCACGCGCCGTTCGCACATATCTTTCCCGCGACTCGGCGACGCGTTAAAAACTGTCGCTTACGTTGATGCAGCCGCAATGAATTGTAAAACCTGTATTCGCGTACTCGAGGCAGCCTTGGGCTTCCTTCCGAATGATCATGCACGCGCGGTAAAGTGGTGAATGACGAGCAAAAATTAAACGCCAAATAAGAAACAAATATTTATTCAACCCCCCCTGCCAAGAAAACACAAGAAACAAAAAGGAAGGAAAAAGAGGTGCTGGTTCAGTTTGGGTGGCTTGTAATTTTTATATTGTTGATAGCGTCCGAAAGAATCGAAAAAGCATCACATTCCCGCATAATGTTGCAATTCTCTTGTGTAATCGCAAAGCAGAAATGGAAATATTTCCCCCTCTGCAGCCGTGCGCGGCGGCCATGGGAAGGCCGCCGTGCCGGTGACGCGGGGATCGCTGCAGCTCAACGCCTCACGAAGAACAGCAGGGAGAGAAAGAGTAAACATCCTTGGGGAGAGCGCGCGGAAACCGGTGCATCTAGAGCCACTAAATGAGCTGCGCTTAGAGTATCGGCACTCCGTTCCCCGACATTGTTGTGGGCGCCGCCATTTTGGCTCGTATGCAGAGCAGACACAGCTGCCGATCGTCCTGATTCATAAGGGAGGCTTCCTCAGCATTAGAGTTGGTGTTAGGAAGGTCATCTAAGATTGCTTCGCTCTGCCGCGAACTGTTAGGCATTTGTATAGGGCGGAGAAGGGTTTCCTGTGATTTCAGATAAAGCTTCAGATAACTGGCAACCATGGTTTTAAGACACAATATGGCGAAGTGTCGTTACTCTGAAGCGTAGCTTATTTAGTGGCACTAGGTACATCCTCACGTCGACGTCACTGAGCACGTCATTTAGAGAGTTTAGGGGTGCCGGAAACTTGAATCTTTGCTATTGTTTAAAATTATAATTAGGGCACACAGACTAAATCGCTTTTCAGTTCTTTACTTTAGAAGTGTAGGACAACAACTCCTATAATTATTTGGCCAATGTCCGGAAATCGTTGTATAGCCGCTTTATTTTATGGCTTCCGGTACAAGTCATCACAGCTGATGTCAAACTGAACATTTTAAGGTCGCTTCGCGAACAACCATGCTAAGAATTTGTGGCCAGCACCATGTTTTTTTTTCTCGTTGTTTTCTTGACTTCTTGACCCTTTACAACGCGTGCATAATAAATCGAGCAGCAGCTGTTTGCATTGTAGCCGGGGCAAATTTGGGGGGAAGCTTAAAAATAACAAATGGAGGGAAGCGACAGTTTTTAACGCGTCGCCAAGTCGCGGAGCACGCGAGCTCGTCCAGAGCGGTGAGCGAGGCTATCGGCATCTTGGTTCCCAGGGCGGCACCTAGCGCCCATTTAATCGCTCAGGAGCGCATCGCGTTGAAGCGAGCGAACAAGTGGGCCAGCAGATAAGAAAGGACGCGCGTGCGCATTGCGCGGGTCTCGGCACCAGGCGCCGTGCCGTCAGGGAGCGCGGCGATGCAATTCGGTCGGCGCTCCCGTGTTATCCAGACTTTTGCTCACGACAGTACACTCTGTTATTAGTATGCCATTTTTATTCTGACTCGACGCTACGTCAGTGTCGAGCTATAGCAGTTCGTGGGAGCTACGCGATGTCGGTCTAACCTTTCTTTGCCGAGTGTCATGTCAGTATCGAGTTGCAATCGTAAAAGATCGGTCCAGAAGCGCTTACCGAAACGCGGTCTAACAGAGCGAATCCAGCACTTCGATCAAACGCGCGTGTCCGCTCCCAGTGTGAACAGGTATTTGGCATTTGCGTGGCTCTTGCTGACACCCTCGTAGTTCAAACATATCCTTTTTAACGTCGGCTTGATACCGGCCGTGCCAGAAGCATGCTCGGGCCGTGTCGTGCAAAGAGCCGCAACGAGAACGCGCTCACTGTGGCCAACTACGCTTTGGCTTTCTCCGCCAAGGCTTTGCAAACGCGTTCAGGCCTAGGCGAATTCTGCCGGCACGCCGTATTGCCGCAGAACGGCGCTGCTATTTTGGCACAAGTGATGTCACGAGAACTTCCCCCCATCCACCAGATGAGAATTTGAAATCGTTTAATTATGTTTAAAATTAGTTCTCCTGTGTTTTACAGCGCAATATTTATATTTCCGAGGTGGTGCCTGTCCCTAGCCCATATTTATGCAACAAGATCGGCGCTAAAATTTCGTTTCACTACCCCTTTAAGGCCATACTCTGATTTAATTGAGACAAACCTCGTACCCTCCATTAGCCCTTGGTTATATCAAAATTAGTTTACCTCGCTTCTCTGTCTCTCGCCAAACACTGCGCTCTTGCGAGGAATTGTGAAGAGAACCTTTTTGTAGTGGGGCACGAAACGCTTCAAGCAAGCACGTGTCTTCCATCGTAGGGTAAACGAATGGATGAATGATATTGGCTGCCCCCTTTGTATTAGGCGGTAGCTTGCGTTACCTTGCCTAGGAACATTTACAACCCTCCCCTTTAGATTTTACTATTAATTACAGTACAACCCCGTTGATACGTTTTTCAGGGAACCGGGGAAATAAAACGTATCATACGGGAAAACTTAAGGAAAGAGAATGCTAGAGATGAGGCAGATAGCAACTGTCATGAAACAATTCATTTTATGCAAACGCTCGTAAGTGTGAACTCAAATTGGCTCGGAAAAAGTTTGTAAACATTTGTAGGCGTAAACTGAAATAAATGCACCGTAAAACTTCGTAGGCGGGATCTCAAATACGTCCAGAAAACGTTTGTAAACATCTGTTGATGTGAACTCAAATTTGTTCAGAATAAGCTGGTGATTTTCACGTGGCGCTTTGGGCGACTGAAACGTGGTCGGGCGATGGATTCCTGGGTTTGTGAAGAGCAATGCCGATGTCGGTTCGTCCCCGCACAATTGTGCACAACACTTCGGTACACGAAAGCCTCAAAAAGGTCTTGTTGGATGACAGGCTGTCGTGCACGTGCAGGAGATCACGGCGTGCTAGACGAGTTTTGTCGGAAGCTTCTTCACACAGACACTAAGGAGTACCAGAACCTGCAGCGCATCAGCCAGGTGAAGTTCTTGCAGCTTCTCTCACGTCTGGAACCAAGAACCGTGCGACAACACGAACCGGCAAATGAGTAAAACAGAGCTAGGCACAATAATGCACCAAGCTCGTGTTGTGTGTTAGTCAAAAGCAATATATATTTTGTTGCCAGACTAAACGCGTTTGAAGTAAAAAATTCTGTGAGTGAATGAAAAGGCCCTCGACTTTTTCGGTCAGTTTTTCACAAACTTTCGGTGGGGGTTGACTCGAAAAATGTTTTGTCTGGCAACAGCACACTTCTTGTTTCTTTGACAAGCAAAAGAAACGTGGCACGTTTCGTTTTGTCTGTTCTGTCCATTCGCTGGTTTGTTTTTGTCCTTTTAGTTTCATGCACAAAGAAAGCTGCAGGAACTGTTCCCGGCTGACGCACTACAGGTTACGGTACTCCTTCAGGTCGGTGTTGAGAAGCTTCTGTCGAAACTCGTCAAGCACACTGTGCTCTGTCCCACACATCCATCCAGCCTCCCATCCGGCGAGACCTTTTTGCACCTGCGGTGTATTGAAGCGTTGTGTGCGAGTGCGCGGGGACGAGGACGCGGGCAAACGCTCCTTTGCAAGCTTGGGACTCGTCTAGCAGGATTACACTTTCGTTGTGCCTTGGATTAGTAAAGGTAGCGGTGCTTCGCGCTAAGCCTCTCTCGGTGTTCTGTCTCGTGCAGCACCCAGCATCTGCACACGGTTCTTTTCTGTATTAGTGTGATAGCGACACAACCGCAGCGACAACTGCCGCATTAGCTCTTGGACGGACAATGGTACCACTGCGCAGTGGTTTGGTCGATCTTCGCCGTTCATCGTCTCTTTCTCCCTGTGAATGTGCGCGACGACTGACATGTCGCCGCGCGATTAATTTGTATGTGAATCGGTCTGTTGTTTGAATCGGCCGGGGACATTTGCGCTATGTCGGCGGCTTTTTGAACGCAAGAACCGGGAAAGCAACTGCACTAAGCAGGAAATGAATACATGTGTTCCCATGGGAGCTTGGCAGCACCAGCGCTTCTGAACACAAAAGCTGGGAAGACGTAAAAAACCGTGCATCCGGTTGTTGTCCACGCAAAAAACTGCTCCTCTTGCACACACCCTTTCAACCAAACAAAAATCATAGGGGGACACCGATCTCAATTCGGAAGAGAAATTATAGAATCCGTAAGCATCAAGTCGGCGACAACAAACCTTTCTAGCCCTACCCTTTCCCTCTCTGAGAGAGAGATTAGCTTCCTGCGAGGGTGGGGAGCCCCCCAGCCCACGCGGCACTAGAGCTTAAAGGTTTGGAAAAACAGTGGCAAACAAAAACAACCCCGGAAAGCCGCCCTCTGTTCTTACTTCTTCTCGCCTTCTGTTTTCGCTTGACCCTCTTGTGCTCTGGTCCATTTGCGCCTTCCCCAAGGAATTCCGATGACGCCCGCCCGCCCCCGCCCGCCCCCCCCTCCCTTCCCCCGCTCTCTGCCGCGCCTCCGACAACACGAAGTGACGCGAGGTGTCATCCACGAGAGAGGCGACACGGACCAGACTCCCGACCGCCCGCTGTGTTCGCCCCCGCAACGGTCTCCCTGTGTTTCTTACACCTCCCCTCATCCCCCTCCCCCCTTTCCCCATCGCCTCCCGAAGTCGAGCTCTGAGCGGCTAGCCGCCCCAGTAAATATGTAGTTGCAAGTTGAAAGCTGTGTCGTCTGTTTCGTCCTCTTATGTGTTTCTTTCGTTTTAAGTCAATATCAACGAGGTTCCACTGTACGTCTTTCGTTAAATCATCTACCCCATCAATTTTGTGCATTGCCAAGCTTTCTAGATTTTTGCCACCAATCTTCTAACCTATGGTACTTTTGTGATTGTAATCTTTTGTTCTCCTGTTCTTCCTTCCTTGCCAGCAAAATCCAGCACTCCCGCCAGACGAAGCCCTGCGCTCTTCAAAACCACATGTTCTGGCATCTCACTATCGCCATGGCATACAGCACATATGTGTCTATACCTTAAAATTTAACCCTATATGTTTTTTGAACTGCTTTCTGCTACAGTCTATTTATGGTTATAACTAAATCTTGAGTAGAGTCACAACTCATAACTCACCTTATGGTCAAAACTCAATGCTACCACATTGAAAGGAGGATAGGCACCACAGGAGCTAACTACGCATGCATAGTTTGTGCCAGAAAAAAGGTTCAGGAGATTAGAAGGGGGAAGGATTGTCAAACAGCAATGTTTGGTTTCCACAAACCTTTCATCCCATGCTCCATACGTTCCTTTACCCATTTGATCAGATCCCCCGCTATGCAAGCTCAGGCGTAGGAGAGGTATCTTGGGACAACCAGCCACAACAAGACTGATAAAGTCCGTTGCAACTTAAGAAGGTCGGGCGAGGGAAAGGAAGGCCGGGGAGAAGGAAGCAAACGAAACGCTTGAGAGAGGAGGAGGTTTTCTCCTCTCTTCTCTAGTGTTCCGTCCGCATCCTCCTCCCCGGCCTTCCTTTCCCTCACCCTAACTTCTTGAGTTGCAACGGACTTTAGTGGCATCAAGTGTTACCTGGCACCAACACAGAGAAAGCCCCCACTGTCTAAATCACCTTCCTCCTTGCATCGAGTTTTGATTGGGGTGGCCCCAAATGCAACACCAAGTGTGACCAGGCATTCTACTGACCATCCTATGTAGCACTGGCATAGATTCTCGTGCGACGTGGCCTGCTTGATCAGGAGCTCCACCTGCTCCGGAACGTCCAAGGTCTCGTCGGGCGCAAAGTCCCGCCCTGAAAGCGTCGGAAAGAAAACAAAACACTTTTAGTTCCCTAGTAATATCCTAACTAACGAGGAACATGAAATGTATGAGCAACTTTACTTTCTTTTTATTTCTTAATTAATTTAATTGATAGTATCTCTGCAATGAGACATTTCCAAAAGATGTCTACAAAAACTATTAGAACAGCGACCAAGTAACAGGTATGTAGGTACGTTAATGTAAGTTACATAACAAAAACAGAGAAACACGTATTCAAGCATATTCATGATTACCATGAAAACCCAGATCGGAAAGAAGACTAATCAGACCAGAAACTTCGAAAGGTGAGAGTTCACCAGCTTGCCTGTCTTTTTTCTGTTGTTTACGTTCATGATAGCTGCCAGGGGGCCTCAGCCTTTCGGGGGCTGCTCTGCCATTTCTTTCATGCCTTAAAACTGGATCAACGAACTACAGTCGCCGACCGATTATTCGGACTTTGCAGGGACCGAAAAAACGTCCGAATAACAGAGCAGTCCGAAAAATCAGCAGATTGAAAAAATTGCATTTATTACTTCCAAGCAGCCTTAAAAAAGTCACAAATAGTGCCTCGCTCCAGGTTATGCCTTTGTTTGCGTTCGGCAACTTTCTGTTAGCTTGGGAATCGCTGCCTTCTTTTCTAACCTTATGGTCAAGTACTTTCCGCCCTTTTTAACGACATATCGCGGCGGCAGAAGAACAGATGGGGTCAAGACGTTCAAGCCAGCGTTGTCATAACGAGAAGAGAGGCGCAAATCCACGAGCGCAAAATGGCGACTGGCGACTCGAAAGTGGGGCGGAGGCGCGAAGGGATGGAAGGAAACAAAGCAAAAGGATAATGATGACGATGATGACGTGTAGCTAAATGGAAAAAAAGGGCTAGCATAGCGTCACCTAGCGGTAGGACTCGGGAGTACTCAAGTAGCGCTGCCAAACCAAGCCAATCCATTTGCAGCCACCATAGAATTCAAAATGGCCGCTTCTCGGTGGTGTTTCCCGCTCATAGCTTGCAAAGTATTTGTCCAAATAATCAAACTTTCGGACTTCAAGCTGTCCGAAGCATTGGTCGTGAATATGCAATACTTCTAGGAGTGAGTCACGATTCCTCCTTTAGGTCCGAAATATCGAACAAGTTCGAATTATCGAAGTCCAAAAAAACGGTCGGCAACTGCAGTATCATTATGACCAAATGAGCTGAAACGGCTCTACATGAGGCGTGTGGTACTGCCAGCGTCTCCCGTCGAATGCTCTGAAAAGCTTAAAGGCTCGCTGAGATCAAGACGGGTGCGCAGCGCTACGAAGCACTTCTCATCTGCTAGTGAACATTGGTTGGGAGAACCATGAAACAGCTCACCAATGTTTGCTCATATTTTTCGCATGCAATGTGCTATAGCAAGAAAAAAAATCATTTTTTTGTCATGTCAATGTTTTTTACATAATTCAATTTACACTCGTTTTCCGGGAGCAAAGAGCTGGATAATGCGCGGTCAGGAGCCAGAAGTTACCACTCTGCAAATGTAGGCGTCGTCTCTTCGTTTGCTAAAGCTGCGCATGACAGAATATAAATTGAGCACAAACTTTATCGAAGGAAGATTCACGTCGCCCAAGTATGTTATCATGCAATCATCAATCCGCTATCTAATGCCTCGTACATACATTGTTTTGTATTCCTCGCAGACAAATGCAAAAATAAGTGCTGGTAGAAAAGCGGCAGCGGCAGACGATGCAAAAGCAGACAAACAGAGATGAACGGTGGTGCAACAATCATTAAAGACCCTGAAGACTATGCGCCTGGACCTTGGTGCACGTTTAAGCTTCGTGGAGAATCCGACAGGAAGCACTGGCAGTGCTGCGTGTCATGCATAGGGTCGTTTCAGGTCATATTGCGTCTAAAAGTGCCGAAGTCCACCCAATAGTGTCTTTTGGTTATGGTCATCATTGAGGGTATGTCTCTCCAAACCGGAAGACTCTCCCGGCTTCACCTCTGGTGGCGTCATGTCACCTCCAGAAGCTTACTACCTTTATGGTATTCATTAAATGTAATTAGTTTGGCTAGCTAAAAAAAATTGGTGGAGAACCCCAAGGCTGCCAGAGTGGCAACCGTGAAGCCTCTTAACCCCTTAAGTGCCTTGGACGAGCTCAGCTCGTGCAGTGGTTTTTTCGGTAGCCCTCAATTCCACGGACGAGCAGGCTTGTCCAAGTAGTTTTGCGGCACTGATCATAGATGGCAGCACTCGTTTTAGTTGGCCAATATATTTTTCGCCTCCGCTAATTTTTGCGTAATAAACTTTTCAAATTTTATGTGTAATACTAGAGAAATAACAATTCAAAATAAAAAAACAAGATGGCACTTTAAGGTTACTTTTGGAAAAAAAAAAAAAAATTGGCACTTAAAGGACACATGCAAAAGAAAAAAACATTTTTTTTAGACAGCTTAGATGGAAAAAGGATGTCATAAAACGATTTTACAACGAAGAAACAAAATTTTTAGAGCTATATTTACGGCGCTATACGAATTTGTAGTTGGCGCTCGCGGGAGCCGCCGCTGGTCACGTGGTAGGCCCGCGCGCCGCCGCGCTGCGTCGCCGCCGCGCGCAGAGCGTTGTGCGAACGCCGCTTCAACGCGTTTCTCCACGCCGCCGTCGCCGCCGCCGCACAAGTTCGTCTGCTTCGGGGCGCCGCCGCCGTCGTCTGACCGGCGCACAGGTCTATCACGTCTGCTTGCGCTTTTTCAGGAGTTTCCTTTGGGCTCTAAAAGTTACTTATTAGTCTTGGTTTTTTGTTATATTTCAAACAAAGATGAATAAGTTACTTTTAGAGGCCATAGGAAGCTTCCGAAAGAGCGCAAGCACCACGTGATAAATAAAGACCAGTCACGTGATAAATACAGACCACTTTTCCGCGGGGCCCGCGGGCGCCAACTACAAATTCGTTTTGCGCCGTAAATATAGCTCTAAAATTTTTTTTCTTCGTTGTAAAATTGTTTTATGGCGTCCTTTTTCCATCTAAGCTGTTTAAAAAAAATGTTTTTTTTTAAACGGCTTAGTGCGCATGTGTAGTGTTGTCGCGTGGAAAGAAGGCGAGCAAACAAAACAGTGACGACGCCTGCCCTGCCTGCCCGATCCCGATCGACGCTTTCGTCTTTTTGTCACCTTCTCGCAGTTCGTAATTCAAAAGCGGCTATCGAACGGTTGGAAAGCCTCTCAAAACTAGGCACACTATTTTTCCGTACCATTTCGTTCCGAATCGGAATTTGCGGCTTGCAGTTCCAAAAGAATGACGACGATAACTCGCCTGGTTTCATTGGCGTGGTTAACGTGGTTTTCTTTCTGTGATTGTGCAGTCGCCGATTTCTGTGAGTGTGGCAAGTGTGTTCTACATCGGCACTTCAATTTGAAACGAGGGGCTTTACTCGTGAAAAGAATTAGGCATGGCGCGGAATGCCGGCTTCCCAACAATTCCTCTCTGGAAGCGGCGCAAACAGGATGTTTCGGTTGTGATTCAAGGGCACATTGTGTCACGGTCGTGAGTAAATCTGCGTGTTATAAAGTTCGTGGCATTCGTTACTTTTCGTTTTTCTAACCTGTGCGTTAGATTTTTGTGGAATGGTAGGACCAAGAGGTGTTGCTTGCATGGTCTGTCTAACATTGCGGCGCTTACATCGGAAAAAAAAACAGCTTTTTTGTCATCTCCGCGCCGACCGCGCGTCTTTACCCAAATATATTGAATATTTGAGTGACCGAATACTAGGAATTCGATTCGCAAATCGAATTATTCAGGAACTTTCGATTCAATTCGAATTCGTATATTCGAGTATTCGCACACCCTTAGTCAATAGTAATGCTGACATTTGACACGAGACAGTGGACGATGGAACTGAGGAGGTCGTTTCGGTTTCGGCGTAAGCTGCATTCGCCTGCAATGTCATCCACTCAGACAGCATAAACTCCCGGTGGGGAAACTCACCCGTGAGCTTGTCACGGACCCTGTTGATGATGGCAAGAGCCTTCTTGTTCAGCGCTTCGGGCTGGGCCGCCTCTCCATCTGTCGGCGGAGGTGCAAGGAAGCAATAGTGGGTATTTTCGATACAACTTCTAGAGATTCAATTCTGCTCCTCAGAGATGTGCCGTAAATCCCAAGCATACTATCGATGCCACAACAAGCACCCATACTTAAAATCAAAAGAATAAAACACGGAGGACAAGCACAGGACAACCACATTCTTTGATTCAGCAACAACGTTTATTTTCGGCAGGGAAATTGCACCCTGAACAAGATCCTAACTAAGATAGGGTGATAAGGGGGAAGGAAATATACTGGGATATGAAATGGAGATAAGGGGGAATAAAAATAAGCGTTATTGCTAAATGAAAGAATGTGGTTGTCCTGTGCTTGTCCTCGATGTTTTATTCTTTCGATTTTAAGTATTCATGTTGAACTCGCTCGGTTTTACCACTACTTCAAGCTCCCATCCTCTCTTTTCTTTAGAAAAGACTTTCAGCCTTTCCACTTTGGTGAAGAAGGAAGAGCAGCGGAGCTGTAGCTTCTGTTCTCGGCGGTGGCCTTCTAGGCGAGCGATGTGCTCTTCTTTCGGAATGGAATCTGAAGCGCTCGATGCAGCGGAACTTTAGGCGATAGCGGCCTCGCAACGATTGCGGAATCATTCGCGCTGCTGCGCACATCGCCGCTCGTTCCGTTTCTGCTCTTCCTCGTCCGAAAAAATGTTGCCGCCATCTATGAGCCACGGCAGCAACCAGTTGTCTGGATGCCGAGGCTGGAAAGGTTACCGCAATCTATGAGCGACGGCAGCAAGCAGACAACCGGCAAACACAACACCCTGGACAGCTACCGCCATCTATGAGCGACGGCGGCAACCAGACTGTTGTGTCAACCACAGGTGTCGACATTTGTTTGATGCCTAACACGATCCTGGAAAAAGTAGCCCTTAACAGCTCCGCTGTAAAAAAAAGTCTTTTGAGTGAGAGCGTCAACCAAACGCTCCAACGTTGGTGTGAACCACCAGACAGAAAGAGCCATTGTTGCGGAACAACGTCGGAGGCGTGGGCTCGTCGACGCAATCCCGAGGTAGGCAAAGCGGAAAAAGGGCACAAAGAAACTTTGCGAACCTCCAACTCCGGATGTGTCCACTGCCTTCTTGGCGGTTGGCTGCGAGCCAATGTCCACAGTCTCCAAAATGTCTGAAAGCAAAATGCAGTGGTTTGAGAAAAGCAACTCCTTCTTCTTCGTCAAAGTAAAAAAATAATTATACAGGCTTAACCATGCTGACCAGGGGGCACAGAATGTGTCCCGCACAAACTAAAGTCACAGGATCTGGGAAAGTAGCCCCATTGCCTTCCCACCTGTTAGCCGGGCACAGACAAATACCAACATACAGACAACAAAATCTCTCAAGGTGATTGGCTGATCGGTCTCGGTTGCCATGGCGATCACCACTTTGGGACTTCCAAATCTTCGAGGGTCGTTCCAACCAGGTGCACCAAGATCGCTATGGAACATCACCATACTAAAAGCGTTCCTTGGACAAAATAAGCGTTTTTGGCACTGTGAATGCAATAAACTTATCACTCACGCTTATCTCCCCAGATAACTTACAAATATGTTGCTCTTGCATATCTCGAGACAGTAAAATTATTTTTCAATGCCCTCTAAGCACCGCCACTGCATGTAATGCCCTTCATCTTTGTACCACCATCACAAGCGACGTTAGTACCTGGAGGCATTGAAAAATAATTTTACTGTCTTGAAATACTCAGTTAACTTTCTGAACTTTAATATTGTTTTTAATTATCACAAAATTTCTCTTTACTATATCCGCAGGAGCCACTCAATTTCCTTCGCTAAGAACAGACACAAATTCATCGAAAAAGTGCAGACAGGAATGGGAAATTGTGATCGCTTTGCTGTAGCCGCTATTTCGTTATAACCGGTGTCGACAGTATATATGTATACCGTAATATCCCGAGTCATCGCCCACCCCCCTACCGCCTGAAATTCATTAAAAAAGTGGGGTGGGCCATGTCTCGGTGGGTGAGCACAAACACTTGAAAAAAAGCGGAAAAAACCGCCTATTTTTTTCTGCGTATCTAGCGCTGATGCACAAGAGATACATCAAACTCAAAACTCGATTTAGTTTCATTGTTTTATGAAAAAAAATGCTCACGAAAGAATATTTTACTATAGCGAAGTCCGTTGCTTGCATACGCGCTAGAAACACCGCCGATCTGCATATAGCGCGAACGTTTGTTCCGTGAAAGAATGTCACCACTATGTTCTCCTAGTTAGTAAAAAGAAAGAAAAGTCTACAAGAGAATAGAAGAACCGACCAGGCGCAACGAGCGAGCGAGCGAGCGAGCGAGCGGACCAAAGAAGCGACCAAGAGCAATGCTGGGAAAGCGGGAAAGTCGGCGGTCGCGTTGGCAAATACTTTGGCGTCGGGCCAAGTCGGGCTCCTTGTCAATTGCAAGCTCTTGCGCAACTTTGTTTGGTGCGTACATACGTGCGTCCGTGCACGGCGGGCTATCAATGCACGGTTGGGACACTCTGCAAACGTCTGTGTAGGGCGTTCCAGCAAAGCTTTATTTACACGTTGGCTTTGCCTAAAATATTGCACAACCGCGGTCGCGACGGGCGGGAAGAAGGAGCGGGTTCGCGGTGACCTTACTTCGGCGGAGACAGACTTTGACCTAACACTCCGCGGTTACATTAACAAACTCTTATTTTGTTATCTCCATCGTTTTCTTTCCGCACGGATACACGACCACTTTGGGGTCGCTCACGGAGGAAATGCGTAAACAAAAATAAGTGTCTTTCCCTCCTTCGTTTTACTTTGTAACGGACGTTCTCTAACTGTAAGGTCCGCGGCCGCGTCATTTGGGTAGGATGAGTGTTCGCGGATCGCAGAGTCCGCGCTGGGGTATTTGAAAGGGTGGGCGATGACTCGGTGTTTTTTCGGAAATCGATATTGGCCCAAAAAATGGGGTGGGCGGTGGCTCGGGGATGGGCGATGACTCGGGATATTACGGTATATAAAAAAAAGTAGACAAGAACAATATTTTTTGGCTTACAACAAAGTCACTACACAGTGTGCCAACGAATCTGGGGGAAGCCTTTAAAGTGACCATATAAATTGGCTCGGTAAAACATGGCGCTACGATTTACCAAAGAGGTGCCTGAAAGTGGAAGAAACATTGCATAAAAAAAAAAAAAAAAAAAAAGAACTTGCTTGAGTAAACAGTAAGAAAATAGTAACTGTTTTTGTCTTTTTTTCTACATACGGCGCTTGTCTGTTGATCGCGCACACTCTAACTGGCGCGACAACCGCTCGATGGACACGGCGGCACCAGCGCAAGCTTAGAGAGCCTGTATTACAGATTGTCCAACTACTTGATCAGGGTCACGTGGTTTATGGGCCGCGTTTGCAATTCAAGTTGCAAGGAGGTCCCGAAAGTGCTGATCGTCTGCAAAAGTCTCTGCCATCCTGCCTGCTTTCCTCCTCGCCACGCGAAAACGCAACGCATGCGCACTTGCGGCCAATCTTCACAGGACGCATCTGCCATTAAATTGAAAGCGCTCCCCCATGGTCCGAGATGGACCCTTTCTTTAATACCTTTCTACGCTCTCTACAAAAGCTTACCGCCCGGTTATGCCAAAAGCAGATGTTTTTCGATTATAAAAGGTGCGCACTAAATCACATTAAATAAACAAAACAAACAAAAAACAATGTTTTTTTGAGTAGTTTCAGCTACACGTCGTCCGCTTTTGGTGCAATTGGGCGGTAAGCTTGCACCTGGGCCACTGCCACCATCCGTTGCTTGTGACAGTCTGAGGGTAAACGACTCATAAAACACATTCTGTGTTACAAGTAACCCCTAGTCGCCGCAAAGTGCAAGGGCAATATAACCATCGCATGACAAATATAACTGCATTTAATCTGGTAAAATGGCATACATAAAAAAGCTTCTGCAAATAGCAATGCTGCAACTGCTTTAATGTGCTATGTGCTTGTAACAACCCAACAATAATACAGTCAAACGCATCCATAACAAATGCCTCTACTCCGAAAAGACCTGTTTAACGAAGAAGATCCTGTGTCCTGGCCAGCTTCCTACTATAACCATGTGTTGCGACCGCCTCTACAGCGAAATACAGTACAACAAAATTGCCCTTTTAACGAAACAATTTACGCATCCCCATTCACTTCCCTGTCATTTCACAATGAAGGTTTCAAGACAAAATTCTAAAGAACGCGAAAGCAATCCCTGCCTGGCCCGTAACACGCGCCCGTTGCCCATGCTCTGGTGTCGGCTGCGCGCAAATACTCATGCGTCGTTGGAAGCTCGTGCTGGATGCGGGCAGAAAAACTTTCCCGTCTCATTCTCATCACATAGTTTACTAAGGGAATGGACAAGGTACAGAGCCGTTCCGGCCCCTTCTTGCACTTAACTCGAAGCAGAATTCAGGGGCCGGAAACCAGAAACCTCGGAGCGGAGAAGCAAGGGAGGAGAGAGTAAGAGAGAAGGGGGAGTCGTCGTTGTTGGTTGTGTTTGTCTGTTTATTCTTTCGTTTAGTTGTAGCTTGTGAGCCGCGCTTCTTTCGTCAAAGCGTGAAAAACACAGAGGAAAATGTCTCCAACAGGGTTAAAAAAAAAAAAAAAAAAAAACTGGGGCGGGATTGAAACGTTATGGAAACGTTACGTCTTGCTTTTTTCCCACTCTCCCCAAACAGCCCTCCAATCAGAATTTGGAGATTTGGCGCTCCGCACAAGGAGATTACGAGCATGTGCAGTGAATGCGGTTCGTCAACTTCGGCGGTTTTGATGAACTCTTCTGTACTTCGGCTCAGGAGCACGGAGCATTGTCTGCGTTTGTTAGTCTCCACGTGGTTTTGACATTCGGCAAGCAACCAAAATGAGTGCTGGGGGTTCCGGAATTTTGAAACGGCGACAGTTTACTCTCGATGAGAAGATCAACATCATCAAGAATGTTGAGGGTGGCCAAAAGATAAGGGATGCGGCTGATGAATATCAGCGCGTCGGCATTGCCTACATTCCTGAAAGACAATGAAAAGATTCAGGTGCAAGTGACACAACGTGAAACTGGTCCACAGTGGAAGCGAATTCGTGAAGCCTTATTTCATGATGTCGACAGCACTGTTTATGCATGGTTCACTGATGTCCGTGCATGAAACATTCCTATCAGCAGGCCTCTCATCAGTGAGAAAGTTTCGCAGTTTGCTTGTGCACTGGGCACCAAAGAAACCTTTAGAGCAACAACTGGCTGGCAGAAAAGCTCCGAGAAACGCCGCACAATGTCGTTGACAACTGGCGTGAGTCCGAGTCGCTGAGACTGATGCAAGAATACAGTGCAGACGACATTTTCAACGCAGACGAAACTGCGCTATTTTTTTTCAACTTCTGCCTGACAGAACGCCATGTGTGAAGACGGATCAATGCAAGGGCGGCAAGAAATCGAAGCAACGTTTGACTGTGATGTTCTGCTGCAATTCAGTGGGGACTGAGAAGATGAAGCCCCTCGTCATTGGACGGTACCAGAAACTGCCGCGGTGCTTCAAAGGGGTCTTCTGGCTGATTATGCAAAAACGAAAAAGCCTGGAGGACGGGCGACCTCTTTCAAGACTGGTTTCTGAAGGTTGAGAAGCAGATGCGGCTCCCAGAGTCGAAGTCGAAGTCGATCAGACTGAGCGTCTGATCGACTTCGAAAGTATAAGGTCAGTGGTCATCGCTCATTCCAACAAGCGCACCACTCAAAAAGAAGACAACCCGTTTTTTTAGTAGATATCTTGGCACTTTGGACATAAAGGTTGCTTTCATTCAGTATGTTTATCCTGCTTTTTCGATTGATTGGAGAAAGGGAAAGGGGAGGGGCCATTGCGATGTTTATAATGTAGTGACCTGTATAACACAGGATTTTCATGGTCCCGGAGACTTCGTTATAGACCGACACGCTGTTTACAAACAAGCCCGTGTTTGCCCACACCAGGTGTGGGCACTGCGCTTGCGCAGAAACCGAATTCACGTGAAGCGTCGCGTCTGCGCATGCGCAGTGCCGTCGACAGCGCCACCGCAGCTGCGTGACGTCAGGGCCGCGTGTTGGTCTATAGAGGCGTCTGACTGTATAGCTGAACATTCACTTCATTTCGAGCATAAAATAGACAAATACTGTTTATTATAATGTGAATCTTCTTCGTCTTTTTCACTTCTGAATGTTTTCAGTTTTGTTGTTTTTCAAGCAGACAGCTACCACTGTTTTCCCGCTACAACTACTTTCCAACCCGTCATCAGACGTCCATATGTTGAGGAACACCCCTAGCGCAAAGTAAGGAAAAGACAGACAGCAAATACGTGACTCACCTCCTTGGTCTTGACTACAGGGAGCAGACCCACTTCTTGTCTTTGAATGCTTCACCTTGGGTTGAGCTTCAAAGGCAAAAAAAGAGGGAGATATAACGAATAATGCCTAAAGGACAGAAATGAGACTTGCACTGCACCAGTAAGTTTTGATCCCAAATTTCATATATCCCACTGATGAAACCATAAACAAAGGTTGAGATGCAATTAACACAGTCTTACGAGGAAACTAAATGTTGCAGAAGTGTACGTGGGAGGCGGTACAGCTATTTCCACGTCATGGGAGTGATCAATCTCTGCAAACTAAATGCCTGTTACATCTCTTCCACGCCTGAGGACTTTGTTCTCACAAGTCTCTCCATAAAGAGTTCAATAACAAAAGTTATTATTAATTAAGACGATAATTAATTAATTAAAAAAGAGATACCAAAGCCTTCTCGATCTGCAGTCCGACGGGCAACCAATGCACCTGGATGTCACGAACAAGAGTGTTTAGTGTTTACAGCTGCTACACACTACGGGTAATCAGAATGTGTGGGTGACCACATGACCTGCTCGTGCGATCGCACGATAGCAGGGGGCAATGTGGCGTCGTCAACTCCTATCTAAGCGCAGCTGCACCGCTTTCGGCAGTTCGTGACGACTCCTACGAGAAAAACAGATGCGGACCGTTCGAGGGCGTGTGGCCGACGCAAGTGAAGTGGAAGCGAGACGCCGCCGATAGGAGTGAACCGAAGAACAACGTCGACCATTCGAGACAGTCGCCTCGGCACCAAAAAAAAGGTAAAATTATCAAAAAAAAAAAAAGTGTATTTATTTTGCTATTCATTTATTTTTATTTATTTATTTTAACCCTACCCTTTTGGGCATTACATAAGGGGAACGTGATACAAAGATTGGTACAACTGAACAAAGTGGCAACAAAAAGAGACAAAGATAAAAATAAAGGTACAAAGCATAAACTGAAGGTGAAAGCATTTGGTGCATATTTGGCCTGCAAACATAAGATATAAAAAAGATGGTGTACAATAAAAACATGTAGATCAAGGCGAAGGTAGTGGTAACACACTGCCATTTCTGGTGCTGTGCAAACAAGTCCGGGAACAAGACATGCCGGAACGGGAAAGGGGAGAAAGTAAGGCTGCACTACGGCTTCCTCGTGAACGGCCCTGTCCAGAAAGTGCACCAGAATGAAAGAACACCGACAGCCCGTAGGCTGGTCATTAAGTGTGCACTAGTAGTGTAACACATTGCTAAAGTCTGTATGTTTCGTTGCGTGAATCGAAGGAGAGACACGTGCTGCGTCGGCGTTCGGGAGGCGCTATAGCGCTTTCTGGTTCGGTCGCTGCAGTGGAAAACCGGAAAGGGTTAGGTGCTAGCTGTAGAGGCCACTAGTGTCTTGTAGGGTCCTGCGGGGCAGCAGGTGGCGCCTCCCCGGCCTCCAATATATGTACAATACTTGAGTTGAGTAAGGACACGTTGGTTCATGTCCAGCAGGAGCACACTGTCTCTCTGCGTCCCTCTATCCTCAATCCCTTGTGGGTCCAAGCGCAGAACCTAACGGCAGCCATGACTACCACACACTAGCCAGATAACACATTCTGCGTTAAAACCCAGAGGAGCCAAGTTTGGGCGGCAACACTAGGTGAAGGGACACTCCCACCCACCATCCATGAGCCTCCAATTGAGAAGGGGGTCGTAGACAAAGGCCTCCAAGACGGCCATGAGGCTATCCTTGTTGCCTCGTAGCACCTTCATCACCTTCTCGCAGGTCATCCGGTACGTGCCCTCAATGCCTGTCACCTGGGGATAGGGAGGGGGAGAAGGCACGCTCAACGGCACAGTCCTGTAACACTACCCACACCACAGCACGTCCGCAACTGTATGCAAAAAGCTCAATTAAAGCTCGAGATCATTTAGAAAGGAACACGAGACAAACTGCTATCTTAGTTCAGAACCTTTTTTACTGAAGGATAATTAGATTTTGTGAATGGTCCTCCCGCACTAATTAGCTAGCTTAGTGTTTCTTTAATGTTTCTATCTCGATGGCAGCTAAAGAACCTGCCTAATCCGGGCATCGATGCGCTAAAGTGGTGCAGAAGCGTACAGACCTTGTAAAGCAGGGGTATGTGGCCTGTGGACGTGACACTACAAGATGTGCGCAAGACGGCAACCAGTGCGATGATGCCAGATATTGAAAACTCACGCAGTTCCCAATAGACATTTTTTTTGGCCTGCGTCATTTTTGAGTTGTGCGCTGTTGCAAAGAGTAATGCACATAATGGGAGTGCTTGGTTCATAATTACCTGTTGATAGGTGACCCAGATCTGCCAAAAATAGCACTTAAACTGGAAAAAAATCCCTTGCTTAGGAGCAGAAACGGTTGGGAAAATTTGGGAGTTTGGGGAACTATTGATGGTACTGTGGGGAAACCCCAAATTCCTAGGAACCTAGGTAGTTTAAGAGTATACAAGCAAGCTTGAAAAAATGTAAAAATAAACAATGTTTCCAGGAATTATTTTTATGCTTCCGCCGCGTCATTCTTACGCACTCACTAGAAGAAGGCTTCTACCGTCGAGAAATCTCCTCGCTTTCATACGCAACACTGATTTTACACTGCAGTGCAAGAAATTTATGGTGGTTCGAGTGCTGAACGACAAAAACGACCTCCTTTTGGCCGCCATTTTGCCTGACCAGCGCGTGCCCCCTATACTCTGCTTGAGTTGCGAATACTCAAGGTGAGAAAGGCAGTGTGGAGCTTTGGTTGTCCCGCCTCATCTTCCTACCTTCGACGACGCTTTGGCGTCTCGTGCACCTCGAGCGCACGTGTGCAGCTGAAACATGGCGGAAGGCATGGAGCGCGTGCTGGGGGCATTCGAAAGGAGTGCCATTCTCATTCTGGCAGCCACTCGACCAATATTTACAAGATTTCAAACGAGACTCCCGTTTCTACGAAGTAAGAGTTCTCAAATATGTTTCATTCGAGACAATCGGCGTCACGTCCAGGACGACTCGAATTCTGCTTCGGCTTATGGTGTACCGCGGCGGACGCTAGGAGCCACGTTAGCCAATCTAAGACTTCACGCGGGCCACGTGACTCTCTGCGCATCTATCCACCGAACCGGAAGGTTACGCCCCGAGCCATGGATCGGTTCTGGTTGCTCGCGGCGTCGGTTGCAATTCGTTGTAAGGTGAGACCGAGTAGAATATGCTCCGTTGCACTATAGGCCGCTGGTACGAGTCGCTAGTTCCTAATCTCGAAGAGCTCGCGAGAGACGAAGCGCCGGCTGGACTCGCACATTCTGCAATGTTGAAAATAACTCGCGGGACACATTTATGTACACCTGGCGACTGACTGGACGGACTCACCTCCATAGCGTTGATGAGCATGCGGGTGAGTCGGAACGGAATCTTTTCCGGAAACTTTTCCCTAGTCATGGCGACTTCGAAGCAGTCGCCGAAGTCAATGTGCAGGATCTTGCCGCTCAGCCGGTCCAGCATCAGGTTTGAGGGGTGCCTGCACACGTAGGCCGAGAAATTACAGGTCACCAACTTTATAGACCCTATTGACACCTTAAGACTCTATTGATCGGTTGTGAATAGACTATTGACTACCAATCAATCAGCCAAGAGGGCCAAGGTGCCACCCATGGGGCATGGGACTTCATCAGCTTTACAGTAAAGGCAGCTCTATGGTACCATACCTCATAACTAAAGTGCTTTCACTACATATAATTTTGCGTCGTTGAATTTTGGCGCTCCAACCTCGCAACAAATGAATTTCTTTTCACAACAAATTGCAGGTTCCACGCAGTTTTTTTTATAAAGGCGTTCACTGCGCTGGGATGGAACATGGTCCTCCGAGGCCCCAACTTAGCAATAAAATGTCGCATTTGTCAATGCTCTGGGAAGCAAAATGTGAAAAAGCAGCAGCATTGTGTTAGCACCAACTGTGTCGTGCTGTGCACTCTTCCTGGCATTCCACCGATGCTGGATGCAATGGAGCTACGTACGACAAGCGAGACAAGCCAGGGATTAACCTTGGGTGATTCTCAATTGATAGAGCAGAAGAACACATACGGCCCATTATAAGCGGTATAATAAAATAAATAAAAATTTAGGCTCGCCTCAATCATTTTAGTAAGCCTGGGAAGCGCAGAGCGTGTCCTGCGTGCATTATAACAGAATGTGTCTTAGACATTCTTGTGTCTCCGGGTTCATCAGAATGATCAAGTTTAAATTTCTTCGGGAGTAGAGTGTCCCACGAGCATGTTTTAACGAGAAGTTTTTCATGGGTTCTGCTTCTTTGGTGTGTGTGTAGGGCCTTGAATTCTTAGCACTCTCGGATTTTTAGGAGCCCCTTGTGGCAACTGAAGTTAATCGTCGGGGAAGGAGGTTCATTGCACCCTTTACTGTATCGATCGATTTTTCTCTGAAGTTGTGACATCATACGTCCGCCGCGCCTCGTCGGGAACCGGCTGCGTGCGCCGACGGACTAACATGGTGGACTAAGACGCTCGACCCGCCCCTCGCTGACAGCCGCCTGCAGACTATACTCCGCCTCACTTTAAGTCCGACCACAGCCTATGCTACGATTTAATAGAGCCAATCAAGCGGTGCATAAGGTGCGTCATCACGTCACTAAAAGTCTTTGTAGGTCTGCTATCATCAACAAACCAATCATGTACAACGAAGAAGCTGTTATCCTGCACTTTTTTCTTGCGCAATTGGTTCAGGCCGTGATAGAGAATCCACATAGAAAACTATTGCCGTGACGATGCACTCATTGCACTGCCTGATCGGCTCCTTCGGACCGTAAGGTCGCAAGTGATTGGGTTTAGTATAATTATGTTGGACAACGTACAACTCGCCATTGACGGTCCCCTGCAGACTGGATATGTTAGACTAAATATAACTCACCAGCCCCTGTAGCCTGCAGACTAAGTGTGCTGAACAAAGTATGACGGACTAAGTATAACTCGGCACCGACGATCAACCGCGGACCGAGTATGCTAGTTAAGTATAGCTAGAGGCCCTAGCTTTCCGCGATTCCGCGAAAAATCACGGAATTACCGTTTTTTCGCGGAAATCCGAAAAAAAAAAAAAAAAAAAACGTTGCTTTTGGAAGCTGTTTCTTCCAAAAAATGGCACTACACGTTTTCAAAACGAAAGTTTAAGTGAAAGGTGGCAAAAGGTGACGGAAAAGTAGTATTTTCTTATTAGTTAATGACAAAACGGTTTCTATTTCCTCATCGTTTTTACTGTCGAAGAAATTTAATTTTATATTCGCATATTCTAACCTTATCAATAAAAAAAGAAAGATGCCTAGGTGGCGCAGCCGCCAACCGAGTCAAAGGGCTCAGCCGTAGCCGTAGTCATCAATCCATCCAACGTTTGCGCAACGAAACGTTGGGATCACGGTGTTGGGACGTTGTCGCAACGGGACGGAACAGAAAGTGCGCCATTTTTTTCCGTTTTTGCTTTGATTCCGAGTTTGTGATCGACATGGCTCCCTCAGGATCTCATTTAAGCAAAAAGACAGTCAAAGAACGTGCTCGAGAATACAAGCACGCCAGCTTTTACGAAGATAGAGGAGTCCTTTTTTGCCGAGCTTGCGCGAGAGCAGTTGACTATCGTCGCAAGTCAACTATCGACGAGCTCATCCAGAGCAACAGTCATCGTAAGAATGCCGAAACAAGAGACTCTTCCAAGTGAAAAAGTGGCGAAGAACCATCTGAAGACGTTGCTGGGGGTTCAGGAACGCCGAGAAAGCAAAGTCGACTGCAGACGCTGGAATCGGCAATGACCGCTGGCGAGGCGAAGCACGACATTGTGCTCAAACTCCTGGATGCATTGATATCTGCGAATATTCCCCTAGAGAAGGTGGACAATCCGAAACTGAGTATGTTTCTACAGACACACGTTCAGAACGGCGGGTCGGTGCCTGGATCTGATGCGCTCCGCCGACGACTTCCAGAATTGTTCGAGAAGCATAAGACAGCGTTGAAAGCTATGTTTCAAGGTACCACGGTGTCGGTAGTTATTGATGAAACCACTGATGACCGATCAAAATCGGTTGTGAACGTGCTGTTCGTTCAGTCAGCCAGAAGTGCGAGTGCCTCGCTTCAACCTGTACTGGTGGAAGTTAGGTAAATTCGTGGATGAAGTGAACTCGTCCGTGATAGGCCGCATTGTAACGAAGACACTGATGAAGTACGGAATTGAATTCGAGGACGTGACGGGCTTTGTAAGCGATAACGCTGCTTATATGGTGAAGTACTTTAAGGAGTGCATAAAGCCACTTTGCGAGTGTGCTGTTCACATTACGTGTGTAGCCCATACAGTAAACATTGTCGGCAGCACATTGCAGGCATCTTTTCCCTTGGTGGACAAATTTGTCGCCTGTCCTTCCGTCTGTCGAGCCTTCTGTCTCGACAGACGGAAGGCCTTCCGTCTGTCGAGTAGGAAGAGAGCTTTCTACAAAGCTCATCTGGAGAAGTGTGGGGTCGAGTGTGCCAAAACACCTCCAGCACCTGTCAAAAGTAGGTAGAATTCGTGGATTAAAGCTGTTGAGCAGCATTCTGCTTACTTTTGAGCACTACCCTTCTTTGCTAAGGCAAGTCTATGAAAAGTATGGAGACGCAGCGTGTGTTGATTCTCTTCTGGAACTTTTGAATGAACACTCGATCGAGCTTAAAAACAGCATGCGATGCATTGCAGTATTTGGCAAAAAAGTTGCAAGCCTGCTGAAAGCAGCAGAGGGTCAGCGTGTAGCCTGCCACCAAAGCGTACAATGCTTTGTTTACACTCTGGGGATATTTGGAAGCAGCTGCACAGGAAGATTTTGAAACACAGCTGAAGAAAGAAAACATGCAGATGACGAGGCCCATCGGATTGCAAACAAAATGGAGGCTGCAATGAGTAAAGCGGCTAGCAAAGCTTTAGTATATTTGGAGGAGTCTGACACTTGGAAGTTCTTCAAGAGTGTGAGGTGCTTGGATCCTCTGCAAATCGGGTGTCTCTCGGAGAAGAGATCAGAGTTTGCAAGTGTGCCTGGACTTGGGGAGGACTCACTAGCCCTAGCTGCTGAATGGCAAGTGTACCTGAAGTCCGCTCAAGAACTCAAATCAAGTGACAGGGACTTAGCACCATTTCTTTCTAAACAAGAAAATCCAGGTGAAGATTCTGATGTTCTGGCTTTCTGGGCAGGGATGGAACCCCTGACTCCAACACTTTCTTCCATTGCCCTTAAATACCTGTCAATGCCACTCAACTCAGTTGATGCAGAAAGGTCGTTCGGTCGATACGGTGACATTGTGTTCCACAAGCGACACTCCCTCAGTGAAGAGAGTACCAAGCATCATTTGATGCTCAGTCACAACAGCTTCCTTTTAATTTGATGCAAGCAAGCATCAAAGTGTTTAATAGCGTTCAACAAATAAACTGTTACATGTACCTTATGTCTGTTCAATGTTGCCGCAGAATTTTGCAGATTCCTCTATCTGGATTTGCAGAATTTCAAATTTTCCACCGCATAAAGTGAGGGGCTCTAAGTATAGCTCGCCTCCAACTGCGGACTAAGTATGCTGGATAAAATATTGCTCGCTGCGGACGGTCGCGCTCTACTGTGGGCGATTGGCGGCGGCGAGTCATACTTAGTTTGGTTGCTTGAGCTCTCGTTCATCTCCTACTTGTGGCGCCGAGCAAAGATGTCGGACTGCAAATCCCGTGGTGTGAAGTTCGATATCCGTCGAGCTCCTCGATGAATCTCTGTGGCTTTGACTGCTTGTTCCTAGTAACGATTATGTATAAACTACTACGACTAATTATGTCTTCTCTTCCTTGGATGCTTATGCGTCACCCACCATGGGCTATGCATGCTGTACGTTGCCCTGTTCTGCGTGTAACGCTTTTTCGTCACGCTCGAGCGTTACACTTTTCCAAGAAATCCAGCCCATAAACACATTCCACGCTAAAAGAGTTGGAAAAATTACAGAGTTCATTGTGACAAGTTTCATACATTTTAAAGGGGCCCTGCAATCATATTTAAGCGTCCACTTTTTTTGCGGTTTCCACGTCTCTGGGGGTTCAGGCAATCCAGCGGGCACGGAGAGAGTAACTAAATATCAATGCGTCATATTTTAACCGGACGACGCGGAAACCTCCTCCACCGACGAGCGCGACCCGCGGTACCGAAAGCGCGCAAAATGTGACGTCTTTGGTCCTAGGCTTACTACTGGTCAGAGCCGCTAAAAGCTTCTCTTAAGTCGAAATACAAAATATAAGTGGCGCGAACCATTTCAATTTTTTATAAAAGTTTTTTGTTCAGTATTTTAGATCAAAAAAGAAACGAATGCAGATCATAAAGTACGGAAACAAGAAATGACCCGTTGGCATACCCGCCACCAAGCGGTGGAAAAGGCGGCGCATACTAGAAAGGAGTAGTGGGATCAGGCGCCGACACGGAAAGGTCACGGATGTACGCGGCGGCGCTGCGGTCATTTGGGCAGGAGGATCCGAGCGGCTCCGAGCGTTCCGAAGGCCTTCGGCGAGAAGCTTTGTCTTGCGGTTTGGCCGTTTCGCGGTATGGCAGCGCAAAGTAGCTCCTATTCTAAACTGATCTTTACCCAGTGTTTGCTGTCGTTTGTGGCCAATGAAGTGTCATGCCGAATTAGTATTTAATCGCGCAGCAAATGCAATGAGAGCCGCTCTGGCTGCCCGCTGCATACAGCCTATCCAGAACATGCTTCAACGGCGCCCTCTCGCGCCGTCGACTTGGAGTGCGGCAGCCGTGAGCGCTCGATAAGCTCACTACCCCTCTTCTAGTTCACGGCCACTCTCAAGCAACCAAGGACGTCATGAGGGAGGTTATTTTTTGCTTGTTTTTGTAACTTTAATTTGCCTATAACTTTTAAAATAAAGGGAATTTCGAGAAAAGAAAAGTTTCACTAAGTTACTATGTTCAGTGCGCTCAGGTTCGGTGCAAATTAAAAATTAGTAAAAAAGTCATTGCAGGGCCCCTTTAAGGGAACGATCAACACCTAATAAATGCCCTAGGATTTCTGAAAGCCCCCTTTGAAAGGCCTTAATTGGCTCCTCATGGTTGACCTTTTAGGGCAATTCTTTTTAGATATCTCGCAAGTGTCCACATGTTCTCAAACCAGTCTGGTTTCTGGGAAACTAGGACGGTGCCATATTCACCACTAATTTCTAGACTGACACATTGAGACTAACAGGAAAAAAGTCCTTGTCTCCCAAGGCAAAAGCTACTGGTAACGCATCCGAAATGCTCAACGTACCTGTCCCCTAGTCCAAGGACGTAGCCGACCATGGACATCACAGCGAGGGATCTGGTGTAGTTAGTTCGCCGATCAAACCAGACCTGAAATCGTGCGGGTAAAAGTAAGCCAGCATCGGGCAAGTTCACGTGAAACGAAGAGCCAACCCAGCCGGTGGTGCAACAGAAAAGAATTGCCTGGCTTAGACATTTCGTCAAAGGCAATAAACGGGCACGATAGCACTTCACACGGTTCTGAACAAGCAACACTTGCTAGTATCGAAATGACATGCAATGCGACACATGACGAAAGGATCGTGAATGCATAAAGCACCTCTCTTCTTTGGCGGCACAATTTTCCCTGAAATGGCACTGCGCGTACAACCTGACTGAGAAATGCCTTCGTGCCTACTAGGTTATTCTACTAATCCCACCTTACTAGGCATCCCTCATTCCTTTGCGGTAGAGGGGAAAAAGGGGAGTGTTAGTGCATTGCTTACCCCTCCCCCCCTCCCCCTCTCTCTGCACGGCACTACACCATTGGTTGTGCACGCTGCGACGTCAAGCCGACGACTGCGCCCCATTGCTGAAACTCTCTTCCACGCTGGTCTGTGGAGGGCTCCAGCGTAAGGTAACCGCTTTCAAAGATACGAGGAAACACTGGAGAGCTCACCTCCGAGCTGGGGCTTTTGAGCCAGAGCAGCTTTGCCAGGTCGTCCCCATTGGTGTGCTCGAGCGCATGCTCAAACACCTCCACCTTCTGCATCAGGGTCAGGTGATCGTAGTCGGGAGCCATCTGGAAATGGGAAGGTACTTAAATCACCCCAAAAAGCACTTGCAATAGAGGCTCCCTTAGTTTGTCTGCGGTGTACTGGCGTGGACCGCCATGTTTTGCTGCTGCTGAGGCTGCGGTCGCCGACGATATAGACGCTTCAGGTGCCGCCATGTTCCTCGGCTCCGAGCGGAGCAGAAGCGGCCGCAGCCCCGGCAGTGCGCGACACAAGAGCGGCAACCGAGCGCGAGCCTCGGGGCATGCGTGACACGGAGCCAATGCGAATTTATCCCTTAAATCGCTGCTACAGACTACAGACTGCGCTCCATGGGACAGGGGAATTTAGGTACCATTTGGCACGGCTTCAAAAGCTGAAAGCGTTGGTTCGCTCCATGGGATAGCTAGTGCTTTCGCATTAAAAAAAAACAACAGCATAGAGGTAAAAACGACTACACTGTACACATGCTAGTGCAATCCTAACCCGTTGAGTCAGAGACCCCAGCACAGAAGGAGGACAAAAACAAAGATGATAGAATCGAAGCAGGACTTTTCTTTTTAAGGGCAACACTAGTCTTAGAGCTTGCTCAGTCATTGTTTGCCGATTTCGAATACCCGGTCACTCTTCAAGCTACTCAATTCATTCTCAAGGCCATTACACATTGCTCATTTTTGTTTGCAAGAAGAAATAAAAAAAAAGAAAAGCTAAAGAGAAAGTTATTTATTGCAAATGGCTAGATTCTACAAAGTATAAAAAATCCATTCTTGGAAGTACTTTTCAAATTGAACCATTATTTCATGAAACATTGATGCATGCATGGCTACTAATTAATAGAATGAAAGACCAAAACTACACATTTGGCCACCTGCAGCAAAGGAAAGTCATTGCTCTATCTGCCCTACCACCCTCCACAAATTTTTAGACTCTAAAAGTTGTGTTTTGAGAAAGTGTCAGTTTACTGTCAGCTTCAACAAAAATTTAGCCTGCATAGATGTTATAAACTGCTACTACTGCACAAATATAAATCCACACAATTACAAACTTGGCAGATCAGGAGAGAAATTAGGTATATAAATCATGAAACCGTCATTTACAGAAAATTGTTCCCTTGGCAATCTTCTGGCACCACAGACCCACGTTCCAACCCTTAAGCATTCCACGTGCAACTTCAGCACCAACCTCAACCGCCTACACACGTTTCTTGCTTGACAAGAGCATCCCGAATCCAGTACTTTGTCCAATCAGTAATTGACAAAGGTAAACAGTGCTAGTACGACCAATCTTGGTTACCAACGCAAGTTATCCAAATGAAGTCGGCACGCGAGACAAAACTCAAACTCCAAGGTTAGAGCCTCGTCTCGTGGTTCGAACCTTGGGGTTCAAATCCCAAAGAAAAGCGAAGAGGTTTCCCTCACCCGGAGCATGATCCTGTGCTCGATGTTGAGCAGGATCTTCTTCTTGTCCCGGTAGTCGCGGATGAGCGTGTGGAGAGTGTCGCAGTGGGGCACCCACCCGATGAGGCCGCTGTTGGTCGACAGGGGGATCACCGAATACCGCTGGATCCTGCATCATTGGTGGAAGAGACACTATGTCAGAGGACTAGGAGCAGGACAAAACAAATTTCAAGATAAAAAGCGGTTGGATATTTAAACTCTAGGAAGGGTAGTTTGCATCCTTTTAAAAATATTAAGTTATACTCAGCGTATTTGCATTCTCCGATTTTCTCAATACCTTTAGTAAAAAGCGGCATCCCAATCAAATTGCCTTTAAAAGCACAAACGAAGTCAGTTTGTTGTTGTAAATGGCTCACAGTCCTCTACTGTGCAAGTCACATCTGGTGTACCGCAGGGATCGGTCCTGGGGCCACTTCTCTTTTTGTTATACATTAATGATATCACCGAGGGAGTAGTGTCGCAGATGAGACTTTTCGCGGATGACTGCGTTTTATATGGGGCTGTTGCTTCTGTTGAGGATGCTAATATCATACAGCGGGATCTTGATCGAATTAACCAGTGGTGCCTCAGATGGCGTATGCAGTTAAATTTAGGGAAAACTGTTTTTATGACATCCACAAGGAAAAAAAACCCGTACGCTGTATCTTATGCCATAAATAACAATATTTTATCAAGAGTGTTAGAATATAAATATCTGGGGGTAAATTACACGACTGACTTAAGATGGAACACACACGTTGATTACGTAGTGGCCAAGGCTGGTAAAATATTAGGGTTCCTCCGTCGTAATGCAAGAAACTTCAATAAAGATACTCGGGATTTGCTCTATAAAACATACGTCAGGTCAGTCATGGAATACGCCTGTGTAGTCCGGGACCCGCCTACAGCACGTGACAAAATAAAACTAGAAAGACTGCAGAACTTAGCTGCTCGGTTTGTTACCGGGAATTATAGTATAGATTTCAGCGCAACACGCACAAAAGATGTTTTAAAATGGGAGCTCCTCGAAACTCGCAGAAGGAGACTTCGTTTAAAGTTGTTTCATTGCATTTATCATTCGACAGTTGGCATACAAAGAGACATGTATATAATGCGGCCCCACTATCAATCGGAGCGCGTTGACCATAGTTTCAAGGTGAGAGAAATCACGTTCAAAACAGAGGTATTTAGGATGTCCTTTTTTCCAAGAACAATCTACGAGTGGAATCGATTGCCTCCGTCTTTGGTTGGTGTACTGTCAAATGATGACTTTTTTTCTCTGTTAGATTAAATCTAGCTTGAGTTCTTCCCTGCGTGGTTTATAAGCTATGTTTATATGTGTTGTTTATAAGTTTCTATTTCCTTGTATGGTTTATAATTAAGGTTTATATGTTGTTTGAATGATTCATCTGCCGTGGAGCAGAGGTCTGACTGACATTGTACGTTGTTTTTTGTATGTATATCCCCCCCACTGTAATGCCTGATTTGGCGCTGTGGGTATTGCATAAATAAATAAATAAATAAATAAAATAAAGGGCGCAATTACTTGCAATGCCAACTTTTTCCCTAGCCCTTCAAGTAGAGTTCCCTAACAAGCTATGTGTGTATAGTCTAAATTTTCAAGAGATAAGACTATGTTCATTCACCTTGGTTCATGTGGTGCATATAACGACAAGATAAACCATCATTCCACAGTCCCAAAAGGTACAATTTATGAAACAATACAGTAACACACATAAGGAAGACCAAGACTATCGTTATGTACCCGTATGATACATAGTCATCCAGTCTCCCTTCATACGTAAAATAAGCTCAGAAGAACGACCAAAAGAGTTTTGTTCTCCGCGTGTGGACAAGAAGAGAAAAAATGAAAGAAGTTTACAATTCTCTGTAATGTCGAATTAGAGCGCAGCTCTTGAGAAGGAGGAGGGGAGGGTACGGAGGGGAGGGTCATGTGTGATGTCAGACATGACGTTACGTGTGAGGTCATGAGGGTAAAATTTTTCGTCTAAATAGACCTATTGTTATATTACCCAAGCATCAAGGAGAATGCAGGGATTGGTGTTCCACGCGCCGCACGTGCTGGCCTCGGCAGTAGTAACTTTTTCTAAAGCGAATACCTAAAACAAATGGCATCTTGCACGCACGTTCATCGTTTTATTTTGGTTATTTACTTTGAATCTTTTATACGGGGAAGGCGTGCGCGTGTGGCACGTGGAACACCAATCCCTGCATTCTCCTTGATGCTTGGGTAGTATAGCAAATGGTCTATTTGGTGAAGAAATTTTTCCGCTAAATCTGGTGGGAAAATTTTCCACTAAATTTAGCGGGAAACTTTTTCCACTAAATTTAGCAAGGAAATTTTCCCACTAAATTTAGCGGAAAAATTTCCCACCAAATTTAGTGGGAAAATTTTGGCCTCGTGACGTCACACGTGACGTCATTATGAAGAATGTCCTATAATGCAACGTGCAATTACGTCGACGGCGACGTTGCTCAAGCCAGAAACGGACGCCTAAGAGCTAAGCTCTAAAAGGGCAGAACTTCATTGCGTGTAAGGCCTACGTCCCGGACGAGCCATCTGGCCCATGTCTCGCGAACAGAATCTGCAAGGAGACCGGACTGGTTGGGGGACAGAAAAGGGCCGTCTGACCAGGCTTTACGACTCTTCAAACCATAAGAAACAAGTGATGGCACGACAAGTCACGCCAAATAGTTTCAATCTCTGGAGCATTTTGGTTGAGTCGTGTGCACAAAACAGACAAGCATTCAGATCTCTAAAGAGGCGGCTGGGCTCACGTCAGATTCCTCCTCGACGTCTCGGGATCGTTCACCAGCAGCGTGTTCACCAGACCGAAGAGCTGCATGACCCGCTCGTCCTGCCTCAGGTCCTCGTGCCCTTTCAGCAGGAACATGTAGTCCTTTCCGTTGCTGCCTGGTGGGGCACGCGGCATAACGGCATTGAGACAACAATGAGAGCTGGATAGACGCGTGGGCCAAACGCATAATGTAAAAATTCACGCATAATAAGAAACCCGCATATAATACACAAAACAATCTGAGACCCGCAAAACAAAAACAAGAGGAGGTTCGATCTGCATATATTGTGACTGATGAACACATTTTGAAAACAATGATTTGCGCTGCGCCCACATTGCACCTAATCATTCTCGTCCGTTGCACTATCTTCCAACATCTCCTTGTCCAATGGTTCTTTCCAAAGCCGGTTGGTTGCCTTTTGTGCCATCCAGTACATCAAAGACACCACCTTCTTAAAGGGGCAGTGCAACGGTTTTAATGTTGAAAGAATTGCCAGTTTGCATTTTTTATATTGTTCATACAAGCCCAAGTGACCAAAAACGCGTCACCTTTCCCCAAAAAACGGCTATTCTGCAGCGTAATCGCTAGGCAAAAAACAAATTATTTGCCGATCTGCAGCCGCCGGTGGCGGCTACGGGAACTAAAATACGGCGTCTCTGGGGGATACGCGGAAGACAACAAGCCCTGTCCCCCTCCGCTGCTACACTCGCCGTCAGCCCCGTGGCGAACCGTCCTTTGTGTCCATCGCTTGCCGCGACCTTCGACGAGGCTAATCCTTTGAAAGTCGACATTCGCGGAGGAAGCGGCTGGGGTCTCTGGAGAGAGGGCCCAAGGGGAAACCACGTAAACCCCCAGAGACGTCACTCGAAAGTCGACGTTGAGAGGTACTTCGACCTTCGATTTGTTTCATTTTTTTAAAAATAAGAACTAGCGCTCGCAAGAAAATGCGGCTTTCGGTTTTTCGTTCCATAGGTGACGCAGATTAATTTCCGCAGTTAATTGGCCAAAGTCTGAAAATCGTTGCACTGCCCCTTTAAGAGCACAAGTGACGAGCTCTCGGGGAATGGTGTCTTATATGCTTTGGGTATCCACTTGCACAATGTGGCTAGAAAGGCTTGCCCAGGGGAAGTCACCACAGAAACCTCTGATCAGACAAGAAGTGTGGGGAGAACTGGGGATACCGGGAGACGAAGAAACTGAAACACTTTGGCGACTGCGTGGTATCGTTGTAGGGTGGAGGCGCAACTGTGCAACTCGCAAGCAGCACACAATGACGATGGGCAATTTGATATTGTATTCCCTTGAAGTGAAACTATGCGAACCCACGTTTGCATGCCTCCCGCAAAAGCTTATAATCGTTTGAATCCACACTTAATAGAGGTGCAAACATAAAACGCAAAAAATCGGGAAGAAAACAAAAAAGTCTATAATATATACGCAGGTTTGTATGGTGGTTGGAGTGGGCTGGAGAATCTGGCTTGCCTTTGATGCAGAGCTTGCGTGGCCTCTGCTTGCTCGTGATGACCTGCAGGGAGCTCTCGATGCGCGCGATGCGGATGACCGGTTGGTTCGGGTTGTAGCTTCCCGGCACCGCAAGTTCAAAGTCCTGGCACTTGAGCAGTTTCGGAGAGACATACTGCAGCTCCAGAGACGTCAGCTGGAAGTAAGCATTCCAATACATGTAAAAGGTTTGCGTTTTATCCGGTGTAAGCAGCCTTTAACCATGAAACACAACTCGGCACAGAGGACGTTCCCTACTGTCTCTTGTATACAGCATTCGGTCACACTACTAGCCATTAGTCATGTTCAGAATGCAATGCAAACAGCATGAGAACAAACAGAAATGCGAGAAAACCCCCGTTCGAGTGAAATATACCTAACAAATTACAGGACATTTCAGGGGAGAGTAAGCTGGCTTTATGTTCTAAATCTAACCGGAGCCGGTCCACCGCTGACATCCACTAAATCCCATGACTGTGCAGAGTTTAGAAATGCTACTCTGAGTTGAATGTCTATTCTTTGTCTCTAGAGGATTACAATGCCATTCGAAAACACTAATCGCACCTGTGGAAGCTGTTTAGAAATCCGCCGGAAGACGTGGTAGTACAGGTCCCAAGCTTGAGTCAGGTCCTTGACGTTGAGGGAGCGCTGATACTTCTTGCACCACTCGAGTGCTTCGGCCAGATCTCTGCCATAGGCCTGGGAGAAGAGCAGGGGGAAAACACTTCAAGCATTTCGACAGTCCCAACTAAAGTCCCTTTCTAGGAAGGTTTCTTGCCTCAAAAAGGACTTGTGTTAGTCCCTTTGTATCAAGGAGACTAACAGGAGTCTCTGCTTTACGCGAGGAATGTCGGCGAGACCACTGGACCGGTTTATTGGAAGCACAGAGCCATGGTCACCCGTAAGTCAGCATTCACCATTCGTCACCGGCTTTCTCACTCCAAAAACAGACCCCGCAAAAAATATTTCGAGGCCTGGCCTGCCGCATCTAGTATGCAGACTGCCCAGCTACCAATGTCAAGGAGACAAAGAACCTCCCAGAACGCATCTCCTACCATTCGTAAGGCACAAAGAAAGACATCCAGGTCAGTGCCCTTGCTGAATATGCAGCAAAACCAGGGCACACAATTTCTTTCCACCACAGCGAGATCCTGGAAATAGTGAAACACTGGCAGAAATGACGGCACCTCGAGTCCTGGCACATTCAGAATATAAAGGGAAACATCAATTGCCATACAGAAAGCGCTTTCTGCGTTTACCTTCAGGCACACTGACGAAAGTTGGTGCCAACTGACGACACTGATCCAAAGCGACGATGTAGATGAAACGACACTACTCTGAAGTGCAGCAATTTTTGCGGCCCTGCCCAATTCGTAGGGTTCATAAAATAATCCAAAAGAAAAGGTGCACCTCCTTCCCTTGCATTTCGTTCACTTTGAAACATCGGCAAACAGTTGTGAACATCAATGGGTCCGATGGATCTATTTCGTTGGCTACGCTTCGATATGTGCAAGGAAGCAGCAAAGCATCCCTAGTTTTGAGGTGACAACGTCTCACCCGAAGGGGCGTATGTTCGGAAACATTGCGTAATGAAAAAAAACCTTGCTATACCAGCCTACTGATCTGAGACCATAAACCAGAAAGCAATTGTTCTGATGTCGTTATGTAGCTGCTATCCTCGACTCGACGTATCACCCGTTTGAAACATGCCCATTCACTCCCCTCCCTCGCAGGCGTGGGGTGAAATGGCGTTCCTGATGAGCCAACAAGTGCGCGCTCAATGCAGTTTGACTTGCTCTTGCTGGCAGACGTGTCGTTTGATTGATTTGTTTTTGCTATCATTTCAAAGTTGAATACAGTTCCCAATAGGTGATAACATAAAACTTGTGACAATACTGTGCTGCTAATTCCGCGTGAAAGTTGAAACTTGAGCCTAAAATTGACCGTCGAGGCCTCTGTTTCCTTTCCTATTGTATACATATCGCTGAAATGTCGCATATTGATAGACCTGATCGAGCCAAACGTGATGATAAAAAATAAAAGAAATATCTCCATCCGGTTAAGAGATATGCACCCAAGAAGATGATTGCAGTACGTCCGACGCTGACATGACGTCACCCACGCCACCATCTTGTGACTTGCCTCGCATGTCAATTGTTTTTGTGATTGACTCTGTGACTAACAAATAAATGTTTTTCATTTGATACTTGCATTTCATTACATTAATTCTGTGACATAAAAATTTGTCACATTCGATACGTGCGCTTCATTTCACTAGACTTGGCACATAAACTTTGACATGCCTTAAACTTGCGGCCGTGTTGTATACATAGCCAACCTGTTTTACTCCTAGCTTTATTTTGCACGAAAATACCAGCATTGCGCACTGTACATAAAGAAATAACATTGACAGGCACTGGAACAACTTTAACTCCTTGCAGAAAAACAAACACAGCAAGTCATCTGCTTACCTCTTCTGTTTTAAAGCGGTATCTTTATAGGGTCAACCAACCTCAACCAACCATGCCGCATAAGCAAGAAATGTGTAGGTTGGTCAGACAGTAACCGCCAAACTATTTCAAGAAATGCAGGGTGCCAGGGATTGAGCCCTGGTCACCAGCGTGGAAGCAGAGTGAGTTGCAGACTGAGCTACGAACGCAGCACATAGGAACGGGAGGAGCAGGAGCAGGTGGTGTGAGAAAGCGCGCGGAGCGGAGAGGGCTGGAAAGGGTGAGAAAGAGAGGAACAGAAACACGCGGCGTAGAAAGAGCGCACAGAACGAAGAGGAGTGGAAAGGACAGGAAGGCATGCTTCTCTTTTGGTGACTTAGAAAATTCAGTACAAAAGCTTCGTATCCAGGTGGTGCTGAAGGGAAGCGTGCGCAGCGCCACAAAGAGGAAATGGTGTGATGCAATCTGTTTCCATACAAAACCCTGCCGATAAAGCTACCACATTTAAATGTGTTTTGCAGAATGACCAAACATGCAGACAATTTTTTTTTCTGTCACTCTCCTTCCCGCTCTTTTCTTTGGGACCATCGACATCGGTACTTATGATTTGTCGCATTCTGCTCCCATCATTACTCCCCTGGCCCCCTCCTTTCTAACCGTGGTTCTTGACGGGGGGTAGAAACGGGAGCAGAATGTGGCAAATCGTAAGCGCTGATATCGGTGGTCCGAAGAGCAAGACAGAAAGAGAGCAACAGAAAGGGAGAGAAAGAAAGCAGACAAATGCTTGGGTGCATTAGTTTTGCCGCGATGGGTTGAAGCTGTTTGAGTGCTTGTCAAGTTTATTTTATTTCTTTTTACATTGTGCGACGCCAGGGGTTTTGTGCAAAACCAAACTAGAAAACAACTACGCACAGACCTCGCAAGTCATTCTTTACTACTTTTTTGTGTATATACTAAAGTGTTGCCAGCAGTATGGGCCTCCTGGGACCACAGATGTCCGTTTCCATGCTCCGTCGTTTCGGAGCGACCAAAATGCATGGGTAGCCCTTTTCCTCTAGGTCATTATACAAGCTCTAGGAAGGCGGCGGAGGGGTGCCCCACCTGGTTGAAGGAGGTCTCCCTGAGGGTCTGGGGTCCCCTCTCCATCATGGCGTGCAGGGGCTCCAGGGTGGCGAACATGCCCTTGACGTTGCGCTCCCCAAAGTAGAGCCGGGAGGCCTCCTCCAGGCCCTCGTGCCACAGCTCGTGCCACAGGATGGCCACCCGGATCAGTTCCTCGCTCACCTGTTAGAAGAAGCATCCGGATACCGTCACATCTGCTAGCAACGCCCTTTTTTATCTCGAGAAGTAACACAACCTTCCTACGAGCAGAGCCGTGGGGCGCACAGAGGGCCAATTGTTGCAATTACGGAAAGGAAGCCACCAGAGGAGAATGTACAGATTGTGTCTGAACCCAAGTAAAGTGCAGCCTACCTAGTAACAGACTATATACACTACAAATGCTGTGACAAGTTTTTATTTCTATCTTTTCTTAATTTTGGGTAAATAGACAAATTCCTAAATTTCTTAAATGACGTATATCTAGGCTGCCTATATTCTGCTTCAACCAAAAACATCCGTCAATAAATTTCTAACACCAGTTGAAATCAAACATCACCGTTCGATTCGGTAAACAACTTCGTGAAATGAAGGCATTCACAGCAGGCCTGTGCGAACAGTAGATTCCGAGTTCGAAGCAAATCTGAAGCGAATAATGGTTTTGGCCGCATATTTAGAAACTGAATATCAGATAGTTGTTGCACCTTTCTCCTAGCCTTCCACTTCTGTTGCGTCACACTGTAACGAAAATACAGATGATGTCGTGACGCTTACATTTGTCCACTTCTAAACTCAGTCAATTTCAATCTAACTTTCTATCAAATGTAGCCTCAGAAAGTCCAAAGCCTACATTGGAGTGGCAAGTAAATAACGTATTCGACATACAATTACACCTGCAGACATTTCCAGCTACATACATATCTAATTGAGGAGATTTATGAAGCTTTTTGCTATAGGCAAATTCCTGTTTTTATTAATGAGAAAAATATGAGGAATTTTCTGTAAGAACAGCAAACAACAAACAATATGCGTGTCGTCCCGCTACAAAGGTCCCGCTCCTTTCCGAAAAGGGCTTTGTTGTTGGGGCACGGTACGGTCAATCCCACCTCCCGCGGTTGTGCCCATGGTTCCCCCAACTTTTGAGAATCCACCAGATTGAGCAAGAGTTTCCTATTTCCGGATTGGTCTTCCACTGGCACCGTAGACATAGAACATCCCAGAACATATGCCACCTGGGGGGGGAGAGGCACCCCCTGGGAAAGCAAGACAACGCTCAGACACGTCCGGCGCACAAACTGAAATGGCGCATGCCCACACGCAGGAACGCTGAGAACAACGTCAAAGTGCCAAACTACATTACCACCTTCTCATGGACAACGAGCGCCATCTCGGGGGAAGCGGAAACAAAAATAAATAAAAAAAACAAGCCCCAATTTTTGTGGTCCTTCGAATTTGGTGTACTTACGGAACAGATAGACTTGTATTAGTAATTTTGATATCATTCGGTTACGCATTATTAAATAATGCAAGAATGCCGAATTAGGCAATGTCAGCAATTTCAAGATGTTTATTTTTATATATCGTAAAATTTTTAGTTAAATATCTGTTTGGTTAAAAGTTGATAACATGTCAATGTCTCTAGAGCAAAAATGGCAAAGAGATATGTGCAATGGTTATCTCGTGGTTATTTTTTGAAAAATGGTGGAAAACTGCATGTATTCTCTACGGGGGCTTCTAAAGTGCGCCCCCTCTTAAATACACCAGGCGCCTGTCGCACTTCGAAGGTGTGCTTTCCTCCCAAGCACGCGTCTGCACCGCGGCAAAACGAGGTTCGTGGGATTGCGGTGTCAGCTCCATGGGTATTACTTCGCTGCGGTGCACCGGTGCTCGGTAAGAAGCTCGCTTAACGGGGCTAATTAAAAAATTATGAATATCGCAATTCGTCTCAAAGCGAATATAGAATTATTCGTTTTGCTATTCTGAAAATAAAATAGTTGCACAACCCTAGTTTACAGATATAAAATGAATCGCGGTGAAGAGCCCCAACTTGGCAACCAAAGGCAGCCCTCAAAGATGGGCTCACCGTGACGGCCTGGTTGACGAGCCTGGCGCTGTGCTCCCGCATGACGCCAAGCGCTCGCAGGGCTGCTCGGGTGCGAGCCGGCAGAGCCGACTTGGACGCAACCGTGAGGGGGTAGATGAGGGCCTGCAACAGACGCATAGAGCTCACACCGCGGGAAGCACAATGACGACGAAACTGCAACCGATGCAAAATAATCATTCGCACAAATGAATCTATTAACACACTCAAATAAACCGCATTTAATTACTCACGTCTACTATTCCTTGGCTATTACGGCAGAACTTACCAGACAAACTTGGTGAAACGTAAATATTTATTGTCGGTCGCACAAGCGACGGCATGCCAGACTGTTGCGAGCTAAAGAAAAATTCACAGTAATCATGTTCACAAACACTGGAGAGCACAGAATATCTTGCTAATGAGCTGGGCACATGCTATGTGTTGCGACGTCACGAGGTAACAGGACTGCTATGTCACATGCCGTCATGGTGTCACGACATCCCAGTGTAACATGGCATCACAATGTCACGTGATGTCACAGTAACTTGACTTCATGACGTCACATGACGACATGACATCACGAGACATCGTATGAAACCACGGTTACGTAGGCGTGACATTAAGTGACTCCATGATGTCGTGCGACATTGTGACGACAGAACATCCAGATAATGCCAACATGACACCATGTCACCGTGACATTGTCATAACATCAGTCAATAAAGTGACGCGACATCACCGGGTTGTGCGACATTACGGTGTCAGGACGTCAGTGTCTATGTGACGTCACTGTGCTTCACGACGGTTCTTCATGATGGTCTGCTCGTAGGCTTCGACTAATAAAACAAATTCTGTGTTAAGAAAATTCCAGGACACTCGAGGCTGCTTACGTGTAGGAAGGTGAAAGCATTATAGTACCGCAGGAGAAATATTTTTGAGTAACGTTTCTACACCTATTAAAGTTTACAACGATGTATAGGATGACATTGAGGACAACGTCCTAGAGATCGACATCAAGTATGACATATAGAACGACCTCTAGAACGACGCCGAGGATGATCTCTCAGATCCTACCGAGGACGACGTCGAGAATGACGTCTAGAGGACGACGTCGAGAACGACGCCTAGAGGACGTCTAGGATGACCTCTAGTACGACGTCTCGGACGACCTCAAGAACGATGCCTAGAGAAAGAAGTCTAGGAATACCTCAGGGACGACACCTAGTCGACGATATCTAGGATGACCTCAATATGTCATCCTTAAACATACGATTGAGTGACATGTGCTTGATGACATATTAGAGCGCAGCTCTTAGGCACCCGTTTCCGGCTTGAGTGGCGCCGCCGTCGGCGTAACCGTGAGGTCACGTGACCCCCCCAGGTCCAAAAATCACGTGACCCCCCCCCCCCCTCCCCCCCCGAGATCACGTGACCCCCGTGAGGGGAGGAGGAGAAAGGAGGGGAGCAGGGAGGATGAGCACGGGGGACGAATCCGAATTTTCATTACTCCGAAAAATGATTTTAAAAGACTTTTACCTCTTGTCCCTCGGCTGACTTCGAACCAGAGCCCTTTCGTTCAGGAGTAGCAGGCAGGATAACGAGGGAGGAGGAGGGAGGAGGGCTATACCCTCCCTTCAGTACTCTCCCCTCCTCCTCCTCAAGAGCTGCGCTCCAATTCGGCATTACAGGGAGTTGTAAACGGCTTTGACTTTTTTAAAGAGCATGTTACCTACATATACTGCCTTTCATTTCTTTGAATGGTGACACCGGTCATGGGACAGGGATGCTAGAATACCCGGAATCCTGATACCGACTGTGCGTCGTAAGATTATTTTTATGGCCATCTTTCGGGCACAACGACGCCACTCTTTCGCTTAATAGGACAAGTAAGGCTTCTGCCTTAAGGCGTGCATGCAGCGAACGGAGTGGAGGGAGCGTCCCACCTGGGGGTGCTTGCGGCCAACCTCCCCGAGCAGCTCGTGGACGAGGCTGGCCACCAGGGCGCGGGGGGTGTCCAGTCGTGCAATGAGCTGGGGGATCACCTGCAGCCAGGTCTCCATGGGGGCCCGGTTCACCCGCTCCGCCAGGGCCCCGTTCACCTCCGGCCAGTGGCCGTAGTCAAACCACAGGGTCAGCAGCCTGGCCGAGGGGCGAAAGAACCGGGTTTCAAATGCAGCGGGACATTAAGGCCGCATTCTAATGGAAGCTACGGTCACCGACACGACGGGAACTGCAGGGAGGTCCTTCGGTTGTCTTGCCAGCAGTGAGAGCTTCCTACCTTGGTTAACGCCTTGAGCATGCACGCACGACCAAAGCGAGGTGAAAGGCAATTATGCTGGAGGCATCGAGAAAGAGACGCCCTGTCGTCACATCGGCGACTATGACTCAGATTTTTTGTGCATGCACGGCACAATGAGGTAGAGTACAGTGGAGAGGGTAACGCAAGTGCAGAGGGTAGAGCTATCCTTTTCACATTTGCACCTGAAGTCGGGGGGAAGTCCTTGCTTTGGCCAGGTTTCGAAATAATTGCGCGCACATTGGCCGATTTTTACATGTCGGGAAAACAAAATGTGGGTGCTTCCCTAAGTTTATGAACCACTTCCGGAACTTTACAAAACGTATGTTGCGGCAAGTAAAGAGGACTTTGTTTTAACGGGTGCTTTGGTTGCAAAAATAGTTGAGCATACACACTCCTGCTTGTGTCCTTCAAAGCACCGCACCCCACATCTTCTAAGATTCAAGCAGGCATAGCAAATAACTATCGAGTAATTTGTTGCTTAAGCTGCAAAGCATGTGCGGCATAACAATCAAATGCAACCCCTTCAATTTTAGTGATGTCAAAACTGTGCAAAACACAAAAGAAAAAAAGATCAGTCTTGTGTTCATTTACAGTACCATCGCAGCGACACGTCACGGCAAAGTCGTTGGGCATCAGAGTCACGACCATGTGACGCGGGGTCTTGACGGCACAGTTTTAACTGGCTCGGTTCTCACTGTTCTACCTGCGGTGAACGGCGAGACGCGTCAGCGTTGCCACCAGCGCATCTTTCAACATCTCATAACAAGTGCGATGTAAGCCTGCGGCGACGCCAAGACAATCACATCTGCCGCTTTGCAGCATCCTCTCAACAACCTTCAGCGCATCTGCCGCTTGTGGTGCGCATGACGTCGTCATCAGTGGAGATCCACTGATGACGACGTCATGCGCAGGTCCTTCTTCTAGGAAAGGGATACAGCTGAACACTTTTAATTGGGCGGTGGCTAGTGCCACCCAGCTGAAGTTGTTAATTTCAACGACCAACTCTAACTAAATTTAGAATTAAGAATGATGAAATATTTTCTATAGCGATGTCACGGCAACTGCAGCAATCTAGCAGGCACTGCACGGGACTCCTACGCACACCTTTGCTCCACAAACATCGCATATGAAAAGAACTGTCAAAGCTAGGGTGCCTTCGTGTGTACTCTGCTTAGGGTGATGACATCTGACCATTTTGTTCCAAACGCTTTTGTTTATTTTTTGTTCTGGAGCGTGCAAAGGCGCACCTACCAGCACGAGCTCCTGGCGTTGACGGTGCTACGGCGGGATTTTGCCTATCGGCTATTTATTTCTTCCTATTTTTTCAGAGAGAGTGTGCTGTTGGCACCGGGTACTGCGAAAAATGGCATCTCCCTAAACAGAAGGACATTGAGGCACACTGGTCAATGCTGCGGTGTAGCTCGGTGGTAATGTGCTCGCTTCACACGTGGTGGACCGAGGACCAAATTTTGCGGGTGTCGGGCGATCTCTTTCGAGGATTTGGCAACATCGATGACGGATGACCCTATGCCCTACTGCGCCAACTACAACGTCGACAACGGACACCATTTCCAAGGGTGGGAAGAACCCACAACAGCTACTGCTGTAACAAAAAAAAGGGTCTACTTGGATGGGGATGTCTGCAACTCTATAAACAACTGGAAACTCACCTCAGTGTGTCTTGAAGAGTGCTGCCGTGAGATAGAGCAATGGAGCGAAAGAAACCCTGTACGGCGGGCACCGTGTACTCCTTGATGTGCTGCGCCGTCTGCAAGAGATAGAAGAAATGACGGATGCATCCCAACTATACAGACAATGCACAGCTCCACAAGGTTGCACAAAATGCAGCAATAAATTTTCACTGTCTTTTTCATAAAGCAAATAAGTGACAGAAAACTACCACTAAAAAAAAACTAAAGTCCCCAACCAAAGTTGGTATTGCATTCAGCAAAAAAAAAAAAAAATTTCAGAGTAGGACCCAAAATAATATTACGTCGACGATTCAATCTATGTGGCTTTACTCTAGTCATAAATATTTCATGTAGATTACAAGATGGCACACTTGCTTTATTACTTTCTTTTGATGGGAACAGCTTGTACCAAGATAAGCGTTTTCAAAAACAGTGGTGCAAAGTAAGCGAGTGACTTCGAATAAAACACCACACTAGAGATGGTCATTCGTTCCCTATTCTTCTGCATTAGGTGCAAGAACCGAACACACTGCTTGATCATTCATATCAGCAGTTACTTTGAACAAGACTTGATTCACATTCAAATGCAGCCTATAAAGCAATGTCTGTGCTTCAAATGTGGTGCAATGCAGCATGCCATACCTCAATGTCACACAGTGCACATTTTTGTGGTGTCAATGGTGATGGAATGTTCTAGAAGTTTCCTAGATTCCAATTCTTTTTTTATCACCCAGACTACATGGTTTTCGCAAATCACTGTCCTACGCAACTCAACTTCTTACTTTTAATAATGATCTTTTCTCCATCCTTGACCATGGATCTCAGGTTGATTACGGCTTTCTCAACTTTTGCAAAGCCTTTGACAAAAGTACTTCACAAACTATTGTTTTTTAAGCTTGATAAACTTAATATTGATTCTAAAGATTTGTCCTGGATTAAAAGTTTTCTAACTAATCAATAACATTTCTTACACAAATGAAGAGAATTCTTCAGTCCTGTTACCTCCGGTGTCCCCCAGGGGTCCGTTTTGGACCCGTTCTGTTTCTTATTTATTATTAATGAATTCCCAATGTGTGTCATCCCATATTAGCTTATTTGCAGATGAATGTATAATATAACGTGAAATTACTAATGAACCCGATACGGCACTTCTTCAGGCTGACTTATGCGCGGTTTTGGAATAGTGTAGCACTGTAGCTAATGGCAAATGACTCTCAATGCTAACAAATGTAAAGCTATGAGGGTGTCTTGTCGTAACATGTCCTCATCACCATACTCAATTTGTAAAAGTAAGCTCACATTTGTAACTTTATTTAAGTATCTTGGTGTTCACATCAGTCCTAACCTATCGTGGGAAACTCATTCTGGTCGTATAATCAGTAACACAAATTTAATGCTTGGATATTTAAAAAGAAACTTTTCTTTAACACCTGTGTGACAAACTTCTGCTGTATAAGACTTTGATACATTCAAAGCTGGAATATGGTGCAGCAATCTGGGATCCCAGCCACTCAATGCTTGTAACAAACACTGAAGCCCTGCAAAATCGCGCTGCACGTTTCATAGTCTGTAACTATCATCGCACCACAATGTTTCATCTATGAAAACCACCCTGTCCCTGTCTCTTCAATCCTCACGCCGTAAAACATCTCGCTTATACCTCTTTCATAAAATTTATCCTTCCATTACTTCTCTGAAAAACAAACTATTCATTAGCCCCTCTTTCGTTTCTCCCCGCATTGATCAGTCTTAAAGTTGGCATACCTCATTGTGAAACTTCAGCTTGCATCGACTCTCCCATCCCCAGAACGTCGTCTCAATAGAACCACCTTCCCGCATCATTTGTAACTATTCCAACAACTGTTTTATTTAGAAAATCACTCACTACTCACCTTTGCTAAGATTATGCCAGACTACCTTTTATAACCAAATTGCCTTGTTTGCTTGAATTTTTTAGTGAACATATATATTGTGTGTCCACCCCCTCTGAAATGCCCCTGGGCCCTGAGGGTAATGAAAGAAACAAATAAATAAAAGAGCAATAGGAAAAGTAAATTATCATCAAGAACACAACATTAGCTTATTGCTATACACATTAGAGAAATCAGTGACCGAGTGGGCTAGAGCCCACCGGTTCGGAGCACGTGGAGCGAGAGCTTGCGCTGCAGAACACAGGGATCCTGGGTTCAATCCCCACCCCTGTTCGTTTCGATCTGGATAAGCGTCGTACCGGAGTGCGGTTGTGCATCACTACTGCGTGGTGCACGTTAAAGACCCCAGGCTAGCGGTGCTACTGCACTGGCTAAATTGCTCTACAGCGTAAACCAACGTCGCTACATCTCAAAGGCAGACAGACCTTGTGTTGTCTAAACACTAACATTACATCTTTTTTTTAAAGCAGAATGTGTTTTATTAGTTGATTTCCATGGAGTTCTGAAACGTATGGCTGTAAAGGCCAGCTGCAACGAAAAAGCCACACCGAAAATCGTTACGCCCATAAGCAAGCATATTCAAAGATTTCAGTCGTCAGGCAGGATTTGCACTCGCCACCTTGAGATTGTGGGCGAAATACTTTGCCAACCAAGCTATCCGGGGTCGGAGGTTCGAGCAAGCAAAAGCAGTAGGGCTGTGCGAATAGTGGATTTTGAGTTTGAATCGAATTCGAAGCGAATAGTGATTTTGGCCGAATATTTTCGAATTGAATATAGAATACTGGCCGTTCAAAAATCTTGACCGTTTTAAGAGGGAAATTTAGAAAAATACTTCCGAACTGGGCTTTTCACGCTGTCGTTCAAGTCCATCCTGCCAACCAACCTAGCTTTCACCATTTTGACAATGTCGATGTCATTCACTCACCTTGTCGCTGCAATGATATAATATTCTTTCAAAATGTTATAGTTTAAGTGTTTTGAAAGGGTGTCTATGAGTTTTCTAGTTTCTGAGCAATTATGCAGGTTATGAAAAATTTCTAAAGGTGTTTATTTTTACCCTTAGTTTGTTTTTCTAGCTTTATGTCTGGACCCGGGGGCCGGTGGTGGTGAAAAAAGAGTGCTGGCGACCAGGGCACCTAGATTGGTAAAGATGGCGGCGGCATCTCTGGAGTTTGTTGCTCGGTTTCTTTTGCCCGTTATTAAAAAAGTTAATTAAATGACTATGATGAATATATTTGAAAGTTCCCGCCATAACATTTATATCGTTTTGCCGAACGTGTGAGTATATTCTTGATATTAGAAATCGTTCCTTACGGATTTTTAGACGGTAAACAAACTTGCGACCTTGAGTTTGCCAACACTTTGAAAAGCACAAATATTACAACTGCTCTGGACTCAACTATCGAATACAGTAATATTCGAAACTACTATTCGAAAATTCGAATATTCGCACAACACTAAAAAGCAGTCATTTGCGGGGCGTGAAAATGCGCAGTCGCAATCTCGCAGTGTGTCAGAAATAAGGAGAATCTTTGTTAGGCACTGCTGTTCAGATGCCCTTCTCTTCTCTCCCGGAAGGCCTATCACACATTCTGTGCTTACCAGTCCTTATCAGCATAATGAAGCTCGAATATTTTTACAGCGAACATGTTATGGGCTGGAGTCTGGGGAAAAATGCGTCCTCACATGTCAACAGAAAACTCCCCATTGGTCGTGGCAAGCATGAATAAATACAAATAAAAAGATGGGGTAACTAGCATGAGTCAGCCTTCCTTAGCATTATTAGATAGTGAAGTCCTGATCCCTTCTTATCATCTCTAGGCCTCGTCCTAGAAGTTGTCCTTGAGGTCGTCCTCGAAGTTGTCCTAGAGGTCGTCTGAGAGGCCGTCCTAGAAGTCGTCCTAAATGACGTCCTAGATGTTGTCCTTAGGCACCGTCCTTGAGGTCGTCCTCTAGGCATCATCTTCGAGGTCGTCCTAGACGTCATCCTCTAAGAATCATACTCAAAATTCATGTGAAGATGGATGGCCTCTACAATGTTTTATGGTTGCTTCATTGGGACTATTTTTGATGCTTGGGCAGGATAGGATGGTAAATGCACCGTAGCACCAGAAACTCACCAGGCCCGTGCGCTGCGACTCCCCCATGTAGCTGGCCATCTCCCCGCTCCCATGCTGCTGCCCCTGCTGCGCCTGCAGTGGCCCGCTGGCATTGCCACACTGCTGGGCCTGGTGCTTGAAGAACAGCACGGCCTCGAAGTTCATGTAGGCCCACGCGTGCCACGCCTGTGCCCCGAAACAAAATCGGAATTGCATTGAGAAGCAGATTGACGGGGACAAGCATGGATGCCCTGCAATGTTTTTAAGACCTCCGGATGCAAGATCAGACCGTCCTACGCAGAACTGCAATGTCACCCGATCACGTGGTGCAGCGTTGCACGTGGCGCGGCGTTGCACAAAACTCGACGTGGTCACGTAACGTAATGTCACTTTACACTACAACTTGACAACCAGTGTTACTAGATTCACCAACGTTGCTTACACCACATCATGAGGCAGCACATAAGGCCACTGATACCGTGACTTTCCATCCCGAGTCATGTGACTTGGTGTAACGTGACACCGAGACATCATGCAACCCGACGTAATATGATGTCAGGTGACTAAGGTGCCACGCATGCAAGTTAGCTTCCGTTAGGATGCAATTCTGCATTAAAACGGTGCTGAATTTTGCGGCAAAAGGGCGACTGGCACTTCCAAGCTTAAAGCAGTGCCCCATCTGAAACCTAGAAGACACACAATAAACCAAGGGGTTTGTGGCTTTTTCTATCCCTTAACTGCACCAACACTTCTGTTTGTAAAATTCCTTGCGTGAGCTTGAACACTTTGCCATTTTCCACTTCCCCGACTTTCGTTCGTGAAAAAAAGCCTGGCGGAAAAGCGGAGTCGAGAAAGGCTGACTACCTATTCATGAAGAAAGAACCAAGTGGAGTTTGAAACAAGTTAGAGAACAATAGCAAATTTACAAATGTACTGTGAGGTTGAACGTTTGTTGCCACGATAGACGAATGAACGTCGGAAAACATTTTGAAGTACAGAAAGCTTCAGACTATCATAACATACTGCAAGGCCTATGTGGTACGCGGTACTACGCAGAGTACCCCTGAGAGTTCGCCTTGCTCCCCAATGACTGCAGTCATTCCTGCCCTTGAGTAAGGCATTTTCCCGTTCGAGCACTACAGTAAAGACCAGGGGTGGCCAAGCTGGCCTGGCCGGAGAGCCGCAAACAAAACCACGGAACTCCTAAGAGCCGCGGGGGGCGGGGCAAACTTAACTTTGGTTTAGAGTCTGACTGTACGTAGGGGGGCACAAGGCTGTACGACTGTACGTATGGGAGTACAAGGCTGTCAAACTGCAAGCTGCAGTGTGCTTTATTTTGAAATCCTTTCTTTTTTTTTTTTTTCATGGGGAAATGCGGAAAGGGGTGAAGGGGGGGTCTCCTTACGAGGGATCCGCGAGCCGCACTTGGACCAACAAAGAGCCGCATGCGGCTCGCGAGCCGCTGTTTGGCCACCCCTGGTATAGACCACTTACAGCGTAACCACTTATAGTGCAGGACCGGGTATCACGCGGCTTTTTTAAACCACCGGTTCGCCTCCCATAGAACTCCATGTAATTACATACCGCTTAAAATGCAGGCGCGCGAAGGGAAATACCGGTTATAGTGCGGTTTTCGGAACAGCCCGGCGACCGCGCCGACTGACCGACGCAGAGAGCACGCTTCCCTGTGCGACACTAGATAACGGTGCTAGCCGCAAGCGGCACTCGCAGGGCAAGGAGGTTGCTCGAAGAGGCGGGCAAAAGCGGAGAGAGAGGCTTCATTGCCATAGCGACAGACGGATGCACGCACGTTTCATTCACGTGCGTGCGTCCCTCCGCTGCGTTGGAAAGGTTGGAACAGGCACTGGTTGGAAACAACCGGAACGACAGACCAATCGCAAATCGAGAAGACGTGTTCGCGCGCGTTGCATGCCGGTCGCGTGCTGGCTTCTTCTATCCGCAAACATGGCGTCGGTTGTGATCGTCGTCGTAGACGGCGTGGTGGAAGCTCATCGTTCCGCGTAAAAACGCTATCCTTGACTGTGAATTTTCGTTGTGTGTCGCTATGATAACCCAGCACGTACTAGAAGGGAAGATCCACCTACTCGTGCGGCGATGTCGTGGCGGCACTCTCAAGACGGCAGAAACGCCCGTGTCGTCGTGTTCGTTTACTCCGACTACAGTGGTGATTTCTAAGAATTTGTTTTTTCGAACATCGCCCGGATTTCTTATTTGCAGCATTTCAAGCCTGCGCTCAAGTTGAAGGTATTACTGGCGCGTACCGTATAAAGGATGCGAATTTTCACGCGTTTTCATCACTGGAGAAAAGTGATTAAGGTTAGCAATCCTGAACGCTCGCAACGTCCGTCCGCAACCCGCGACGCCGTTAAAAGGCTGCGCCAGGCAAAAGTCGCTCATTTCTTTCAAAATGTGTGACACACTTGAGAGAGAAGTGTAATAGTCTGGTGAAATAAAGACTTTCCTCAAACTAAGCTTTATTTTTCATCTAATATAAAATAAATTGTTTTACAAAGGTAAGTTGTCTCATGGCATGTATTTTGGCCTGAAAAATTGATGTTTTGGTTATAGCGCGGTACCGCTTATAGTGTGAATTTTCGCGACTCCCGCGACATATGTTATATGCGGTCCACACTGTATTTAAGCACACCTGAGCCATCCCTTGATGGAAAACTATGAGCCAAACGCTCTCAGTATGAGCATTATTGTCAACAAGACCTGCAGGCTTCTACACTCCTTTAGTGCATAAATGTGCAGACAGAGAAAGTTCCTTGGTTGTCACTCGAGGCGGATGAGTAATTCCTCGAGATAGGAAAGCTTGACGACCCCCGATATGCTGAACAGTAGCGCACCGTTGCTTTACAGACAGTTTTGTTTTCTTAAGTGACAAAGTGGGAAGTTACGCACAATTAGAGATAATATAAACAATGGTGCGAGTGTGTATCATAAAACCGACCCACTCATTCTGACTTTAAGGGAAGTTAGCATTCGAAAATCGAGTTACTTGCATTTGGACAAGTCAAAAGGTGCGAAGGGCTGAACTTAGATGACAATAGTGATCGTTTATATTACAGCACAGAAGATCAATCACTAGACAAAGGTTTTCCTTTTCTTTCATACGCATGATAGCAGTGTGGCATATATGACAACAAATGCCTACATTAGTGGATGAGGATCCAACTTAAGCAATGGCTGCAACTGCTCATAAGCAAACCAAAAGTAAAAGTTACAATGACATATACCGTAAAATACTGGGCCAGAGCCCACTCAAATTTCGAGATAATCACGAAAAAATGGGGGATGGGCGCTTGTCCGGTCATCAATTTTACATATATCAATGTACCGAGAATATTTTCTCAGATCGTACAAATTTGGGAATGGGCGGTTAATGTGGAATGGGCGGATGCGCGGTATTCTACAATAGTGCTATTTTTTCACAAAAAGATAAATTTGAACCACCTAAAAAAAATTAAAAATAACCAAGAAAAGATTAGACAAAAAGAGAAATTCACCTTGTACCAGTTGTTGTCGTGCTCAGTAGCCAAGTGGTAGTAATGAAGGATCATGGGAATGGAGTTTTCGTTGATGCCTTGCACACACTCCTCCCACTGGCCCAGCTTCAGGTAGCACCTACATTTCATCACAAAGGCAGTTACACATCATGTGCACCCTTACATCCTTCCCAAAGACATCGAACATAACGTGACAACCACGTCCAAATGAGCTAGCTCACTCCGTTGCACTTTAAATGCGAGTGCAGCAGAAGCTACAAGAGCGGGCTACGGGCTTTCAGCGTTTCTGCTAAGCGTGCGTGCTTGACCGGTGCAGGCATCGTTTAGGCAAACACTGTGGTGCCTTGAGCTTTGGCTTAGCCTGCACACAAAGTGAAACAAGTTACAGCAACTACTCTAGAAGACACAAGTTCAAAGTAGGCTATCTCGAAAAATGAAACCAATGGAAGGAAACCCTCCTGCTCAATTCCATCGAGTAGGATTCTACTCGATGGAAACCTTCCATCGAGTAGAATCCTACTCGATGGAAGAAAACAATTCCACTTGCAAACTCTATTCCGCGCAAGGCATGTGCCAACGCACGACATTAAGAATACCGTCACCGGCACTCCAATTTCTCGAGTCGCAAGTGTGGAAGGGGAGAGCCAGGAGAAAGAAAGGAAGAGAGAAAAGAGAAGAAAAAGAGAGATAGAGAGGCTCCAAATTAACGCAGAATGCGTCATATGACTGACAACTAACCGTTTCTTACTCCAGTGATGGAACCAGAAAATGCGACTGCCAGCCGAATGCTGACACGACGCTCGTCTCCTCACCGATTGGAAACAAGTGCCAGCCATGTGTCTTACTCCAAAATGTGCGAGTTACTTCCGTGTGTCACATCATGTGATCAAATATAGAGAAGCGGGCGATGCTGCATAATATTCTCTGTTACCACCGCCTTTGCCTCAATAGTAGGAAAAAGGGGTGATTTTACAGCGTCAACCGTACTGGGCGAGTGATGGGTTTGCAAAAACGAAGGGATAATGTGCGCATTTATCGCGGGTGGCTTTGGCACCAGGGGGAGGGCAAGTACAGCAGTGGTACCCTTGCCCTCTTGCCGATAATTGTTGTGGTTGAGGCACGGCGCGTTTGGCCAATTGCAATTGCACTGGGGGTCGTGTGATCGCCCTCCTCGCCACCTGCTCTTTTTCTTTTTCGGTAGCCCATTCTCTCGGCACCCTAAGCCTTTGTGCGCGAGAATGGAGTGGCCGAAATCTATGCGGAGCATGCAGAATGTACCCGTGAGAGAATGTCGTTGATGTGTAGGCGCCGACGGTTTCACCCTGGGTGTAAGGATGAAACCCATCCGACATCAAGATCGTGCTGTGTGTGAACGTGAAGCTATACATAGGAGAGAATGTTACCGGGCAAAGAATGGAAACGCTCATACAACCAAGCAATTTGTGCGGTGCGTCTGCGAGAATGTGTTCGGTGCTAGCTGTTCTGCGAGTGATCAGTTGCGGTTTACGCAAGACCTGGTGTCTTTGCCGGTGGCCCACCACAAGGTTCTTCAGTTGTCGTACCGGACAGTGACCGAACTGCGTTATATTAACGCGATACGTGCCTATGCAGTGTTTGTGCATAGGCACGTAACGATCACTGCAAGATGCACAAAAAAAGTTAATGAAACGTCGCATCACTGCACGATGCAACACCGCCGAAATTTCCACTCAATCATGACGCAATATTATTGGAATGTCGCACCAGCCGACGCCGTCCATTCGCATCGCGTTGCGTGATCGTACGAGCAAATATTTTTTCCCTTGAAAATGAGAAATACAGACAAGTTTAATACCTGTAGTCAAGAGACAACATGGCAACACGCGTGGAAGTCGTCTCACCTCGCCAGCAGCTTTTGGTGCTCTGTCCTTTGCGGGCTCTCGTCCGGAATGGGGACGCTCACGTGGTTCAGGTTGGCAGTAGCGGGAAACGTCGTTTGCACAAAGTGGTGCAGCTGTCTCAGTGCATTCTCCTGCGTCACATTTGCACAACCCACGTTCGTATAATGATGCGCGCTGTCACAGGCTTCACATGTCTCTGTTGGAAGCTAGAACCAATTTTTTCAACCTGAGGTAGTCACTGACAGCAGTGAAACAGACAGGTTTATACATAAGCAGTGCAAAGGACAGACAAGGACGACTAGTGGAATGCTCACAACTGGTGCTTTAAAGGTCCCCTGAAAAGAAAAAAAAAAGTTTTTTCAAACAGTCTGGTTGAGACACGCGTGTCAAAAACTAAATTTTAAGCGAGATGTGACTTAGTTGGCAGTCACCTCTCTTTCCACTTGTTTTCTCTCTCGGCATTTCGGGCGCGTGGAGGAGAGGCGGATTGGCTTCGCTTTCACGACCAAGATAGTCATTCCGGAATGACCCGTGACGTCATGGACTTTGCGCACAGGATTTCAAATAAATCTCTTGCCGTCATTATTGCTCTAAAAATTTTTTTTTTTTTGCGTAAAATTTATTTTTTGACACGCGTGTCCTGCTCAGACTGTTGGGCAGGACATTTTTTTTCTTTTCAGGCGCCTTTTAATGCAGTCACAAGGAAGAGAAAGAAGAAGTGAGGGTAGTTATAACCAAAAGATGGATATGAACGAAAGTGAAACTGTAACTGCATTAAATGCCAGTTTCGAGCATGGCTCTTGTCCAGTCTCTTTGTTCTTGTCTGTGCTTTGCACTATTTATGTTTAATATGCTTAAAAAAATGAAAGACGTTATACAATTCTCTGTAATGCCAAATTAGAGCGCGGCTCTTGAGGAGGAGGGAGGGTATGGAGGAGAGGATATGTCCCTGGTCCCCCTCCATGCCCTCCCCTCCTCCTCTCCTGCTCCCCTCTTATTTAGCGGAAAATTTTTGCTAAATTAAGCCAAAATATTCCCGCTAAATTTAGCGAGAAATTCACCAACATTTTCCCGCTAAATCTAGCGGGAAATTTAGCAAAAGTTTCCTTGCTAGTTTAGCAGGGAAACTGAATAGGTGTTGAGGTCACGTGACATCAATTTCTCCGCTAAATTTTCATTAAGTTTTTCTACTAAATTTAGCGTGACGTCATGATGACGTCACCCCATAATCATGTCACGCGTGACGTCACTGTGCCTGGTGTGTCGTGGCATGACGTGTGCCGCGTGGCGTTGTATGGCGTGGCGTGGCGTGGCATGGCATGTGGCACGTGGCGTGGTGTGGGATGGCATGGCGCATGCCTAGTGGCGTGGGAGGTGTGGCGGAATATCCATTAAAGTTTTCCCGCTAAATTTAGTGGGAATATTTCCCCACTAAATTTTGCAGAAAAATTTCCTTGCTAAACTTAGCGAAAAAATTTCCCGCGTAATTTAGTGAAATATTTTCCCGCCAAATTTAGTGAGAAAATTTTATCCTCGTGATGTCACGAAGGTAATGGGGAAACGTCTCATAACGCAACACGCGGTGACGCCGACGTTGCTCAACCCAGAAGCGGGCGCCTAAGAGCTGCGCTCTAAAACTAGCCCACCTTAATATTTTAGAAAAAGACAGTGCTTGACAGATTTTAGCACTGCCATTATTTCTAGCTCTCAGGAGCTCACTGATCACACAGATGCAACTTGAAAGACAGAGGTGTGGGACATCATCACTGTATTCATTGCACTAACTTAAGAAATCCTAAATGAACGCATACCCACAGTGAAAAAAAAAGAAGAAAAATATAGATTGGGCAATCTATCAAAATGAGGCGGATATCTTTGCAACAAAAACGAGTGAAACACACGTGGGCAGCTTGCCACAGATTCACGCGATGTGGGAAGCGATATCGCGAACGCAGCCAACTAGCATTTCACGGTGCTGTTTCTTAGTTATTTTATTTTATTTTATTTAGAACATATTGTGGGCCTTTTAATTGGGCCCCTGCAGGTGTGGGGTAAAAAACGCCAAACAATAACCCTTAGGAATTACCTAAAAATAAGATCACATTTCATTGACTCAAATAAACAGGCACATTAAAAATAAACACAAACAAAAACAATGTAAAACATTGTAACCAGATGACCATCAGTCTCTCAATCACACAGCATTGACTCCTTGACGCTGATGCAATATGAACTCGAAGAACGTTATTGACAGAATTGATCAATCTATGCAAAAAGCAATTTTCTGCATAATTTCAACCTCCATTAGGAATGGCCCCTGCATGCCAACAAGTAACAAAAAAAAAAAAAAAACTTTTTTACAAACGAGTACAGACGTTGGGTGACGCCAACTTGCACGAGCTAGCTGACAACAGTGACGGTTATGAAAGACACGCAGTTGCATGCCTCTCCAGCTGTTTGCTGGGTGGAAAAACCTGTTGCCCAACGTGCACCCTCAATTGCAAGCATGCCACCAATGATTTTGACGCAGGATGTGTTGTATAGGTCATTTTCTATGAGAAAATTTTTGTGACCAAGAGTCATAACAAGCGTTATGAACGAGTGGCAATCTGGGAGCGTTACACGCAATAGGATTATATCTATAAAGTTTGAGTACCGGCAGTGCTTGAACCTGGGTCGGCGCAACTGCCGTCGCACCGACCCAGGCAATATAGCCAGTGAGCTACTGGCACAGCTGGTCTGGAGGGGTAAATTCTTTTATTTGAATGCAAACGTGCCGACGAGAGCAACAAGTTTTAGATGCAAATAATAAAATAAAATAATAAATAAAACAAATAAAAGCAAAGAAATAAGAATTTAGTAAATATAAAAAAATACAATAAAATATTAAAAAAAAACAAATATAATATTAAAAATTAAAATAAATTAAAATACCAAAATAAAGAAACGAAAATGAAAAATAAATATAAAGTAAAATGAATATGATAAATACAAAATAAAATATAAATAAATCAAAAGAAAGATAAATAGGTAATAAAAGGGCTGGAAAATCTAGCCCAAACGACCCAAGGGGCGTTTTTTGTGCAGGATCCATTCTGTGGTCTTTTGACAGTACGATCAAGCCTGTGTAATTCTCATCTTACCATTCTTAGCAACTGCCGACGCACATCACTAGGAGTGGCAGTGGAGAAACAAAGGGTAATAATGCCTGCTGGATCCCACTGAAGGCGCGACCTGCACTTCTCTCTAGCCTAGCCAGTTTGGAACCCCGGAAATTTCTCTTCCAACTGGTAGTGCCGAAACCGGCATGGCTCTCAACCAGTGGGCAATGTTTCGGTCGTTTTTATTCCCCCAATATTTAGCTAGAAAAAAGAAGCAAGTGACCTTTAGAGGGTGGGCCTTCGTTCCGCACTTCGTGGCCAAATACTCGTGTTTAGAAAGTTTACACGTTCGGTAGATTTCAAATAATTCACTTTGTTGATGAAAAAAGAAAAAAAAAAAACACGTAATTAAGACAGGTTGGTCATACCTTCTGGTTGCTTTTCCACATGTGTTTTATGTAGGCAAACGTGACTGCAGGGTACGTCGTGGGCAGGGGCTGGTTGGGGTTCGACGACGGGTCCGATCCCAGCAGTGTCACCAGCGTCCTATGGGACTGAGCCTGTGCGGACGAGACATTTTGTGACGGTCGCGTTAACAGCATTCTAATCAGTTTAGGAGTGGCGTGTCACTACCATTATCACCAAGAACAATAAACAGGCAAGCCTGCAAAAAGCTACAGGATACATTAATTCTTGCTGGTGGCTTTCGAACATGCAGTATGATTAATCGTGTCTTTACAAATATTTGGCCCTTCCCTCCAATGTCCAAATGTTGGTTAACGTACGCGACGAGGTACGTCTAGTGGAAACGTTTATAAGCTAGTTTCTCGCGTAATTAGGCAAAACAGTCAAAAGGGAAGTTACAATATGTGAACATGACAAGGCACATTCAACATCAGGTTGGCCAATAACTTATGGTACACAATGATATCCGAGTAAGCCGTGAATCTGCGACATGCACCGACAGTCCGGCGATGCGAGCATTCTCCTACAAACTTTGGACACTTATCTACAGATAAGTTCCTTCTGCTACTTAAAAAAAAAAAAAAAAAAAAAAAAAAAAAAAAAACTATAAAGAATTGAGAGAAAAAAAGAGAGAGGGGAAAAGCTTGATCTTCTCACCAGGCGTCCAGAGCGTCTGCAGAGGCTGCTGAACTTGAGCCAGGTACGCATGTCCTCCTTGGGCTTCACCACAAGAGAGTGGAGCTGCAGGATCCTCTGCCAGTCCTCCACTATCCTCTGGCAGCCCTGAAGCCATCCAGACAAGAAAGAGAGCAAGGATCATTAAGACAGGGGAAAGGTTGCACGAGCCAGGCTACTGCAATAAGCTCACGATAGCACTGAACACAGTGTGTAAGTACTGAGACGTTAGCTGTGCCAATCTTCATGACCAGAAAATGTTCCCCCTCCGGTACAACTGGCATAGCTGAGGCTTCAAGATACTGCAGATACTAATCTGATTGACTAAAAGCAATGTTTTATTGGAAACAGCTTAGAGCTGGCAAACTGTTTGTGGTTTGGTACAAAACAAAAATAAAAATTTTGACTCATGTATGCTGATTTCAAACATTTATTTCGTTATAAAATGGTCCGATATGTACAGGATTTTGAGGATAATATCTGAAGGTAACCACGCCGATCTGGAGCAAACTTATGGGAAGGAAGCTATAGAGTGGAAACCATAGACGTCTTTCACAAGGGTGTTGCCATCTTGAATTGTCGTCACTTCCAGCATGTGCGAGAACATTGTTTTGACGTCGCCACGCCAATAGAATACATTTAGGATATAAGCATAACTGTCACACATTCTTGTTTTGCCTCCCCTCTATTGTTTTACTATTTGCAGGTTGAAATGTTTTATTATTTTTTCGTCGCCCATACCGGATACACTTATTAGGTGGCTGGGGACGAGAGTAAACTAAAAAGTCATCCGCCGAGATGAATACGAAAACGTGTGTTTAACCGATTTTTCTACAGAAAAAAAAAAAAGAGTGAATCAATTTAGCAACGTAAAGTTGACATGTTTGAGAATAATCACAATTCTGAAAACCTTGTTGTTTAATTCGGATCCAAATTATGGCTAAGTTATAGTTTTCGCAAGATTTCAAATTTAACATTTTCTTTCCGAAAGTTGTACCCAGGGGTCGGATGGAGGTTTCGTGTCACATGTCGTGCTTTCCCTTATTTGGGAGAGCAATTCTCTTCCAGGCTCCCAAACCGACTGCCCCAAGTCATGTCCAGAAGACGATGCCAGACTAAAGTCCACAAACCAAAGGAACACAACCACCCTGCATCCGAGGTACCCAAGGAAGCCAACAACTCTCTTCCTAAATGATTTTTTTTCTTCAGTTAGAAACAGTGACAGATCCAACGCAGCAGTTGGAATCTATGTTAAAGGACAACTCCGCTTCATTTTTGATATTTAGAAAACTATGTAGCCCTCTTCAGTATCGTATAGGAAGACCCCATGTCAAGTATTACGATCTAATTCCGTCTATATATTTAATAAACTGGCCAGCAAACCTTCAAGTGAGCCAAGTTGCCGAAATCTGCCAACTCTAGCGTGCGACGTGAGGCGCAATCGTCAGCGGAGTCAATGCGACGAAGTTGGAGCGGCCAACGTTGAGCCACTACGTCAGAGGCATGACTACGTCATTCTCACGTTTTGTTTGTTTTTACTTCTCAGAGCGAAATTGAACGATGACGTCATGAGTTTCTCCTCCCGGTGTTGGCTGAACGGCGTCCACGTGATCACCGTAACGCGGATGCGCTAGTTTGCGCTGCCCTGCGCGCTTATCAGTCTGTTTCTCCGCTGCCCTTCTCCTCTTTCGTCTTCTCCCCTTCCCCCTCTCCCCCGGGCCATCACCGTCCACTCCATGCGAAGCGACCTGCCAGCGTCGCGTGTCCTGTCCATCGCCCCCCGAACGTCACAAGACCACGTATTTTGACGTGACTTGATTATGACTTTGACGACTCGAGACCAATGTTGCCTGACGGAACCGAAGTTTCGGTATCAGCTGATGTTTAAATTACGATTGCACAAATAATATTCCACATTTCGCGAATCCGAAGACGTAGAGCTGTTTAGTAGTGCTTTGTGAAATGGAATCACATGTAAGCCTAAATTTTTTGGAATTGAGCGGAGTTGCCCTTTAAGCGAAAAGAGCATAGAGAGTGTTAAAACTTTCTTACGCACCACAGTGCAAAAGCCGGTGCATGAACGTAATGTATAGGCAAATTAACTTAATCGATTCAGAGCATTAACATAATCTATTTGGTGCATTAACATAATCTATTCGGGCAGACAGCCACGGTCAGCGGAAGTCTGGGGGGGGGGGGGTTCAAAGAAAACTTTACTTTAAAAGAAGAGCTAAGGGTCTTTCTGCAACCCAGAGAAAAGAGAAACATGAGACAGGCTTGGGGTGGAAGAAAGATAGCTTGCCTGGAGTCTGTCCCACCACTTCTGCTTGATTGCTTCCCTGCGTTCGGGAACAAGCTTGTACTGAATCACTTCCTCCAGTTCGGCCAGCATCTGGACTTGCACCATGGCCTGGGGAGACGGGAGTGGCCTGAAGTCAGTCTCAAAGAGCACCTTTTTCTTTGATGAAACCGCTTGCCCTATGGTTCTTCCAAATTCATGGCACAAAGAGCAGACACTATGCCCTATCTCACTAGTTACGTGCAGTACTGTAGAAGCCACAGCCAGGAGAGAAGGCAAAGTCGCTTTTGTAAGAATTTTGAGTGACGAGCTAATCTCCGAGAGAGACAAGAGTGACGTCTGCGGTACACAAAGGAGTGTGGGTAAGAGGGGAGTTCCTCTTTACTGACTGCTAATGTTACACACATGCTCCTGTACCTTTGGTAACGCTGTGCGCAACTACTGAGATAAAGTATAGGCCAGTCCACGCCTTGATTTGCTACGCTGTGCGCAACTACTGAGATAAAGTATAGGCCAGTCCACGCCTTGATTTGCTACCAGCAACCGAGGGTTTCACATTCGCAATGTTTTCAGAGATGTAGGATGCTCGGTGAGTATGGATAAAAAAACCTTCTCTCAGTTAATGTCAATGTTCAATTACAGGTTGAATTCAATGGTCCACTGCTGTGTATGTCGCAACTTTGGGCGGGCTGACCATAAGCCACCACAACTACCTCTCTTTACCATCAAAGCTTTTGTTCAAGAAAGACAATGAGTTACTTTACCCACAGCTCACAATAGTGCATTTGAATACCGCCTTTTACATTCAGCAGCAGGCACACATCTTTGCAAACATGTATTCTTTAGGGTTGTATAGCAACGGCTTTCACACACAATTTTCATTCAACCTGTCAGTACATCGTGTTGATTTGTAACAACGCACCTAGCAGTACAGAACAAAAGGCAGCAAAAACACCAAACAAAAATACACAAAAGAAAGGTGAAAGACAATGACTTACACCATAGGCACGGCTATAACTCTCCCCCACCATGGCAGTGAGGTCTGTGTCGATCAGATCTCTAGCCTTGTCAATGAACTGTAATGGAGAGCGTGATAAATGACATACTGTAAAACCCTTAATGTTCTCGAGCCCCCAATTTTCGCGAATTTCACGAATTAAAGAATTTGCGAAATTTAAGGGCGCACGAAAATTTCGGTCATTAAGATTTTCAATGCAGGCGTCTGGAATTCGCGAAATTTAGTGGTCGCGATTATGTCATCTGTGACCGATTCGCAAAAAATAGGGGCCGCGAAAATAAAGGTCTTTACAGTATCACAGCAAAAAATTCTAACGTGAGATAAAAAATAGCTTATTCAAAAACACATTGTGGCAAGTTACATATACAACCAAGATGAGGATAATGTCATTTCATGCGCAACCAAATAAACCAATGAAAAGCAACAGAGTTACCTTCGGTGTCCACTATCACCGCATTTCTAAATTCCCCGACTTTTCCTAGCTTTGCCCGATTTTGTTACCAAATTCACTGACAAACATGGAGAGAAAAAAAGTTGAAAACAGCAGTAGATTGTACCCTCCAAGATCCCAAGAGCAGCACGATCTGTGTCGGGAGTTTCCCCTGGTACTTGCGCGATTATTGACATATTACTGATAGAATGACATATCCATCAAATGGTTGTCTTTAAATGTTCAGGACACATGAATCAATAAAAAAATGCCACGAAGCTCCCTGTATTGCCAAATTTCCTTCAAACTGACAATATTTTGTCTCTTACACTTCCCTGACTTGCCGAGACTGACAAAATCCCTCCCCCTTCCCGACATTTTCAGGAGTATTGGCAGACACTTTGTTTATGTCATGTTCAGTGATTGTGGTGCAAATCGACCACGAAATTACACCAGGCGGAGACGCACAGACGGGAAAGGGCCCAGAGGCGGATGCACCCACCTGCTGTGCCACTTGGAAGTTCTCTTTATGCACCGCAAGCACAGCCTGGTGGAAAGCACTGTCCGTCGTCTCCCGAGGGATTACCGTGACATACTCCTCCATCGTCTCCCACTTCTCTGCAATGCCCGAGAAGCAAAATTGGTGTCACGGCAACGCTCCGTCCCCAGCTGTGCCGAGGGCAGGGAAGGCCGAACACAGCAAACAGACTCGCAACTGACACGTCCATCTAATCTGAGAAATGACACTAACAGACGAGAGCTGACATATCTGTTACACGCGCACCAAACGACATATCTCAAGCTAGTTCTTTCTCCGACAGAAACCAAAAAGGCTGTCCTTCCCACAGTAAATTAAAATGTAAAAAAAAAAAAGAAACAAAATGCGGCATTTTTTTTTATGACGTGAACTTTTTCGAAACCACTACTAAGCTAACCTAGGTTCTACTCTGTACGACATGCACCATTGCTACCATCAGAGAAAAGATAATGGGTTTCAGACGGACATTGTGGGCCATGAAGACAAGGGGCTGTCTCTGCCAAGCTAGTGTGCAGCTCTACTGACTACTGAGGAAAGTAAGAGTTGAACTTATAGTAGATGCCAGTTCCTTTTGAAGTATATTCTTTCCTTTCGGTAGTAATTGGTGGCATGCATTCAGTAAGAGGTCAAACTAGTAGCTTCAACAAAATGTGGCAGTGGACATCTGTCCTAACGGTCCGAGCCCCATGTGATTGGTGGTCTTGCATCAAAATGTTATAGGGGCTACTTCACATATAAGACGAGGCAGGTCAGGATAACGCCTCCAAACATTTTATTCCTCGGCTAATTCATATAGCATGACAGCGGCCTAAGTCACACATTAAATTCCGCTCCAAATTGACTCACCGAGGCCCCAAGCAGCTGCTGAAGCCATTCTCGCCATCTTCTGCTGGTTGACGTCCGAATTCTCACTCCAGTTGTCACTCGCCAGTTCGTATAGTGATTCCCTGGAGGAAAGAGTCGGGGGGGGGGTCTCCAGAAATGTCCCCTTCAAACTCTCACTCACTATAAGGAAAATACATAAATATTTTGAAACGAGTGGCAATGGGAGCATTAAGTTAGCGAGTTCCAAACTAAGGGCACTTGCGCTCAAGCGCGCGGTTTTGAAGCATAGCTTAACGACACCATTCGTTGCACTGAAGTGCCACCTCCCTGTTTTCTCTTCCCTTGTTTCTGGTTCCGGCAGCGATTGCCCAACCCTTACAGACGTGGCCGAGTTTGTCTTGTCATGAGTTCAGACGCTTTGTAATTATGGCTCCCGTAACGAGTAAACTCTTGTAGCCTTTATTTGACGATGACAAATTTGAGGGAACAAAAGCGCGGGGATGGCAGCAACAGGCACAGCTTGCCTTTGTGTGGTGTGCAACTGGCAAGGGTACAATTGAATGTGCTCTTAATTTTCCTCCACCTCAAATATTAGTGAGGGCCCAACTGAGAGAACACTGTGCAGCAGGTTGCCCATATATGCAAAAGCAAAGGAAAAAAATTGTAGAGCCCATCAACTTCACGTTAACCTAGAGTATGATTCCTAGAGGACGACCTCAAGGACGACTTCTAGGACGACCTTGAGGACGATGCCTACAGGACGACGTCTAGGACAATCTCAAGGATGACTTCTAGTACAACCTTGAGGATGACACTTAGAGGACGATGCCTAGGACGACCTCTAAGACGACCTCAAGGATAACTTCTAGGACGACCTCGAGGATGACGTCTAGGACAACCTCAAAGACAACTTCTAGGACAACCTTGAGGACGATGCCTAGAGGACAACCTCGAGCAGGACGTCTAGGACTACCTCAAGGGGACTTTTAGGGCAACGCCTAGGACGACCTCTTCGACGACCTCCAGGATGATGCCTAGAGATGATAACAAGGGATCAGGACCTCATTATCTAATAATGACAAGGAAGGGTGGCTCATGCTGGTTGCCCCCTCCTTTTATCTTTATTTATTCCTACTTGCCATGACCAATAGGGAGCAGGTTGCCCCCTCTTTCTAATTTTATTTATTCTTAGTTGCCACGACCAATGGGGAGTTTTCTGTTGACATGTGAGGACGCATTTTTCCCCAGACCCTAGCCCATAACAGCCTCGCTGTAAAAGTGAATAATTTCATTCACAAAAAAATTAGCTTGCAGCAAACTGTCCAACAAAACAAAGCGAAGACTGCTCACAGCACACTGGCTCACGGCAAAGTGCGCATGAGAGCGGAAGCACGTCATCTTACTGGAAGCTAAGCGACTTCAAGCTCCCGCGCACTGTCACACACTATCTTTGACGACGGAGTAGCTCCATTACCGTGCACCAGAGGTGAGCTGTGGCTGTTTAGCTTAGATGGAGTGCAATGCGACAGCTGGAGTGTACTCGAGCGTCCTCGATGCGCCCAATTTTAGACCATTCTTAGGCTCTGCGATGCACGTAATAGCACTGCTGTTTTCACAAGTGAGAAAAACATTTATGCTTACATTCTGCAATCGAGTACTATTTCACTGGCTTGGCTATCCTCCATACATGTTTGGGTATATTCCATTACACAACAGCTTGCTAAACTTAAGTACCGTAATTTCCCTTCCAAAAATAATACCTCTATATAAGTTGCATTCCCCATTAAACTGCACTTTTCAAGAAAAAGTTGATAAAGTCGCACCTTTGTTTTAAGCATATATTTGGGTTGGCATGGTGAAACTGTGTAGAAAAGCCCGCACATATGTGTTATAATAGCAATATATGCGCAAGCGTGAGCAAGTTTTAATATTCTTGTCAACGAATCAAACGAAAAATATAAACCCTGCGGCAAATTTCTGCAGTTAAAGTCCATACTTATGGAAAAGAAATGTGTATAAGCCATACCATTGTAAAAAATGCACTGGTAAAATTTTTTGAAAAAAATCTGCGACTTATATACGTTGGGAAATATGGTAAGCGTTAATGTTTATATTTCCCAAAGTGTGGCTCCGCCTTGCCAAAGTCTAGAGCAGGAATCGGCAACCTTTTCAACGGCGGGCTGAGTCGTCATAAAGCCGACATGGAGGGGGTCGAACGGCAAGTCACGAAGTGGGCAGGAGAAGAAAAAACAAAGAAGTCAAAACATTTTCTGGCCAAGTATGGGGAGGCCGAGAAATGTCAATCGGAAATGCTCCTTGTTCCTGCGTAACCCCATTTGAGGTTGAAACTGCCACGAGGCCCTTGAGTTTGCGCGAGGAAGCGGCAGAGGGAAGAGGGGGAGGGGGTGCTTTTCTGGTGTTGTGTCGGGGGCCACACACAACTGCCTCGCAGGCCACGGGTTGCCAACTCCTGGTCTAGAAGAATGTCATAGCGAAACACAAGTTCAAAATGTATCGGAAGTTGCACCTCCAGCATGCACCCATTGCCCTCCGTCATGCTTTGGCCGGGCATGCTCCCTAGACCCCAAGAATTACCGAAGGGAAAACGATCACGCTGGAAGCAGCGTTTCTTGCAGATCTCTAAGTTGTATTCGGCTACAGCGAGTTTGCTGGCTGACAAAGAGACCTACCATGTTCCAGATTCCCTTCTTCATATATTTTGCTGATGCACGTCACGACTGAACTGCTCCGTTTGAAACGCCGAATTTCAGAAATATTAGTTAGAAATAATAGGCGCCCAATGCAATACATTTTATTCCCATGAATTAAATCCTAAAGCTATATATGACCCAAAGTTTGACGTCGAAAATGCCGTAATAGAATAAACATCGCCGCTAGGTTGAGATACCTAGCTGAAGTCGGCGCCACCTAAAGCCTCTCGATGAAACGCACGCTTCATGCTTCTTATATTTACCAAATAAAAAATTGCAGTGGCTTAGCTCGGCTATGCCAGGATATACGTAGCGTGAGCTTAGGTTCAGCTGATTATTCTTAGCTTTCCTGGTTGTCTAGGATTAGCTTGATTATCATGCTTACTGCTGCTTCAATGGTTATCATGCTTACTGCTCCGGTGCAGCGTCAGACTTGGCTACTGTGCAACGGAGGCGCACAGCTTGGCATGCGGCGGCGCCAGTGCGTCTGCCGCGGCTATGACATCACTCCTCTAAAATGCGCAGACCGGCGAGGCGCGCGGCGGCAGCGCCTCCGGCATGCCAGCTGTGCACCGTGTGATGTCACTGCTCCTCGCGCATGCGCAGCACGGCTCTCCAGGAGTCATGCGAAACTGCTCAACCTCGGCCAGTGTAGCTCACGCTACAAAATCATTGCCGCGTAAATGCGTGAGACAAGTGCGACGGGCGAGCGCTAGAGCAACAACGTGGCGTCTCCATAGATCGTTTCGGTACTGCACCTCCATCTGGTTCTGAGGGCCACGTGAAGAGTGCGCCTCGTGCATTTGTCACCACTTGCAGCACAAACACGACACATTAAGGGGCTTCGGTGCCACATTTTAAAGCGCAAGTTCTCAAACTGGCTTCCTAGGAACACGGGGGCTCTCCAGACTACCCTTGTGGATTCCCAGAGTCCCCAAACTTCCTTGACTGTCCCTGTCCCTAAGTGAAGTGCTTTCCCAGTTAAAACAACGTTTTAGAAGACCCGAGCCATTCATCAGTGCATATCTATGGGCTGGCATTCTTGCTTACGAAGTCTGCAAGCTTCTGCACCGCTTTTATGCATCAGTGCTGAGAACATGAAAAACTCTTTGGCCGAAGTTCAGGGAAGTCAGGGTTGCTTGAAGTTTGAGAGCCCCTGCTCTAAATGGGTTTCAGACTATCCCCCAAGGGTTCACCGAACTCCCAAATTTCCTCCAATGCCCCTGTGCCCCGAATAAAGTGTTTGTCCTGTTCAAGAACTACTTGAGCAGATCTGAGTCACCTACTGAAGCGCAACTATGAACCAAACACCCCTCGATATGTGCATCGTTGTCCGCTTTACACGCCAATGCCGAAACTGAGAGGCGTTCCTCGGCTGCCATTCGAGAAAGGCGACAGTCGCTCGAGATTAAAAAGCCCTCATAGAGAAAGGTTACAACGTCTCTCCCTTCAGCCGGCAACTCGGCCCCCGACCCACCATTCTCCGAGCACCTCGAGGCACCGCATCTGGCCGAGGATGAGCTCGACGTCGCCCGGCCTCTGCTCCCGTGCCTGCCCGTACGCCCGCAGGGCGTTGTCCCAGTCGTGCAGCTTCTCGTACCAGCGCTCTTTCACTTTCTGGGGGCAGAGAAAGAGGACGGGTCAAGACCACGCCCTGCAGACTCTCCACAAACAGCAAACGTTGGGACTGCGCCGTTACGAAGGGTTTTGTGATTAATTTGAGAAATTTCTATAACGCTTCCGGGGTCCTAATACTGCAGTAAATACGGTGTCAAAAGTGAGATTTTGGTAAACCGACACCGCATCGTTAAATGACGGTTTCATCAATTTGCATCTCGATGTATTGCATCAGCCATTACCCGTGCCTTACAAATTACAAAACGAGAGAGATTAGTTATTTAATGCCAATGTTGGTAGAGGAAAAGGATGCTTGCTGCATTCCCGAGGCCTGCACCATTGTGCAAATTAATAAACTCCCTGTCCTATAGAAACTTCAAAAGCTTCTGCATTGTCACAAAAAAAAAAAAAAAAGAAAAAGATTAAAGATTAAAAGGGTTTTTGCCTTACACGTACGGAATACCGGATGCCAAACTCGAAAACAACAACAACAACAACAAGAACAACCGGAAACAAACAATGTAAAGTCTACCAGGTCAGTTGCGTGGCACTTGGTGGCATAGTCCAGAACTCCTGCGGCCGCCTCGGGCTGCTGAAGCTTGTTGTTGATGCTGCGCGGAAATAGACAAACAAAGATTGCAACCGTCGACAAACCCGCATCCTCGACGCAGCTTTACGGTGGCAATGTTTTTCCGATGCTTTGCGCGCGAATCGTGGACCACCCTTGGCACGTGCCCACCTCACTTTAAGTCTGAGCGTAGCACATGCTACGAGAGCCAGCTGCACCCTTCAAATGGGCCCGCCGAGCACGCAACCGCACGTGGTGTAAGAGTAGGTTGGGGCTGCACGCTCTCACTTGTAGCTTCGACTTCGCTCGTACTTGTGGTGAAACAGAGTCAGCCTTCCGTGAGTGCTGTGTCCACAGTTTTCGAAACGACCGCGAGCTTGCTTATAGGCGAGTTGTCGTATACAGTGCGATCGGCAGGGTGAAGAGGGCAAGGGACGTGGTTGCAAGGCAAGAGCACCACTAACTGGCAACACGAAGCGCCATTATGCGGCGGCCGACCGGCAGTTCGGGCGCCAGTTCGTGGGTAATCTGTTCGGGGTTGGCATGTAATGTGCGCAACAAACTGTGGCTTCGGGCGGACGTGAGCAAAAGCGTTTCAAATGCTTTAAATTTAGGACGCCTTTGGAAAATGCCAGACAGAGCCAGTTTCTTTTTTTTTTTCACCTGTGCTTGAAACTTTACTTAGATAGATATGCTGCTTTTCCTTAGTTTTATTTATTTGTGTAAGAACACAGAAAGCAAAAGTGAAACAAACAACAATGAAAAGGCACTGTCTGTGGAAAGAAACAAACATGACTGCTTACTGTTTTTTAGGGTGAGCGTGTTGGTATTGGATAAAAGTTCATGAAAGAATTACCGTATTTACTCGCATAATCCTCGCACTTTTTTTTGCGGAAAATCTATGGAAAGCTGGGGGTGCGAGAATTACGCGGGGAAAATTTTTTCCCGAAAACGTAGAGCTCTAAAAAAATAAAAATAAAAAACCGAAGCGCCAGCAAATTGGGGTTTTCGCGCCGGCAGCTACCTAAAAGTTTTTAGAAGTAGCAATACAGGGCTTACCTTAGCAATAAAACCACAGGTTTAAGACAAAGTAAGATTTAATTTGGAAACACTCGAGCCTCAGTCCGAATCAGTGGTAGCATCGCTGGTCGTTGTCTCGTCGTCACCTCCCGATTTCTCGTCGGCTTCGGACGCCTCGTCTTCTTCCCACACCAAGTTGTCTTCAGTAGCATCCAAGGCATTTGATATGCCAGTCTTTTTGAAGCTCTTCACGACGATGTCTGCTCCGATCATCCCCCACGCTTCCGCTATCCAGCTGCACAGCTGCTCCACCGATGGTCTCTTTATCTTGCCGGCCGGCGTCAGATCGTGTTGGCCTTTGGCCATCCACTCTGCATACAACCTTCGAACATTATCTTTGAATGGTTTGTTCAAAGACACGTCCAAAGGCTGCAGCACGGACGTTAGGCCACCTGGAATGACAGCCAGGTCTGTGCGCAGTTCCTTCAACTTTGTGCGAACCGGTTCCACAAGATGGCCCCGAAAGCTATCGAGAACGAGGAGCGATGGAAAAAGAAGTGCTCCCGGTCGCCGCCCCCACACAGTCTTAAGCCAGTCGACCATGAGGTCAGCACTCATCCAGCCTTTTTCTTGCACCCGTACGTGCACACCAGGGGGAAACTTTCCTTTGGGGAGAGTCTTTCGTTTGAAGATGATGTACGGTGGCAGCTTCCGACCGTCCGCCGTCACAGCTAGCATTACCGTGCATCGCTGCTTCTCCGCGCCAGACGTGCGTACGTGGACGGTGCGTGCGCCTTTCTGCTCCAAAGTAGTGCTGCTGGGCATGTCGAAATTGATAGGCGTTTGGTCCGCGTTCCCAATCTGCGACAGCAAAAAATTGTTCTGCTGCCGAATCCCAATGACGAACCGGTGGAAGTCCACGATCTTATCCTCGTAGGCTTCGGGCAGGCGTTGGCAAAGCGTTGTACGCCTCCTCAAAGAGAGACCATTGCGCCGCATGAAACGCGTGGCCCACCCGTTACTGGCGCGGAAGTCTTGTGCCGGGACGCCTTCCTTTCTGGCAATTGCGCGCGCCTTGTTGCACAAAAGCTCAATGGACACGGCGCACCCATCGGAGCGTAGAGCCTTGACGTAGTCCATGAGCAGCTTCTCAATTCGGGGAAACTTGCCAGTCTTTGGACCACGGAAAGCCCGGCGTGTCCTGTTGGTCGCCTGCAGCTCCCCGTGCTGCCGCCTCCAGTAGCGCACGTTGAACTCGTTGACGCCGAAGTGTCTGCTTGCGGCGCGGTTGCCGTGCTCAATAGCGTAGTTTATCGCTTTCAGCTTGAAAGCAGCCGTGTAGTTGGCGTATCGCCCCATGGCGAAGTGGCAACCAGCACCGAACAAAGAGGTTGGCTCAAAGCGTTCGACCTGGTTCGACGTTCGACCAGTTCGACAACTGATTGCGACGCGACGACCGGGGGCTGCGCTAACGCCGTCTACCGTTGCGGTCGCGAGACCGGCTCAACGACAGTATGACTAGAGTCTGACAGATGGCGCTAGGACTGCTAGCACTCTGGCCATACGGAGCGGCGCGGTGCCGGAAAATGCGGGCGGTGGAGAGTGCGTGCACCATATGCGGGTTTCACGAGCAGGCGACTTTCGCCGCTGCAGTTTTGGGGGTGCGAGGATTACGCGAGGAAAAGAAAAATTCTATTTTTGGTGGCCCACATTAGGGGTGCGAGGATTACGCGAGTGCGAGGATTACGCGAGTATACGCATAAAGGACGCCTGCTGTCCGCGTTTCGTCCTTTATGCGTAATGCTTCCATAAAATTTCAAGACTGCTTGTTTTCCTGTCTTCGCTTAGACCTGCCCATTGCTCTTGCTGTTTCCTGTGTCTTCCGTCTCCCATAAGCCCTGGTGAGACCCTGAATGCTGTGTCACGCAGCGTGCACAAATGCGCGCCGCGTGACAAAGATGGTGCGGACACGACACTGGTTCTCTCTTCTCGCTTTTTTACTCAGACGGGGTAAGCAAAGGCTGTTAAATTTTAGCCCCTGAGGTGGTGATCAAGACGAGCATGTTCCACCGCACTAGCAGGTTCGACGAAACTTTCAGCCACAAAAACACCAAAAATAAAAATGAAGACACCTGGCAATTGCTTGTGTGAGCTAAGAGTGTTGCACCCTGTCACTAGGGATGTTCACGGGACACTTTAAGCGAAAAGATGCCGGTGACTCACCTGATGAGAGCTTCGAGCACTTCTGTGGTCGGACCGTTGTGGAACTCGTCCTCCTTGTAGTGGAGGGCCTTAGCATAGGCCCTGCACTTCATGGCTCGTTCACCTAGGAGCTTCTGATTCAGAGGCAGGGGCCCCTACAAAGAGAAGGCCACAAAAGAAGCACAGGGGTGAGCACATACACTCCCATTTAATGGATTCAAAGCTCCACACTAAACAAAGTTCAGCGAAATCAATCAATAACGAACACCTTAGCTATGCGACATTCAGCTTTTCCCCTAGCGGTGGGAGAAGAGTGCGTAGACTGTGCAGCTTATAGGATATGTGCAGCATCTTCCACACCAATGCTCGGGGAAATTTTCTTTGTGTTTACAAACTGGAACTGAAAATCCAAAAAAAGACAACTGAGAGAGAAAAAAAAACATTTTATATTGATGCATAAACAAAATTGCTGCAGTTCTAGTTTTTGCTCCGGGTTCCACGTAATTGCATAAATCTGACTTCCACCAAAAAGAAAAATATAAAGTTGCAAAGGCAAGCACACAACTATGATAATGATGATAGCAAACTAATTCTCCGCAATTGTGATACTTCTTCCTCAATGAAAGAACTTCTAAAATGGGTAACATCAATACCGGGTGTTTGTCCTAAGAGGGAAAATTCTTTTTTCAAAAAGGGCCCTCGAAATAAAGAAACCATTCTTTCGGGACACCACCGAGCTGGTCTGGAGAGGTCCATGTTTTCTATTGATTGCAAAAGTACCAACAACAGATAACAGTTTTAAATAAAAGATGAAACATGAAAAAAAAAAAAATAAGTAAAAAGATAAAAAACGAAAATTCCAGCTCGAATGACATATGGGGTTTGTGCGGGACACATTCTGTGACAGCGTGATCAAGCCTGTATAATTTTTGCATTTACGGTCGGTGGCAGGTTCAAAGTTCAGGGGAAGCTCCTCCCACCCCTTTTCACTTGAGCAGAGCAAACGCTGAAGAGGAGGCAACCCCCTCTCCAGCGTTCGCTCTGTTACAGTGCAAAGGAGTGGGAAGAGCTTCCCCTGGGTGCTCTTAAACTGTCACAATCCATACCATCAAAATCTCGTCTGCTCATAGCTTAAAATTTGCCAGGGAATAATGCACAGTAGAATCGAGTTGTCCGAATTCAACCAACTGCTACGGCACATTTTAATGACGAGCAACAAATTTCTAACTGGAACGTGCCAGCTAAAGTGAATATTTCAAAAGATACCTAATTAGTAAATTTTAGATCATTAATTTGCTAATATTCAGCTTACACTCCCCACTAGGCATCCACCACGATAGATAACATTATCGTCAAGAAATCATTTCTTTATATCAAGTACCCTTTTCTTTAAATATATTTTCCCCCTTAGAAAAAAAACTTTGCAGTTTTCTTTTTCTCTTTAGTGATGAAACCGTCATATGCACAATTGCAATTTATAGGGAATGCAGCGGACACTATCATTTAGTCTCAGTTCATAGGCATGTGAGGCCATGTCAGCTTCACCATGTCTTCCTTTCATATCATTTTATTCTCGCTATTTTTGGAGCTTTTACAGCTGGAGAAACCTTCTTGAATCTTCCCAAAGTCCACCCTCCAGCTCTCTCCGTCTGTTTGTTTCCTTTTCTTAGTCACTTTTGTTTCCTAAAAAATTGCGTCGTGTAGCCAGCGAAGCTCGTGGCGCAGGCGTTTAGACGCCCGCCAACTAATCAAACTCTCTTCAACTATGTCACGCTTTGCTTTTCGAGGCCATATCAAAGTTGGCTTCAGCAAGAACGCAGTTCCACATTAAAAACACTCCGTACGATCGACTCAAATTCATGTGAGGCGATTTGGCCACGTGGGGAATGCGAAAACGAGGCCGCTCCACCTTCTCGCAGTGCTCCATGAACTCGGCGAGGTTGAGGAGCGTCTGGGTGATTTCGGGAATGTCCTGGTCCACGAGCGCCTTCTGGAAGTTCTCAATTATCTCCTTCTGGTCATTGTCCGCCAGGTACACCCAACAGGACAGGAAGGCTGCATTGAACAGGTCCCTGAAATGAGAGCAGTCAAATTAGGGTCGTGCAGGGTGTGTCGCGTGCGACCGAAAGTAGACCTAACGAAAAACGCACTGCGAGGCCGGCTCCCGCGGTCATTGACGGAAAGAGAATGGCAGGGCGCGTCTTTAGAACGCCCGGCCGGTGCGAGCGCGTTCTCGAGGCGCATGAGACGCCGAAACGTCGCCGAAGGTGGGGAGCTCATGCTCACCGCCGTACTCACTTTGTTAGTTGTTATAGACACTTCCTGCGACGCACTCCCATAATGGAAGAGCGTCCCAAAAGTGCTGCATCAGTGTCTGGATGGAGCACGCGTCCTTGCTGGCTGAACACCAGTCGCAGTGAAATGCTACGCAGCACTCGTGTCCAATCTGTGCCCTGTGTTAGCTTCCAGTAGGTGACAGAAAGTCCATAAAAAGTCTAAAGAAAATCTTTAAAAATATTCATAAAAATCTATAAAAATTTATAAAAAAATCAATAGTAGGTTTATAGAAATTCCTCATTACCTAGGTGGCGTTGGGCAAGCGTGCTCACACATATGGTAGGAGTATGTGCAGGAGGTGACGGGGAAGAAAATAAGCGAAGGCTTGGGCAGAAATGGGGAGACGCGAAATAGCATCGTGCAACCGTGAGATGTGAACTTTGCCTTCTACCCCCACTGGACAGGGCTTCCTTCCAGAGACGCAACGTGCAACAATGTTCACGGTGCCAAAGCAGAGTGTGTACCAAGTTCATTTATGCGACGGTGTGGCTTCATGTTTATAGGTTGTTATCACAAAGCAAAGCACAATACATTCTATACTACCGCCATCTTCGGCATCAAAAGTGCAGGAAAGCGACGACTTTTTAATAAAACAATTCGCCCCTTACTTGTTTTTTTTTTTTCTTTCCACGCATGCCAGGGTGCTCCGATTCAGTAAACGTCTTCAGAGAATAAAATGTTTGAAAGCTAGTTTTTGTTCCCGCTGTTAGCCCGCCTAGAGCGTTATCGGTTACATTTTCACAGGTCATAAACGTTTTAAGCGAACCGCTGAAGAATGCATTAAAGCGGGTTGACCGTAGTGTCGATAAAATAATTTTTCATTACGAAGCTCCGGCCTAAAATTTTGCTTCAAGCCCGGTTTTGATATAGCGAATTACAGGATATATCTAACTAAAATATGTGTCCGACGGAGTTTGTTATAAACAGGTTCGACTTTACTTCTTCATAGCTTCAATAACAGATTTTGGGGTGCTCCTAGTACCGTATTTATTCGAATATAAGTCAACCATTTGTTTTTCCCGGAAATGTTGTCAAAATGAAGGGTTGACCCATAATCGAGACCAAAAAATTTTGACCTACATTCGCGACAAAATTTGGCGATTCTACTGAGGGCACGGAGCTATCGAATCACCGAGCCCGCGTTGCCGTAGAGCCACGCCGCTTCTTGTTTCAATAAGCTTTTGGTGCACGAAAACAACCGAAACAGCAGCAACCGACAACCCCCCCCCCCCCCCCCCCGTCGTGGCTAAAGCCCCTCGACATGTCTGCGTTTGGCGTGCAAGTAGCGTCAAATGCGCGAGTGCACGAGACCCGCTTCTCGAGCGGCCCTTGGAAGCGAATGGCGGCGCAGCACTGAAATGAGCGGCCCTAGGAAGCGAATGGCGGCGGAGCACCCACTCGTGGCACATGTCTCGCGCGGTTCCGCAACAATGGTTGGCGGTACTTGTAAAAAGCGCCTTTATCAAGGGGCTTTAGCCGTGGCCACCGCTCGCGCACATCCCTTGGGCGTCGGGTTTCGCCATCGTGCCTGTAGCGTTCCCCTCGCTGGGCAAGGGGGAAGGGGAGGGAGAGGAACGCAATGCGCCATGCACTTTGCCCTTAAGGCTTTACTTGCTTTCCATTCCTCTCCATCGCAAACGCGCACAAGAAAAACAAAACGCGAGTTTATTTTAGCTTGTTGTTTGCGGCGGCTCGCGTGTTGCTCATGGCGACTCGCGGCGTTGCTCGCATCTTTGAATTTGGTCTTTCATGGTTTTGCATGTCTCCACCTTCTTTCTTCCTGTCGTCATTTTACAACAGTGTCAGTGAGGTATTGTTGCAAATTTGCCAGGATGTCTACCAAGCTGAAGAAGCTTCGGACGATGATGACATGTCCGGAAGTTCTGACAACGATTAAGTTTTTGGCATCACCCTGTGATTTAGCCAAGAGTGCTGTAAATAAAAGTTTGTTTTTTTCTTTTGCCCTAACTTTCCCCTGTTCCAAAAAAGAAAAAAGAAAATTGATATATATTTGATTTTTTTTATTCTCGGTGGGTTTAATAAATAGGGGTGGACCTATTTTCGTGGTCGATCTATTTTCGGGTAAATCCGGTAATACAGTTAAACCTGGATGTAACGAACCTGTATACAACAAAATCCTCTATTTAACAAACTTTTTCAATTCCCCGACGCAATCTTCATAAAAGCGCTTGTATTTGTGAACTCCATGTAACGAAGCGCTCGCGATGGATAACCTTGATTTAACAAACTCGCTCCGCCGCAATCTCCATTTTTTTTTATCAGTGCCTATACTGAGTTACCTAAAATGCAGATATATTCTTGTCCAATTGCCACCAAAGGCGAGCAGCCGACCAAAAGACGTCGGTAATGGCAGCGAGCGGGCACTGCAGAGGCACGCCGTTGCGCTTTCCGGGCGCCGCCAGACTCCCAGCCTCTCGTGCAGCTGGGGGTGTCAGCAGCCTTTTGACGTCGCTACACAAAAGCCACCACGAATAAAAGCCCGACTTTACTTGCCACAATTTTGCGGCGCGACACTACTTCAGGGACACGAAGAGCAGCCAACAGCGTCCGATTTGACCATTGTTTCACAAGCACACATCGCCAGAGACATGTCCGCTAAAATGTCTCGCCGTCCCACAGAAACTCCCGCGAAGAAACTGCGACTCACGAGACGTAGCTAACGCTGAGCAGATACGAACATAAAACAAACAGCTACAAGCGAAACCAGCGGTCCCGAAAGTTGACGCTGACGCCGACAGTCGTGTTGCTCGCCACTGTCGCAGTTTGACACCAGGCAACGGTACGATCGATCTAGGGAATCTAGGGATGTTGTGAATATTTTTTCCCGGGGACAAGTGAAGTCAGCCAGTGAGTCAGCACACAAGCACAGCACAGCATTGTTCCGTCAACATGCCACCTGAAGCATGAGCTCCGCTACTGAGAAACGGAAAAGTTCTGCCTCTTGAAGACAAAGCCGTTATCCTGGATGCAGTGTCTGAGGGTGAAAGAAAAAAGGACGTAGCAGCCCGTTTTGGCATCCCAGCGAGCTCCCTGTCAACAATTTTGGGCTCAAAAGACGCAATCCGGAATGCAATGAAAGCCAACACAAGCTCCAAGAAGAAAAATCTGAAGTCATCAACCTATGCAGACGTGGACAAAGAGGTATTCATATAGTTCCTAGACATGCGTGCGCGAAACATTCTTATTAGCGGTGCAGTACTGCAGCAAAAAGCAAGGGATTATGCGTGCATTTTAGGCCACAATGATTTCACGGCAAGTAATGGCTGGCTACAAGGATTTAAAAGTCGTCACGGAGTTGTCGGGAAAGTTATCAGTGGAAAATCTGCATCCGCGGACCGAAATGGCGCTTCTTCCTGGGTGAATAACCAGCTACCGAAGATCTTGGATCGTTATGAAGCGGCTGATCTGTACAACGCCGACGAGACGGCCCTGTTTTTCCAGATGCTTCTGAGCCACACACTCACGTTAAAAAGAGATTGTTGTCATGCAGGCAAATAGAGCAAACTCCGGGTGACAGTTTTGCTTTGCACGAACAGTGACGAATCTGAAAAGCGCGTGCCGCTCGTTATTTGAAGAAGTTCCCGGCCCAGGTGCTTCAAAGGAACGAAAAGAATGCCTGTGAAGTATTTGGAAAACCCGAAAGCGTGGATGACGCGGGACATTTTCCGCGAGTGGCTGAACGAGTTCAACGGAGCGGTGAGGGAACAGGGCTGCCGGGTGTGTTTATTTTTAGACAACTGTTCAGCACACCATGAGGAAGGCCTCGTGTTATCGAACATTGAGTTGCAATATTTTCCGGCCAACTGCATGTCATTGATTCAGCCTCTTGACAAAGGTATCATCAACGGCGTAAAGTGCGCCTACCGATGTCGGCTGATTGTGCAACTGCTCCTGAACATTCGCCTCCACCGGGAGACTAAGACTGACATCTTCCGAGCAATTGAGATGCTTGCGGCGTCTTGGCAAGAAAGTGGTGAATGATGTTGATTGGGGCGAAGCTCTGGTGGTGCTGATGATACTGATTTTGTTCATAGGTAGTGCTAATGGTGCTGATTAACGTGATTATATACGCATTTGACCACAGCACCCTGTCCTGTATAGACGTTGAGCAGCTACATGCAACGTTTCATCCATGACATTCCCAGCTCTTGAGTTACTACCACATCTCAGAGCCCCCTACTCGTCCCGCAGTCGTGGCCGAGTGGTTAAGGCGATGGACTAGAAATCCATTGGGGTCTCCCCGCACAAGTTTGAATCCTGTCGACTGCGCAAACATTTTTTCTTTTTTTAACAAGACAGATGGGATGGCAATCGATGTGAGCACGGACGCCGGACAAGGCTAGACCCTAAGGTGCTTCGCCCCTAAAATGCAGACCATCGTCAATTGCTTTAGGAAGGCCCAGATAGTCAAGGACATGCGTGTCACGAACAACGACGGTGAAGAGGAGCCGTCAAGCCTCCCCGATTTTGCTGATGATTGAAGTGCGCTGTGCATGAACGAAGTGGTTCCTGACGGTGTCCAACTGAGTGACTTCTTCTACGCGGACAACTGTGTCATGTCTACCGAGGAAATATCGGACCAAGCCGTGGTCGAGCATACGAGACGTCGACGACAATGGCGAATCATCTGAAACTACTGAACCGCCTGTGGTGCCTACCGCAAGGAAGGTCTTGGATGCCATTGATGTATTACACCGGGTCGCCGGCTCCCAGGATGACGTCAGCTCTCTAAACGCTTTGGTGTCCTTTGAGCACTGCGTGCTGCCCTCGCTCGCGCGAAAGACACAAGGCAAGCTTACAAACTTTTTTTCCACTAAATAACCGACGTGGTGAGTTTGCCCACATAGATTTTTAATTTTCGCTTTCTTTCCACGTGTCCCTTATGAGTTTTTCCACGAAAACTGCATGTAACGAAATCCTCCATATAACAAATTATTGCAAACTTTTATCAATTTCGTTATATCCAGGTTTCACTGTACTCCCGATATAGTAAAATTAGTGCCCAGTCCTGGCGGGTATACTACAAAAGGATTCTACGGTGCGAAGGAAGTGAAAGTAACTTTTGGCGCAAGATTGGCGCAACTGCCTCACATCTCGATGAAACCTAGAAAGATGTAGCAGGGTTAGCACTTTGTTGCAGGCTAGTGCAGCCCTCTCTTCTGCCACAGGAGAGTCAAAGAAGAAGAAAGGAGGCCTACTTGGGGAGCTGGTTGTAGCTGTGTGCCAGGGACCAACAGGAGCGCAGTGCCGGGGACGGGGACGCCTTGAGCAGCTCAATGCTCAGCCTCCGCAGCCACTCCAGCCAGTCGTCCTTCGAGACACGCTTGCACGGCGTCCACAGCTGCGGAGTAGACAAAGCAAATTAAACACACTTCTTGAGGAGCCCCTGGAATCGAAGAAGCACAGTCAGACCCCTGAATCAGATACAGGATATATTAAAACTTAATTCAAACCAAACGTGATCAGGCGTCAAACACAAGCACCAGATAAAAATGTTACTTACAACCATTCGTCACATTAAGTTGAGATGCAGAATGTGTTATGGGTGTTTTAGCCTCTCTTTTGGTACAATGAGACTTCAGGATATGCAATTGTCTGTGACTTTATAGGAATTTTAGACCCATTCATGTGTATTGTTCTCCAACTTTTACGGGTTATTAGTGCGATTGTGCGAATATTCAAAACTTGAAACACTTTGCAAATAGTGTTTGCTATTCAACTCAATCACACCAAAACTATGCGGCGGACACTGTTTTGAAGGGCGGCAAAAAGAAGAGATAAAACTCAGCTTCGAAACAAGACCAAGATGGTGGCCGTCCGCTAATTTGAAAAAGAGAGGGAATCGCTCAAAGTTTTGCTCGAATTTCTGTCTTCAGCGCGAATTGGAAGCCACCGGGACATTGAAAATAGTTTTATTTTAAACATATTTTCTAAGTGAATTAGGTGTTGTTAGTTAGAAAAAATGTAGTTTACAGAAAATACAATCCAAAAAGGTAGTTTCCCAAAAATGAACTTTTTCACAATTTCTCGGTTTTCAATCCCCGCGTCCCCCTTATTATAAAAGGCTTATCAATTCTATCGTAACTGACAATGTGAGAACGGCGGGGCGCGTCATTCGAACACCAGGCCTCCAGCATGTACTCTATGCCTTCCGTTGTGCTTTGTCTGCAAGCACATGCTTGAGGCACACGAGACGCCGAAGCAATACGTAACTTATGAAGCTCTACTTAATGTTTTGTCACACTTTTCTCGGCAACCCCAGCCCTCAAAACAGATTCAATGTTGGGAGATCTGGGGGGGGATTATCAGCTCAAAGAGAAAGGAGGGGCTCACCCTTTCCAGGCTGGCCGAGCAGACTTTCTGCTTCTTGACCATGGTCACGTCCACGTTTGGCATCGGAGGGTCCTCTGACTGCTGGCGGCCCCTGGTGAGACGCTTCTCCAGACTGAACGCCTCGCCGTCGTCTTCCACCAGTGCCGTGCTCTAAGTGTAAGATATGCACACGCGTCAGCAATCAGCGGTCGTCGTTAGATGTTAAGGGGACACTGAACTCCCCCGAAACACTTTATTTTCAAACGCCTGGGTAGGACACATAAAACCTAGAATAAACTCCTCCACCGCCTTCAAAAAAAACAAAACAATTACTCTCCGCCTGTTGTTGTAGATGATAGAGGGCAGCTGATGACGAGATCAAAGCTGTGCTAGAGGAGCTGCAGTTCCAAGATGTTTTGCTCCATTTACCTTAAAGGGGCGGTGCAACGATTTTATGATTAAAAGAATTTGCATCTCGTCCCTTTTACGTTGTTTATCGTGTCCCAGAGGATAGAGAAAACACTTCCTTCGTTAAAAATGTCGCGATTCCGCTGCATAATCGCAAAGCAAAAGTCGAGCTTTTTCCCCCACCTGTGCCCCAAGTGGCAGCCGAAGGAACTACGGCGGAAATATTACGTGACCTCGCTCGGCTCTAAGCTGCAGCGTAGCGCCCGCTAATGTATGCAGAGAGAGGGAGGGGAAGCGTCCTCCGAGATAGCACACGGGAAGCTACATGGCACTCTGAATGACGTCACTGGGAGTGCGACAGGTGTGACCCTGAAGACTGGGAGTGAGTTGAGGGGTGCCCAAAATGTCAATCTTTATCTTTTTTTTACGCAACAACTAGGACACGCAGGCGAAATCGGTTTTCTGTTCTTTACTTCAGAAGTGTCAGGGGGCAACTTTCAGAAATCTTTGACCGAAGTCCGAAAATCGTTGCACCGCCCCTTTAAGCCTGGACCTCGTGCCACCAGACTTTTGGCTGTTTTCCAAGATGAAGAAACATCTGAAGGGTGCACGGTTCGCATCCAACAATGAGGTTACCGTTGTAGTGCGCCATTGGTGTCAACAACCGCCTTCAATCATCTACGTTGGCATGTGGAAAGCAGTGCACATGTAGCGTAAGTGCATCGGCGCCAGTGAGGTCTATATTGAAAAGTGATGTGCTCCTGGGAAAAAGGAGATTCCAAACTTTCATTCGAATGTAACATCTTTCAATTCCATCAGTGAATTAAAAATTAGAGCCTACAAGGCAAAGCTTATTAATCACCCCTCGTATATTCAGCTGAATTGACAACTGGAACTTTCTATAATTCACGACCATGTAAGTTCCTCAATGTACGGGCTGCACCGTTGTTGTATAAGCAGGCTCAATGGAAGTCCGCGAACAATCTGGAAGTCTGCGAACAATCACCAAGGTAGCTGGGGGCTGCAGCGACGCAAAGTTTGGGAAGCGCTGGTTAAGACAGTTTGATGAATCGGAGCTTTAACGCTTTGTCTACAAAGATGAGGTAGGAGGCAGGCAACTAGTAGAACAGAGAAGTGCAAATGTAAAAAAAAAACTTTCAACCTTTCCACTCTGGTGAAGAAGGAAGACCTGCGAAGCTGTACTATGATGGGACGACCTCAAGGACGACGTCTAGGACAACCTCAAGTCAAACCAGTCTCTACGTGATGCTGTGCACGCTTCCCTTCTGCACTCCCGGATACAAAGCTTTCGCGCTGAATTTTCTGAGTCACAAGGAGAAGGGAACTGCACTTTCCTGCCTTTTTCACTTCTCCTTGTCTCAAGCACTCCATCCACACCACCTGTTTCTGCTCCTCTCTTTCTTACCCTTTCCACCCTTCTCCATCTGCACTTCCTCACACCACCTGCTTCTGCCCCTTTCATTCCTGTGTACTAAGTTCCTAGCTCAGCCAGCAGAGCACTCGGCTTCCAAGCTGGCGACCGGGGTTGAATCTCTTGCACCGATTGCCATTTTATTTTAAGATGGTTTGGCGGTTACAAGTTAACTGATCAACACATTTCATACTTACATGTCTCCTGAGGTTTGTTGGCCCTATAAAACTGCTTTAAAATAGATCAATGGGACGTGCATTTAACCTTCCCCACCACCTCGACACAAGTTGGCAGGCTCGTTTCAGTGAGAACAAGGGCAGCCCCTCACCCTGACAATCCTGGTGACCAGGGCGTTGTAGCGGTCGTGGGTGATCTTGTGCGTCTCCACCACCTTGGACACCAGGGGAACGAAGATCTTGTACTTTTTGCCCAGCTGGACCACCATTGCACACAAGGTGTTCATGGCTTGCTGCACAGGGCCACACAAGTGAAAATTCACTAAGCTTAACCAGTCAACCAACTTCCATCAACAAAAAGAAAAAAAAAAAAAAAATAAAAAAAAAAACCACGAGAAGAATAAAGAACAGCTAGAAGGTGTAACCAAGCTTGGATGCTCAATAATAAGCATACTTTTCATGAAACAGCATCATTATGACGTAAAGTTCTGACACAACTTCCATGCAAGGTGTACAAATGGAGAGGTACAAATATGTGTGAGGGGGGGGGGGGGGGGGGGGGGCATCCCTTTGAAATGTGACCGCACAAAGTGAAAAAATACATGAGAAACTGATATGCAGGTACCCGTTAGAAATGTGCCTAGAACAAAAGCAGGTGCTGTAGATATAGCAAACAATGCAAACCTATGTTCCATAGTGCTGCTCATTAACTTTAATAATTGTAAAACAAGTACTTTTACAGTGTCAGCTGTACTGGACGAGCATCGTGTTGCCGAAAACGAACGGAGCGTGTGCGAGCTTATTGCAGGTGGCTTTGGTGTCGGGAGATGGCGAGTGCAGCAGGGACACCCTCAGCCTTTTGCTGACAATAGTCGTAGGTGAGGCGTAGCATGTTTGGTCAATCGTGATTGCGCTGGGGGCCATGTGGTTGCTCTCCTGGCCAGCTGCTCTTTCTCGTCTTCGGTCGCCCGTTCCCTCAACACTCTAAGCCTTTGTGCGCAAGAATGGGGCGCCCGAAGCATACGCGGGAGCAACTGGCGGCTGCTCGGCGGCATAAATGCGCCCACGAGAGAGAACGTCGTCGACGTGTAGGCGCCGACGGTCTCACCTTAGGTGTTAGGATGAAATGCATTTGACTTCAAGACCATGTAGTATACGTGAACGTGAAGCGGAACCTTGAAGAGAACATTAAAGAGCAAAGAATGGACAGGCTGGTGCGACCAAGCAATTTGTGCAGTGCATCCACAAGAACGTGTTTGGTGCTAGCTGTTCTTTGTGTGATCGGTTGTGGTTTATGCGAGACACTGTGCAAGGACACATCATTGGAATTTCCAGTCAATCATGATGCAAGACCATTTAAATGTCGCACCAGCTAATGCTGTCCATTCGTATCACGTCGCGTGATCGTCCGCGCAATTTTTTTATGTGTCCCAGAACCTCTCAGCGAACTTTATGTGGATTGCCCAGGCAATTATTATACCAGCAGGTCGTTTGACTTAATGATGGGTACAGTGATGTGTATGTGGTCTATCAAGCATATGGCAATATCTTTTCTTTCTTCTCTAGTTAGCAAATTTCAAATTTCGTACTTGATCCGTTTTACGTTTGGCATCCAATATTCAATCTGACATTCGAAAGTATACTAATGAAAAATCATTCTATCAATACTGATGCAACTCCAAACAAGCCTAATTCACATACGTCTAATAATGTCTGTAACTCAAGCTCTGAACCAAGAAAAAAATCACACTACGAATTTGTGATTTACAGAGCTAGGCCAACTTGCGAAAGAATGCTCAAATCAATTCCGCTCCAAGAGAGGTTCACGAGCATTGTGCGGCGCAACAGAGAGAGAACAGCAGCAAACACGTATCTCTGCAACTGCGTCGAGCTCTGAAACAAAAACGTCCCGGCGACATCGGTTTCGCGAGGAATTTCCGCTCAACGCCGACCGTCCGACGTATCACTGCCCACTTACCGAGCGCAGCTCCGGAGTAGTGTCCAGGGTTCGGACGAGGGGGTGGATGATGCGGGCCGCAAATTCGGAGAAGTCCAAAGACTCCGAGAGGACGTCGATGGTCTCCAGGGCAGTGCTGCATGCAAGAAAAAATGGAAGGAGAGCGTCACGCTCAGTCTTGGCAAGAAAAACATGGCTGTGTTTCTGCGGCGCTCTGCTTGCAGGCTACACGGAGATGCGATAGCATTTATGTTTCTCTTATGAGGGCGACGTCGCGCCGATTAAATTGAGACGATCCTCACCCCGTCGCTCGGCCTTCGGTCGTAGCAGCATAAGCCCACCTCGCTTCTCTGTCGCTAGCCAAACGCTGCTCTCTCTTTTTTGGCGTCTTACCGGCACATTGAATGCATTGAACCTATGTGTGCCGCCGTTTCTGTTCAGCAATGCCCTCTTCAACCTGCTCCTTTCTCTCTCGAGGCATTGTGGATGACCGTAGCACTCCCACCAACTGTATGACTATTGTAGACCCCTTTAGAAAGTGTGCCCTCAAACGGAAGCTGTAGAATCTCTGCACAATTGCGCTCGCAAGTGCGAGCTCCTTGCGTCCGATTGCACCTCGGGTGTGTAAGCCCTCGTGCGGTGATAGCAAAACTCAGAAGTATCCTTGAGGTCGTCCTTGACGTTGTCCTTGAGGTCGTCCTATAAGTCGTCCTTGAGGTCATCCTAGAAGTCGTCCTTGAGGTCGTCCTAGATGTTATCCTTGAGGTCGTCCTAGAAGTCGTCCTTTAGGCGGGGTCCTTGAGGTCGTCCAAGAAGTCGTCCTTCAGATCGTCCTAGACTTGTCCTCTAGGCATCGTCCAAGACGTAAAGATAACAGCTTCGCTGGTCCTCCATCTTCACGTGAACTGGAAGGGCTCTACATTGTTTTTCTCTAGCTGCGCGTCATTATCATCATCATTGTTGTTACTATTTTGCTTTGTTCATTCGCCATTGCAGTCGTGGACTTCAGCCTCTCATCTAGATCTCATCTCGGTGAATCGTGTTTTCGGACTACGCTGACTGTGATGTCAATGCCCCATCTCTTCTTCCGCCGCCGCGATATGTCGCTAAGAAGTGCAGAAAGTACTCAACCATGACACTAGAAAAGAAGGCAGCGACTCTCAAGCTAATCAAAATTTGCCGAATGCAAACGAAGGCATAACCTGAAACAAGGCGTGCAGGCATAACCTGAAGCAAGGCACTATTTAGGGCTTTTTTAAGCCCGCTTAGACGTGATAAAGGCAAGCTTTTTAATCTGCTGATTTTTCGGACTGCTCTATTATTCAAACGTTTTTTTGATCGAAGTCCAAAAAAATTGCGGTGGCTTAGCTCGGCTATGCCAGGATATAAATAACGTGAGCTTATGCGCACAAAATGAGAGGCGCTATCAAGCGGCTCTGGTGCAGCGTCAGACTTGGCTACTGCGCAACGGAGGCGCACAGCTGGGCACGTAGCGGTGCCAGTGCGTCTGCCGCAGCCATGGTACGTCACTCCTCTGGAATGCACAGACCCGCGAGGCGGGCGAGGCAGGTGCGGCGGCGGCGGAGCGCACGGCGCCGGCTTCGTGTAGCTCTTATAATGAGCCGTGCTCATTATGCGTAGCGCGCGGCGCCGCGCTCATTATGTGGAGCCCCGCCGCTGCGCGCTCCGCATAATGAGCACGGCTCATTATGAGGGCCATGCGAAACTGCTCAACCTCGGCCAGTGTAGCTAAAGCTACAAAATCAGTCGGCAACTTACGACTTTCCTGCACACACACATTCATTTAATGTAACAAATTTGAATTTTCCTACGGGGGTTGCCGAAAAAAATGCTAAGACATCTGAAAGTCGATACGAAATAGAACACTGTCGTAGAAGCATTTCAAAATGATATTCTTTAGCTCTTACTGTTGCCACCTTGTGGAGACATGCAGAGAAAGTTAAACAACCTCGAGGAAGTATTCATTAAAATTATTAGGAATGTGCGAATATTATAAACCTTCGAATCAAGACCAGTATGTCGGCGCATTTGATTTTAGGTTCAAACCAAAGAGTACCGATAAAAATTCAAAATAAGGTAGACTCTCGGCAATTCAAGGTCCCTTTGTTTTCCAGAGAGTCGAATTTCACATAGAATTTTAAATGGTGCTTTTTGATTTGAACCTTTAAATGAAATGCATTGTTATGCAGGTCTATGCTTGAAGGTGTATAATATAATAGCATGGGTGAAAGTTTTGGCAATTATACATACGAGCCTATGGAAACAAATCAGCGGTAATTATGCGTTTATCCTCTGGGGCCGATTAATTCGAAGGATTTTTTTTGCATACACCAGAAGTCCGGTATATCCTGTAAGACGGGACAGGCCCTGTTCAATTTCCATCATGTCCAACGTACATTGGCTGATCAAATTCTTTAGTCTGTCGCATCTTTCGGAATCCAGGTAAATTTGAAGTACGGTTGGCACTCGGTAAACAGAAAACAGCGCGAGAAAAGGAGCAAAGAAGACTCACATCCTGACGTTCATGGGTATGTCGGCAGAGTCAAACAGCTTGATGATGGGAGGGAGGATGAGATGCAGGTAGTCATCCAAGTTGCAGCCAAACTTCTGCAGCGCCATCAGCAGCTGAAAAACCACAGACGCACAACCGTCCCAAGGTTTGAACAACTTTGTTCCATCACATTTTGCTTAATGACTATTTGTCTTAAAGATAAACACCGACTTTCCAAACTGCTTGATAAGTATGATAGTGGTTGAACTGGGTGGTATCTATAAAACTGTGAAAATTGCTTAGAAATATGAACTTTCTATCATAGAGTATCTTACCCTTGCAGTAATACAATAAAAAAAAGGGGGGGCCCAACGTTCTCAAATGAATGCACTGAACGCAAAGCTGCAAGCGAGCCAGACTAGAATAACGGTAATGATCCCTAGACAAGGGGAACAAGGGGACAAAGGACAAAAACAAATCTCCAAACACAACTAGGTGAACGGTGTGTGACTCAAAAAATTCCACCAAGTCCTGGTATAGAACCAGGGAGCTCTCCATTTCCAGTGGAGCACTCTACCAACTGAAGTAATCAGGTGTTGGATGTCAGTAGAGTAGGTGGGTTTTAACAGCCACCACCAGACTAACACCAACAAGGGTGAACGGCCTGCATTTTAAGTTTATGATGTAATGCAACTAATGCAAAGGTGCAAGCAAGTTGGAGAAGAATAACGATAATGACCTCTGGAGAAGGGGAACAAAGGACAAAGAGAAATCTCCAAACACAGCAGGTATCGAACCAGGGCCTCAGGGGTGACTAAAGCAATGGTCACTGAGGAGTACTATTTCTCATCTTTAACTTGTTACATGGAGGCGTTTTCTTTTTGGATTGGTGATATGCCAAACTCCGTTGATGGTTCCGGTGTGGCATGAATGTGTCAGGATTCCAAGAAAAGAGCTTGGTTGAACTTGGACCAATTAAAGTTCAATTAAACTTTTTTTTTTTTAATTATTTTTTTAATTAGACAGATTTCAGTCAAATGTTTACATTCAAGTAACACAATATACTGTTCCTCCCCGTCGTACTTGCTCTGTCTGCGACTAGATTTATCTGCACTGGTTCTCCCGTTCTGGTCATCACCGCTGCCACGTTCCCAAAGCACGGCGATGGCGGCGTCCAACGAAATCTCGCATTATGCAACTGACCGCATCCCCCGCATCCACCATGCTTGTTCGGTGATTGTCCCGCACGTCATGAGTAGGGACCGATCGGACACTTGTGTGATGTACGTTGCAAGCATGACCTCTAACTCCAAAAAGCACCCAGGCCTATCCAAACTTCGGTCCGCGGAAACCTCTTCGTTTGCCGGCGCAGTTACAAGATCTTGCACTGTTGAAGATGCCACTTTCACACGAGATGCCGAAGCACCCTGACAGGTCGAACGTGCGTCTGGTAGCACAGCTGTTGGTGGTTTTTGGGTGAAGAATGGCCGTAAAGGAGCACCAAAAACCTAAACTGCCTGGGTCACGCGTGTTAATACGGAGAAACATAGTTGGCACTCCAGCACTGTCGCATGATCTCGATATTCGATCGAACGACGTGTGACCGTGCATCGTGCGAAAACAAGCAGCGGGGAGTGAGGCTGTTTCAGTGGCTCTCACATCAAGTGCACGCCACCCTCGAAACTCAGACGAGCCGCGTGCCACCGCGCAGCTGGAGTAGTATGGTGTGCCGTGCGCCGTTCACCGCCATGCATTCGGGCTGATTTGCGAATTGCTATCACCATGACCACAATCCTCGTTTAAGCAGATTAAAAAAAAAAAAAAACGGCTGAACTCATAACAAGTTGAGGTGTACTTGATATCGCGATTGTTCCGTCTTTGTCGGCGGAGGGATGCTTTGGTTCCGATTATAAATCGACCCCCCCTGTCCAAATTTTCAAAAATTTAAAAATGAGTAAACCTTCAATCATAGCTACGGTACCTTAGTTTCTCGGAAACTGGATCCAACTTCAATATGCCTGCACAGCTTATATGTTTGTCATCATCCAGATTTTTGCTCCACCAGCCTTGCACCAGTAGCAAAAGTGGCAACGTTAGTGCACCACCTCACTTTCACGGGCCTCAATTGTTCCCAGAACTTACTGATTTAGTGGTTTTCGAAGACGGTCAGCAAGTTACTAATTGGAACATGGAGGTGAAGGGTCACAACAGGACAATTTTCAGGGCAGGACATCAGCTGATGGAAGCTTGCTGAATGGTAGCCATCTTCTCATACGCCTTCAAAAACATCGCACCACATACGCGTGTTCTCAGTGCCTTCGCCGGGCAATCTGTTCAGCTCCACGCTCGTTTTTATCTCAACCACTGTGGCAAATCAAGTTCAGCTCTGCTTTCAGAGCGTTTCTACTTCCCTCTTTACGAGGTGAACTAAAGTACTTGCCTGTGGATTTAAGGTCAGTAAAACATAAAACAAAACCCAAAAACGTACAAGTCTGAAATGCAAGCAGTGTCACTGTTTTCTCCAACAACTGATTTATGTAGGTATTACTTCGTGCAGCATGCAAACTATGTAGGGAGCTTGCTTTCTTCCGAAGAAAACCACAAGGACAGTACCCGTGACCACTTTTGGAACAGCACACCTTACTACCCTTGGAAGCACAAATAAACGCAATTAAACACCTGGGAGCTTACTGATTTTGGTTGTGCCTCTTGGATGCATGAAAGGGAATAGACTTCATTTGCTTCACCGCGATTGTCTGCACGCATTTCCAGATTAGCATTTTCTTAAATTTTGACCCCAAACTTTGATACCGTAATGTGACCAGTAAAGGACATCAGTAGGAGATACCCCGAAGAGCCACGTCCACTAGGCTGACAACAACTGCAAGCTCTAAACTTTCTTTCGGGCCTCGTGTTGCCAACAATGGAGAGTCACCTTGGCGGTGACGGCACGGTCTGCGCTCATGTCGTGCATGAACACCTTGAGGGCGTGGGGCACCAACTTGGGCAGGTACATCTTGAAGTCCGGCCCCAGCGACATGACGATCTGCTCCACCAGCATGATGATCGTCGACTGGATCGGACTGTTCACTATCCAGAACTCCTGCGCCCCGGCGAGAAAGCACCATGTGAGGCGACGTGGCTAGACCCTACTAGAGTCGCTAAATGAGCCTCAGAGTAACAACACTTCGGACATCTTGTTGCATTTAAGTATCAAAATGGCGGTGCTAGCAAGAAAATCAGGGAACAGAGTGCCGACGTTCTAAGCGCGGCTTACGCATTCAATGACTCTAGACTACACCCATGGTGCCACTATTACGAACGAAGGACTGTTGGACGAACATAATGCAAGCAATAAGTTGTATGCCGAAACTATTAAAGGTGCACTACACTTACGTTAGAAGTTCAGCCTACAACTACACTGGTGGTGCGCGTCTCTGGCATTGTGTTTTAGCACTTCTGTGCTCTGTCATTTGGAAGGAAGAAATCTTCAAAAATGAAAAAGAAGTTCAGATAATATTCGTGCGAATACAGTAGGGGTAAATAATTGTATGAAACACGATTTTTCAGCTTCTACCGCTAATGCTTCAAGTACCTCAATGTTTCCACCTTAATTTTAAATTGCAGTCTAGTCCAAGAAATCATAAATTAGAACACTGTATCTCACAAACTTTGCAATACTGCTTTTTGTGGCAAGTTTCCGCCATGAAAATTTATGGTGCTCTACGGACTATCGGTACTAACAGAAACCAAAGCCAAGATGATGGCAAACACTGGCCTTTATAAGAGCAAAGATGTCGTCCAGGTAATTGCGGATGTGCTGCCTCACGATGGCAATGAGCTGAGCCAGCTGCTGGAAGAGAAACTGCAAAAAGGAAAGAGAAACATGACGTACACATGAGAAGCCTGCAGAAATCCATGGCAAATGCACACCTTGCTTGAGCCCTCATGAGCTCTCAACATTGCTGAACTGTGAACTTCTCCAAGAAATTTTTGTCAGCACCCACTGGCCACCCTAGATGCGTGCAGTGCCGTCGAGTGGGTGACAATAGCAAGCTATTTCCTTTGATTCATTTGGCACCATTACAGAAGAAAACATGTCCTACATGTAGTGTTCTCTGACGGCCCACTACAAACACCTTTTATTTCAGATATAAAATGTTTCTAAGTTTGATTTTTCTGCATACTCTGGTGAGAAAAACCTAACCTTTCTTCGAGTTTGTGTGGAGAACCGAGACGCAACATTCTTCAAAGTTTTTATTGGTATGAATGCAGAATTGCATACTAATGTAAGTCAACCAAGATTAAACATTTTTTTGTGGTGTGCGTGGCAGGTCCTATGACTCAACATCACGTGATGTCACAATGTGAAGTCATAATGACATGTGACGATTATTGCAAGCTTTACGACACAAAAGCTACTGAGGCCATAATGTATGGTGTCACATGAGGTCATGGTGTCTACAATGCTACTTACTGGATCTAGTAACGTTGGGTGTAGAGTCATGACGTAACATGACATTATGTCTGGGCATGTGCAAATACTGAGTTTGAAGCGAATTCGAAGCAAATAGTGGTTTTCGCGAGTGCTGCTCGGTAAGAAGCACGCTTATCGGGGCTAACCTGCCGCGATCAATACTTTAAACAACTCTTTCATTTTAAAATAAAGTGAAATCACAAAAACGTCATTTTCAAGGGGCTAACAATTAATTTTTTTGAGTTTTCATAAATATAAAAATATACATTCTAATTAAACCTCAATAGTTGCATTCCACATATCCTCAAGCTTATGCATGCCAATCATGGATGTCATAGGACAATATTCACAAAAATGATAGCGCACAAACTGTGGAGATGCCTCAAAATCGTCAAAAGAGAAAATGTGTTTGAATATTATCATAGACTTGTAGGAACACTCCTTCGCAACAGGAAAAATTATTTTTTTATTCTTTTTGTGAGAAATTGAAGCTGAAAAAAGATTGCAATGAAGGAGATGGCTAGGCCTACTTCTTAAAATCATTGTGATGGCAGGCGACGTCACAATTCGAAGAGACACGCACATGAACATGGCTCATATATTTGCCTTTCTGGCTAGCCGGGAAGTCTTCAAATGTGAATTTGACCAATTTCGCCACCATATTCAGTCCTTATTCTCTATTATACATAAAATATGATGATTAAAGAATATCAAAACATTCAAACCCGAAATCACATTGTTTGCAAAATATTGCCGTTTCTCGATCCGCATCTCTCCTCAAAACACGTCCTGCGTTCGAAGTCGTAAAAACCTGCCATTTCTCACACGTGGCAGTTCTGCGTACGACGGTTTGATCGACAGAAACGCGTCGTGTGGCCACCCACCTCCCTGAAGCTGTTGTCGACGGTGCGCACGACGTTGAGCAGGGAGGGCAGCACCTGGGACACGTAGGGCACGCAGCGCAGGCCCAGGCTCTTGAAGATGAAGACCACCGCCTGCACCACGTTGGTGTGGTGCTGGCCCAGGGTCGGGTCCCGCATGATGCGCATCAGCGTCGACACCACCATGGCCGGGTAGAACTCCTCCAGCGAGCCGCCCATGCTCACCAGCATCTCGCTCGCACCCAGCTCTGCGAGTCCACGTCCGGCAGACGGTTTCCGAGGTAGCTTAGACCCTCGTCGATCGACACCTTAGAGTTAGCGTAATAATCTAGAAAGAAAGGTCCCGTGCGTGCCGTAGCGGCGGGGCACAGACGCCTTGGTATACACAGAGCAGCGGCTAAATATCACCCATAAGGTCTGTGCCTAGTTCTTTCCTAGATTACTTTGCAAAAAACCACCGGCATCGCGCATTGCACGAAGAAAGACAATAAAGTTGACGAGCACTGGACAACTTCGACTCGCTGCGGCAAGACAAGCGCACCTAGCCGATAGTCTGTATTCTTTCCCCCCACTTTTCTGTTGCTCTCTTTCTGGTTCTCTCTCTCTCGGGTCCACCGACGTCGGCGTTTACGCTTTGCAACGTTCTGCTCCCAATGAACGCAGACCTCGTGTAATGAATCTAGCCACCAACAAGGCGAGAACGGCAGAAGAAGCTTCCGTTGTCTCGCCTGGAGTGTGAGCTTCCTACCTTAAACAACGCTTGGGTGTCACATGCGCAGCCCAGGCGTTTGAAGGGACACGCCCTACTGCTGCTCTGCTGTTCTAGAGCGTGGGTTCTCTTCATAGGCACCTAGGAGTTTCCCGGAGTATCCTCGAGGGTTCCCCAAGCTCCCAAAATTTCTTCTACCGTCCCTAACCTAATTCGAGCATTTTTTCCTGTTTAAGCCTCATGTTGGTACATCTTAGTCACTCATTGATGCATAACGCTGTGTCTAGTATGTGCATTATTGTTTACAAGGTCTGCAGGTTTCTGCATTGCTTTACCGAATCATTGCCGACGCTAGGATGGGTTGCTCCGACATCAATAAAGTTAAGTGGGTGTTCCTTGAGATCAAAAAGAACACCCGTGCTGGTTCTCAAACTGGTTCTCGAACTGGGCTTTGAAATTCTCTTGGCTGTCCTCGCCCCTAAGTCGAGACTAATTTAGAAGATCTGAGCCATTAATTGACACACAACAATGTGGCAGATTCTTTATCTGGGCACTATTCTTTACTAGGTCTGTAGTCTTCTGCGGGGCATTACTGCATTAGCGCCGAAACCAGGAGTGTTGCACGAGAGATGGGCATTCTATCAGATAAAAAAGTTTGAGAACCTCTGTGCAAACCTATGAAGCAAGATTGATCTCCAGATCATAATGTTGAATCAACCCCCTGCAATGGCCAGCTACTTCTCCTCGAAGACTGCGCTCGGCGTTAAATTTTACGTTTGATTTCAAGCCGGCCCAATCTCAGCCAGGCGGGAAGACAAAAACATACCGTATTTGCACGAATATAACGCGAGTTTTTTTCCGAAATTACGTGCTCCAAAACGCACCTCGCGTTATATTCGGAATCGAGTTCAGCCACGAGGCGCGCGAGTCTGGAGAAAGCCAGAGGAGAAAGTCATCCCTCCGGCTCAATGCAAAAGATCCAATGGAAAAAGAAGTGGGGGTGTGGAGGGGCATTTTCTAGCCATTGGGCCACGTGAAGGGGCGAATAGAAAACATAAAAAAAGCATTTTTATCGCTTTTGTGTTTTTACAACGCACGCCGCACGCGCGCGTGCCATGCGGGCACCGGCCAATTCGAGCCAAGCCAAGCCGGGCCAAGTCAAGTCAACACAAGCCAAGCCAAGACCACTGACCGCGTTTACGCAATCGTGCAACACGAGGCATTTGTTTACGAAGAGGGATCAGAACAAGAATTGTGATCGTGTATTGGGTTCAGCAGTCTTTTCTCTGCCTGCGCATTGTTTAGTCTCCAGAGTGGTCTGGTGTTTGTGTGTTGGTGCTTCTGCTTGGTGCCTTGTTTGGATTGTGGGCTGCCGAGGAGCTTCCACGGAAGAAAAAAGAACTACCAGACAAGCAGGTGCCGTGCTGCTGCATACCTGTGTAGTCGCCAAGCGGATTGTAAACGGGAGGACCTGAGCAGTGAGGATGAGTGCAGTCAAAACATAAACTGATATTTCTTCTATTTCCATTGACTTTTCACTTCTGCTATGCCCCCGAGTGCGAGAAATTCACGCGGCATCGGTTCGCGTTATAATAGTAATAATATTTTTTTTTCTTTTTGGGGGCATCAAAAACTGCCCTCGCGTTATATTCGTGGTCGCGTTATATTCGTGCAAATACGGTAATTCTGTTTGGTAGATGACGTGGAAAAGGCTGGTGCTGGGAAAGTACAGACCCTGGCTTTCCGGCGGAACCACGCTGATGCTGACGACAGCTCCGGAATCACTGAAGCTGTCGATCATTCCCAAGTTCAGCTTGTGCTTAAATGGGTCCAGGGCTCCCAGGAGTCCAAGGACCCGAATGGCCTGGTAAAATAAAACGTAACAAAAAAATGGATGATTAGTACGCTAGACATGGTGCAGCGTATAGAGAAAGCTCACAACTCACACAAAACTAAAATATAGTTAGAAAAAAATAAAGTTTAGATAGTTCAACTTGCACAAGCTCACTATCGGGTAGTGCAAGGGGTGAACGATAGTTGTTATAAATTTTGGCAACGATTGGGGGGCCACCAGGAGGGCTGTACGGACATTATTACAGATGCACATCCATGCTCCAGCACTCGTCATGTCATTCCTGCCAGGCCAGCAGCACATATCATACTATATCTAACAAACATGTAAGTATGGTCTTCTTGCTTTGTTTAAACACCCAGATCAGGCTCTCAAAGGTATCTATGCTCGTTTTAACCTTAAGAAACATAGTAAAAAAAAGTCAGGCTCCTTGCAGAGCATTACTAATTTCCCCATTTATGTGCGATAGGCCTTCCAGGGAAGAAGAGAAAGTCAGCCGAACGGCACCGCTTACTAAAGGTTCAATCTCGTTTCTGGCACACGCCGTGAGATGGCGCAGCACGACGGGAAAGGCCGCAAAGCACGCGATTGGGCCCTTGTGCACCGCAGAAATGACTTTGCCTTGGCATCCTCCGACCACCGACCTTGGGTAGCTCGGTCGGCAAAGCACTCGTCTCTTTTTATGTGGTTCCCCATGGGCGTAAGGCTTTTCGGTGCCAGTTTCTCATTACAGCCGGCCGCTACAGCAGGCTGTCACGGAACTCCGTGAAAGTTTGCCGATAAAACAATATTCTGCGTTAAAAGAGCTTCAAAGTGTAAACAAGTTTCAACGACAAATCTGATTCAATTTGTTATCAGGAAGCTAAAAAAAAAATTGAGCAGCCCTGCGTTAATCCACAATAGAGTCACAGCGACAGCTGCGACATGTCACGGCAAAAACACTGGGCATCGGCGTCGCGTTAACACACCGTGGGGTGTGTGAATCAAAGCGTTCGGAACAAAATAGACATCTGCCTTGTTCTGAACGCTTTTGTTTTGTTCCACTTCATTCCGAACGTTTTTGTTCCTTTTTGGTTTCGAAATGCGTGAAAGAGCGTCTCCCAGCACGAGTTCTCAGCATTGACAGTGCTACAACGACATTTTCTTACGGGCCAATTTTTTTCTCCAGAGCGTGCGTGCAGTGGGCACTGGACACTGTGAAAGGCCCAAGTTAAGAGCGGGTTATTAATGCTGTGGCGTAGCTCAGTGGTAACGCCTTCGCTTCGCATGCTGCGGACCCAGGTGGCGGGCAATCTTTACTGAGGATTTGGCACCGTCGCCGACGGACGCCCTTTGTCGCCAACTACAACGTCAACAACAACAGCTACAACTACAACATCAATGACGGTTGTCATTTTCAGTGGTGGGAACAGTCCATAACAGCTATCGGTGTAAAAAAATCCTCTTCTTCCCCAGTATCCCTCACAACAAGCGTATATACTCACCTCTCTCCGAATGCTGCTCGACTGCTCGGTTTTGAGGAAGTTGAGCAGCACGTCCAGCAGTGAGGGGTACTTGTGGTACGGCTCAACCACGTAGCCCGTGCTCTCCACGAGCTGTCCCAGCGTCCAGAGGCTGATCTGCAAGTCGGCACCAGCACGGTTCGCTCAGGGTCCTCCTCTGGCATGGCTCACAAAATACGAGTCTTCTTTAGAATCCAACATTTCAAGCTTTAGAACAGAGGCTCTCAAATATTTTTCAGGAACTCCTACCTCTCCTGACGGCTGGCCGAAGAGCCCCTAGTAGTCTCAAATTTGATGCAATGAAGCATTTCGGAAGCCTGCACACCTTATAAACAATGATAGACATACCAGTGAATTTGGCAAATAGTTAAGCATCCATGGATGACTAGCATAAATAACTGCCTAAATTGAAAGAACGCTTTCCTTAAAGGCATGGGTAGTCGAGGACACTTGGGATCTTGGGAAGCCACCAGGGGTACTTCGGGAACCCCTTTTGAGAGCCATGCTGCAGAACTAGGGGTGTGCGAATATTTGAAATTTAAAATACGAATAGAATAATTTCCTTATTGAAAGTATTTGATTAGGGAACTGCATATTAGGAGAAACTATGAATAGTCAGAAAAACTATGAATTGTCAGACAAACTCCAAATATTTGGGAAAACTCGGAATATTTGGATAACTAACTAAGCATTTGTGCGCCGTGCACGCCCTGAACATTCTCAAGTATTTCAGAATGTTTATTCACCAGAATCTACACGTGATTTGTTCCTTATCTGTTCTGTGTCAGCTCTGTTTCCATTTGGCATAGAACTCTTATCTGCCCCATGAGACAGCAGTAGTTTTTATAGCGGTATCTTTACAGGGCCAACGAACGTCAGGAGCCGCAGAAGCACGAAATGTGTACGTCGGCCAGTCTGTAACCTCTAAAGGATCTTGAATATCAAATAGAACTTGGGGGTTTTATGTGCCAAACCAACAACGGGCACCTGGCACACCCCAGCGGAGGACTGAGGATTAACTTCGACCCCTTGATATTTTGACATGCAAACGAAAGCATGGTTACACGGCGCCCTCTTCGCAATAAGCCTCCGTCAGATTGCGGGCACCTTGGCTGGAATTCGAACCCGCCAGCTGGGGATCGGTAGGCTGGCCCTTCGCCTCAAAACCACTAAAGCAACTAAAAAAAAAAAAAAGAAAAACTGAAAAAAAAAAAAATTGGTTGCAGAAATTATTAGGGGCAAAGCTCCTTAGGGTCTAGCCTTGTCCGGCGTCCGTGCTCACATCGATTGCCATCCCATCTGTCTTCTTAAAAAAAAAGAAAAAAATGTTTGCGCAGTCGACAGGATTCGAACCTGTGCGGGGAGACCCCCAATTGATTTCTAGTCCATCGCCTTAACCACTCAGCCACGACTGCGGGACGAGTAGAGGGCTCTGAGATGTGGTAGTAACTCAAGAGCTGGGGATGTCATGGATGAAACGTTGCATGTAGCCGCTCAATGTCTATACAGGAGAAGGCGCTGCGGTCAAATGCGTACATAGTCACGTTAAACTTTGCATGCATTGGCTAATAAAGTCAAAACGCAACCCGGGCACTACCTATGAGCAATAAAAATAAAAAAAAATCAGCACCATCAGCACTACCTATGAACAAAATCAGTGTCATCAGCACCACCAGAGCTTTGCCCCAATCAACATCATTCACCACGTGGAGATGCGGTCATTTTTTATTGTTGGTTTTCCATGAATTGCGATAGTATTCTTCTAAAACTACCTTAAAGGGTAACTGCAAAAAAAAAAAAAAGATTTTTTTTAAAGAGCTTAGTTGGGACAAGCATGTCAGAAAACAATTTTTCCGCGAGAAAAAAAAATTTTTTACAGCAATATTTATTGCGTGAGACTGATTTTAGTTTGCGGCTATTTCACCCGTTTTAAATCGCGCGCCACGAAGTTGGGATTCCGTTACGTTAATCCCAATCGGCTCTCATTGGCTAAGAGTTTGATTGACAGCTTAGATCTTGGTTGTTAAACCTTCGTTATTTGTTGCAATTTCCTTTTGAGCGGCATATTTTTACGTTTAAGGAATAACCCATGTGATGAGAGTTATTATTCTTTACAAAAGGTTTACAAGACGGGCACTTCCGTTTGGATTCATACCATAACAAACAAAAGCTTCGCCATTCTTTCATGGCCGCCGAAGTCTCTGCTCCTGCCTGTCTCGCCTACTTCGACTAATCGTTTCGGCGAAGTGATCAGTGTTTCGTGCTGACCCAGGTGCTTGAGTGAGACTTCTTGAAATGAAGTAGTGTGTGTTTAGCAGCTGTCGCAGGTGTTAGTGATAGGAAGCGACGTGGGGTTTCGGCTTTCATAGCGCGGTTCTTTCGTTTTCCTCTTTGCTTGCTTAGCGTGCTTTTTTTTGTGTTTGTTTTGCTTGTTTGCGCGTGCAAATGCTGACTTTTCGGAGATGTCAGATGCGTGATCCCGACAGTAAGCCTTCCAGCAGCCATGTCGCCCCGAAAGGAATGCTATTTGGCTGGAGGCAATCGGGCGTTCGCGTAGCGACAAACGTGTCCTGTTACGTTCTCGTCATATCGCTCCGGAGGCCATCGAGATTCGCACCGGGCGCACCTAACGTCCACAACTAGACACACAAAATAAGAAAAGCACCATGTTCACTACGTAAAAAGTGGTCTCAGTTCATGCATCTGTAGACAGGTACGAAATCTTGCCCAAATTTATTCACACCGCACGACGAGCGCAACACGTCGCTGTGCAAACGCAGTCCAACAACACGAAGCATAAAAACGGCAGATTTAGGACAACAATTCGGAGTCCATTGTTCAATTAAAACGACGTAATTTATTTGAAAACGCCCGCAGCTTTTTACTCACGGCATGCGTCCGGAATCTTCCACATTTTGAAACAGAACGAAGGAAGATTTACTTTTAAAAACGCTCGCTGCGTCCTCCCGGGCCAGTTTTACTGGATCAGCTGACGACGACGGGACTGGGCCCGGTGTACGTCAACCCCGCATAACACACATAGCACCGCATTACACACATCACGAACGCTTCAGCTATGTCGCATCGCCGTGTTGCACCAAACAAAACGAGATCGCCGAAACCAACGCAGTGCTGTCGTGAACCTTGGCTTGTAGTTGCGCACTCGTGGATTCTGTGACTCCCTTCGCTTTCAAAGCACGCACAACGATTATGAACGATACTTTCCGTCTTCCAGGAACACCACAGGGGCACTTCTCCGGTCACGTCTTCGCTACATATGCTCGCAAACCGCATCAAACCAAAACAATACCACGGCCTGGCGTAGTTGCCAGATCTTGCCCGAAGTCGAGACGCTGCGTCGTTCAACTCCGCAATGCAAGGAGAGTGAGGGGCGGGGCGTACTCCTCTTCCGCGGGGGTCGAAAGAGCGGGAGTTTCAAATGTGGAGAGGTTCTGACTCTACTAAATTACGTCCTGTGGCGTAAATATTGATAAAAAAAAAATCTTTTTTTTTGCGGAACATTTGTTTTCTGACATGCTTGTCCCAATTAGGCTGTTTAAAAAAAAACTTATTTTCTTTGCAGTTACCCTTTAAGGAAGACATCTCAGACGACGTCCTAGAGGACGACACCAAAGACGACGTCCAAGACAACCTCTGGCCGATCTCAAGGACGATGTCTAGAACCACCTCTAAAGCAATCTTAAGGACAGCCTCTAGGACGACATTGACAATGACGTCGTCAAGGATGACCTCTAGGACAACGCTGAGGACGACGTCACGGTCGTCAGGTCCTTTGAAGAGGGTGCTAATGTGAAGGAGTGTGATAATGTGAGCTGAAATGGTCTGCTGCAAAAACCTACTGTGCATTAGGAAGCCAGGAAGTCCAAGAAATCTGGGAAGGTAACTAAAGAATGCTGTCGCATTAAAAAAAAAAAAAGACGGCAACCGGTGCCAGGGATTGAACCCCGGTCACTGGCGTAGGGGCCATGTGCTGCCGAATGAGCTACGGACCTATCATACAGGAACAGGAGGAGCAGAATCAGGTGGTGTGAGAAAGTGTGTGGAACAGAGAGGGGTGGAAAGGCTATGAAAGATAAGAGCAAAAACAGGTGGTGTAGAAATGGCATGTAGAACAAGAAGGAAGGGAAAGGCTTTGGAAGGCTTTATCAGAACAAGAAAGAAGGGAAGGGCTTTGGAAGGCTTTATATCTGGGTGGTGCTGAAGAGAAGCGCGTGCAGTGTCATAAAGAGACCACGGTGTGACATAATCTGTTTCCATACAAAACCCTTCCTTAGGAACCACCTGAACTAAGAGCACCACCCACCCTAGGCACTGAAAGAGTAAGGGTCATCCTGCCCTAGGCATTACCCAAACTTAGAGCACTCCTCACCCTATAAAGCTACCACATTTAAACGCATTCGGCAGTATGACCTAACATGCAGCCAATTGCTTATGAAGCAAGTTTTGTAGCACTTTTTAGCGATGTACATTATGCATTATTTGCATAATTAAGTTGTAACGACTCACTTCCTTGTGTCAATGTCATTACTCGGCCTGAATAAAGGCTATACTGTTAGCTGTCCTTTCTGCCATTTCTTAATACTGGACACATACTCGATATTCAAAGTCAGTTTTTTTTCATATTCGATTTGAATTCAAAAATTTCAATATTCGCACACCTTTATTTAGAACAGGGGTTCTCAAACTTTTTTGTACTGGGGAACCCCAGCAAGCCTGAAAAAGTCCCAAGGAACCCCCCCCCCCCCCCCCCCCCCCCCCCCCCCTTTCTGTCTTGTTGCCAACCGATAATACTGGGCAATTAAGGCGTTTAGATAGTGAGCAAGAGTTAATTGCACTGACAGAATAAGACAAAATGGAGGACTACAGACAGAATAAGAAGGCAGAGGGGTTAACCTTGGGCACAATGTAAAATATATATATATATACATACATATTAGTGCGAAGGGTGCGGTTGCTTTTTCTGCAACACCAACTCAATCTCAGTCCGTGGAAGGTTAAACTAGGGGGGGGGGGACACTGCAAATTGGGTGCTCGCGGAACCCGTGAGGCCAGCTTGCAGAACCCCTGTGTTCCGGGGAACCCAGTTTGAGAACCCCTGGAACATAACACCCTACTGCCAAAATCTGTCTGTCCATCCCTTCGTCCGAGTTAACGCCATAGCTGGGCGTGGCAGCAGAACCAGTCTGGTTACCATGGCAATGTATGCAAAACAATGTACAGAAGCAATTACTCAGAATTAAACCAGTATTTACTCATCGTTAACCAGGAATCAAACCCGAAACCTCTTGATCCGCACCCCAATTCTCTAGCTCCGCGCTGGTTGGATTTTTTTATGCGCACTGGCTCAGGTGAATTCTCTACAAACCCCGATAAGCGTAGCAAACAGACGACAAAGTGCGTCGTCTGCTCGCACTACATATCGGGAGATGGCGCCACAAATTACAAACATTGCTAAATCAGTCGTCTGTGAACATGTCTGTCATAGACACTGGAAAGTTTGTTGGTCTCATTTTTCACAGAGGCCTTGACATATCACCAGGTAAAAGGCACCACTTATAAATGGGTACTCTGGCGATTTTTTTTAGCTACTCCACCTAACTATATTTTTTAAATCATAGGCTTTTACCCTTTCCGATATCCTATTTAATATTGCGAAATTAAAAAATGTCACTTACAGTTGCCGACCGATTTTTCGAACTTCGCAAAGACCGAAAGTACTTTGAAGAACATGGTGAGGACCAAAATGTTTAATTCCATGACTTGATTCCCCCCCCCAAAAAAATATAATGCAGTATAGACCACTTACAACGTAACCGCTTATAGTGCAGTACCGGGTATAACGCGGTTTTTTTAAACCACCGGTTCGCCTCCCATAGAACTCCATGTAATTACATACCGCTTAAAACGCAGGCGCGCGACGGGAAATACCGGTTATAGTGCGGTTTCTGGCACAGCCCGCCGACCGCGCCGACGACCGGAGCAGCGAGCACGCTTCCCTGTGCGACACTATAAGATGACGGCGCTGACGGCCCGAGCCGCAAGCGTTGCGCAAGCGGCACTCGCGGGGCAAGGAGGGTGCTCGAAGAAGCGGGAGAAGCGAAGAGAGAGGCTTCAGTTGCCCTAGCGACGGAGGGATGCACGCACGTGTCGTTCACGTGCGTGCGTCCCTCCAATGCGTTGGAAACCAACAACCGCAACGACAGGAGAAGTGTTCGCGCGCGTTGCATGCCCGTCGCGGGCCGGCTGCTTCTATCCGCGAACAAGGCGTCGGTTGTGATCAACGTTGTGATCGTTGTCGTAGACGGCGTTCATCTCATCGTTCCGCGTAAAAGAGCTATCCTTGACTGTGAATTTTCGTCGTGTGTCGCTATGATAACCCGGCACGTATTAGAAGAGAAGATCCACCTACTCGAGCGGCGATGTCCTGGCGGCGCTCTCAAGTCGGCAGAAACGCCCGTGTCGTCGTGTTTGTTTACTTCGACTACAGTGGTGATTTCTAAGCATTTGTGTCCTCGAACATCGCCCGGATTTCTTATTTGGCGCATTTCATGCGTGTGCTCAAGTGCAAGGTATTACTGGCGCGTATCGTATGAAGGATGCGAATTTTCACGCGTTTTCATCTCCGGAGAAAAGTGATTAGGGTTAGCAATCCTGAACGCTCGCAACGTCCGTCCGCAACCCGCGACGCCGTTAAAAGGCTGCGCCAGGCAAAAGCCGCTCATTTCTTTCAAAATGTGTGACACACTTGAGAGAGAAGTGTACTAGTCTGGTGAAATAAAGACTTTCCTCAAACTAAGCTTTATTTTTCATCTAACATAAAAAAAATGCTTTTACAAACGTAAGTTGTCTCATGGCATGTATTTTGGCCTGAAAAATTGATGTTTTGGTTATAGTGCGGTACCGCTTATAGTGCGGATTTTCGCGACTCCCGCGACATACGTTATATGCGGTCTACACTGTGGTCCAATATTTGGGTTACTATTTGAACAATGTTCGTTGAACTGTTTAGCAAATTTTCGGGCAAATTGGGGACTATGAAAAAAATGCCGGAGTACCCCTTTAAATGCCCATTCAACACTAAAGGGCTATTCTGCTTTTTTTTAGCAGCCTCCAGACAACAAAACACGAGAGGAAGCGGGGGAGGAAAAAAATTCCACCGACCTCTCTTTTTGGCAGTGACGAGGAATCCTGGAGCATATCCAGGATGATGGGCAGCAGCTCGTTCATCCACTTCCGCATCTCTGTGCCACTCACCTGAAAAGATGTTTTCAGATACGGGCACGGTCAAAATCAAGGTCAAATTTGGGGGTTTTACGTGCCAAATAAACGAAGGGCATCTAGCACGCCCCAGCGGAGGACCCAGAATTAGTTTCGACCACCTGGAGATCTTTAGACGTTTAACCGAAATCTCGGTTACACGGAACTGTCAAAAACGTTTCCTTGCCGACCATCTTGATGGCAGGCAAACACATCCCCCTGATAATAAAAACCGATTATAAACCTGATCGAATACAGAAAAATGCTGGTAATATTGGCACAAGCATTTGACGAACCATTATATCAAAAAATAACAAAAAAAGCTCTTCGCTGCAGAGAAGTTTCATTTTTCCAAGTAACAATTCGATAGGCCAGGGCCGACATTGTAGCAGCTGAAGCAATAACGCCGCAAAAATAAAATGATACAAGGCTGACAAAGCTCGGGGAGCACAGAATGTGTCCCGCACAAACCGCACCCCATGCGAGGTTTGTGCTGGATTTTCTATCCTTTTAGGGGTGAAGCTTCTTAGGGTCTAGCCTTGTCCATCCGTCCGGCGTTCGTGCTCACATCGATTGCACTGCCTCCGGGATCGGCCCACTTTAAAAAAAAAAAATGTACACCCGCATGGGGGTTCGAACTCAGGACCGCTTGCTTACGAGGCAGACGTCTTAACCACTACGCTACACTCCAACACTGCATGTAGCCGCTCAACGTCTATACAGGAGAGGGCGCTGCGGTCAAGTGCGTATATAATCACGTTAAACTTTGCATGCATTGGCTCAACATTTATAGACGAGAGGGCGCTGCGGTCAAATGCTCAACTGCATATATAACCACGATCCATACCACACATTCTCTTTCTGACATGGACCGTTGACCGAAGCGGTGGAGATGCGTTCCCACGGCTTCTAGCGGATCCAAGCTGATCCGCTAGAAGAACCATTGGCTCTGCATTTCACCGACCATAAAGCAGTAATAATGAAGTCGAAACGCAACCCGGAACTCAGCACTACCTATGAGCAATAAAAAAAAATCAGCACCATCAGCACCACCAATGAACAATAAAATCAGCATCATCATCAGCACCACCAGAGCTTCGCCTCAATCAACATCATCCACCACGTGGAGATGCGGCCTCTTTTTTTATTATCTATTTGTTTTGTTGTTTTTTTACATTTTTATATTTTTTTTCTTTCTCACTTAGCGTTTTATTTATTATCTTCATTCGAAACGTGCAGCTCCCACAAGCATGTTTGCATTCAAATGAAATCATTGTTTCTATCAGAGCAGTTGTGCTATGACGCAGCCCAGTGCCTATCGTATCTGACTGTCACCACCCCAACCCAGGTACGAGCACCGCTGGGGCGTCTTTCTTACGCTGACTTTACATGGGCCTCTGTTAGGCTTCATATATAACCTAAACGTCGTCCAACGCTCCTAGCGTGTCGGTCGTTCATGGCACTTTTTCGTGACGGTCGTCCACAACGCTCGTTCGTGACCATGTTCTCGTAAAAAAAGAGTGTTAGAACGCATTCTGCATTAAAACCCGTTTTTCAAAATATGCCAGCTCCCGAGTGCAAACATTCCAATCTCTCCCTTCCACAAAAAAAAGGTCTCAATTCTTTACTGGTACATACCACTCTTACTCGAGTGATATATGCTGTTTATGAGCAAGAGTCCCCACATCTACTTTTCCATGCATGCACGCACACACGCACACAAACACACACACCCAGTCAACCGTCGCATTCTACCTAAAGGTAAGAGCGAATAATAAAGTTGAAAAAATGCGATCTGAGCAGATCGCCTCTTTCCACCTTGGGGATGTCGGCTCTGTCCTTTTGGTCGCTGCGCTCCCGTCGATCGCAACAAATGACCGTCCAAATGTTCCGCAAGAGGATGCGCACGATTTGTTCGTAAACAGTGCGTCAATTACTAAAGTAAATGTGATGTATTATTCTATAAAAAAAAAGGGACTCATGTAATGCTTTCATCTTTTCATGCCTATGAACGACACAAATCTATAGGTATTGCGCAATGAAGTTACAAGGATACTACGATCGAACCCAGATGTGTCAAATTCAAAGGACATTGCAAAAAAGTTTGATATGTAGATATCATTCGATATTTATAAATTAGTTTATCTGAAGCTCCAATTGAAAACCCCGCAAATTACAAACGATTTTGAACAATGGGAGATTACCGAATGGTGGATCCAAGAATTGCTAAAAACAGTAAAACCTTTCTAAAGTGTAGTTGGAGAGAACCGCAGTCGCTGCTGCTCGCGCGCGAACCTTGCCACACCGTACACGTGGCCACGAGCTGGGAAGCATGGGTAACAGGCGGAACCGTTGTCAACATGCTCAACCAGCAAAATACTTTTTTTTTCTATTTATCTGGGGGCTAAGAAGAATGAGTGGTTTTCCCATCTGCCTCCTTGTGATTTTTGCTGCGAATGTTCTCCACGAACACGCAAGCATGATTTCTGCATGCAGCTTGGTGGAACTGTAGCTGGAGCTGGCGGAACTGCTGTCACGCAATGACCTTCCTTTGGACAGCCTCTGTGTACGAAAACCGATCGCGGGAGCAGCAACGGCAGTGTTTGGGGAAAGCCTCCTTACCACGGGCGCTGCGTGCAGCTAGATGTGTCGAATGTCACAAGTAGTGGGAGTTCGATGCAGATGCACAAAGCTTCTATACTTTTACAAGGGGTTTTCAAGTGGATGTTTTGAGACAATTAAAAAAAACCAGGGTTCGATATAACCTTGGTCGACTGCATGACCACAAAATTCAACGAGGAAAAGGAGAATCAAGTTTTCAGTGACCGTGAGTGAAGCATATCTAATCACCTGTGCTTGTTCTCCAACTGCAGCCAGCACACAGATGACAACTCCGGGGTTCGGGTCCGGAGCCTTCAGCTTTGGAATGAGCACCTGAAAGACAAACACTTTAAGTGAAAGTGCAACTTCGTAATAAAGAGGTGCATGACAGCCCAAAACCTTTTCGCACCCTCTGTATTGTAGACAGAAAATGGTGTAGGAAGACAGCTCATATATGACTAAAGTGCTGACTACCATAAAATCTAGACTAAGCATCTGTTCATGGTGAAGAGATAAACGCTAAAAAATATAGTGTGGCAACCTCTGGGGATGGGGCATCAAATGTTATCAAAAATTGAGTGATTAATACCGGATATATCTGCTACGAACCACATAACATGGGAACCGGTTGTGACAGATCGATTATGGACACGGTAAATTTGCATTCACTGTGCGAAAAACACACAAGAACCTACTATGCACTCTCACGTCACGAGAACTGATACCACAGATTGTGGAAACAACAGATTTTCGTCTCACGGTGCGATAAACATGCAGGAACCTGCTATGAACTTGCATGTCACAGGAACTGATATTGCATGCACAGATCGCAGACATGCTTAACTGTGGTTTCGTAGTATGCAAAAACACACGGAAACTCACTACAATTTTGCATGTCAAGAGAACCAATACCAGAGGTCCTGTGGTTGCGATTCCCCTGGGACATCGCGTGATGTCCGACGGGTGTGGGTGGTAGAGGGGGGGTGGTGGGTGATGTTACCATTTTTAGCCTATGGATATTACGCCAGAAAAACGGGACAGGCCAACTCTCTGGGAAGGGGCTTTCGTATGGGATTTTACGGTAATGCCTTTTCTAAGCGATGAAATAATGCTTGAACAAGATCCACAGCAAAGAATGCGCCGCAAAATTACACCTACCACTGCTATTGTTACCAACGTCACAATCCACCTTATGTAAGCCAAAACTCAATGTCAGATGCGCATAGCTTCTGTGGCAAACATAAAAAAAAACATAGGTGCCGTTCAGATATTTTACGAAAACTAATTTTTCTTACAAATGTTTCATGGGCAAAGACTACAATTAAAACAAAGGAAAAAAACTTTTGGAATATTTTGTGGGTGCTTCTACTTATCAATGAACATTTTAACAAACTTGTAGTAGTATACGATAAGGAGGGAAATTATCTCAACTCAAGGACGCGGGTATCTTAAGACATTTTCAGAGATGTGGACCTCCCTTAGCTGCTTTTATATTTTTCCGATACGCTTATAAAAGCAAAGATTTGAGTCACACGAAGTACAACTGCACGTTACAACTTCCGCGCACCTCAATGTTTACCAAAGGTTACGCTACCCTCCGGACAAACCTAAGACAACTAGGTCTCTTCCCATTCGCCTAAAGATGTGCCTGAAGAACTCAGAGCTCAGCTAAAAGTGATTCACCGCGGCACCTTCTCGCCAACAAAGAAGACTATGAGTGTCGTAAAGTGCGCCACTTACAGACAAGATGGGCTCCATGTAGGGCCGTATGAGGCCCGGGGCGTTGGAGAGGAGGTGGCCGAGCATCTTTGCCGCCTGCTCCTTGTTCCGAACCACTCCAGAGTGCTCCAGTTCCGTCAGATTCTGGAAAGCAGGCCACATCAGAGACTGGAGGGGGGGGGGGGATGCTTCAAAGTAACATCCCTTGGGACATCTTGGTGCATAAAATCGTTGTCGCCGGCTATCCTCAGCGTAATCCAAATTCGCGGGAAACGCTCTTACCTCGTCCGGAAATGTTAAAACTGTCCAATGAGAGCAATATGTCATCGTACGAGCTCCCCGACACCATTCCTAAAGCTCGGGAAAAGGCATTTTCTAATCGTAACTATCGTCAATTGTCCCCGCTCCCTGCTGGGCAACAAATCGGGAAATCGGGCGTCGTTACTCAAGAGGCCCGTTCACACACCCGCAACTTCCTAGGATTGTGCGCCTCAAAACCTCTCAAAATGTCCTCCGATGAGAGAGCACGCCGGAGCCACCTACCGGGTGGTTCTGTTCTCTTTATTGGCTTGGGAAAAATGAAAGACGTTTACAATTCTCTGTAACGCCGATTTAGAGCGCAGCTCTTGAGGAGGAGGAGGGGAGGGTATGCCTCTCATCCCTTTCTTAACCCTCCCCTCCTCCTCTCCTGCTCCTCTCCCATTTAGCGGGAAATTTAGCGAAAATTTCCCCGCTATATTTAGCGGGGAAAGTGAATTGGTGTGGAGGTCACGTGACACCAATATCCACGCTAAACTTAGTGGGAAAATTTTTTTTGCTAAATTTAACGGAAAAGTTTTTCTGTTAAATTTCACACGACGTCACATTAATTCACGTGGACTAATTAAATTTAACGGAAAAATTTCCTGCCAAATTTGGAGGGAAAATTTTACCCTCGTGACGTCACATGTGCCACATTATGGGAAATGTCCCATAATGCAACGCGCGATTCCACCGACGGTGACGCCGCTCAACCTGGAAACTGGCGTTCAAGAGCCACGCTCTAAAACTCTTGTCAATGTTATAAATGACCGTTTCCCGTATGGTAGTATATACAAACTTGCAGTTACCTCAAAACCTTCGCTCTAGTGAAATGCAGTTCCAGGGTCTTAAGGCACTTGATCCCAAAGAGTCCCAAGTGTGTGAACAAGCCTAAAGTGTAGCTCTTCCAACGTCTCTAGGAGGAGGAGGTGGGTGCCTATATGCATGTGTCTTTTGCTCGGAGGGAAGACATCGGGCTGTTTCCTCACACAACGCTTTTCTCCTTTTTGCTCTGGAGCACACAAAAGAGCATTTCTTGGCTCGGGCTCTTAGCCTCAACTGGTGCTACACCGCCATCTCAAATCAAGGACATTTTTCGTAACACTTCCGCGACCACGCATGGTATTGGAGGTAGATACTTTCTTTCGTCTAGTTTAATTTTTACGGCATTTTTACGACCTAGGAGTTTTTTGCGACGGCAATGTTTCGGAATAACGAACGATTGCTGACAGTCCCGTGAAATTCCTCAAGTCAAACTGGACCGTAATTCCAAAGAATGAAATGACCCCACCTCACCTGAATTAGAACTTTCCTGAGCGGTGGCATGATGTAGGCCGGGTTGAGGCTGCTGAGTCGCCCGATGATGCACAGCGTCAGCTCGCGGATCTCGAACACCTCGTCGTTGAGCGAGATGAAGAGGGCACTGAGGTTCTCCGCCTGTGCCAGGTGCCCGTCAAACTTCTCGTCCAGGGAGGCCAGGACGCAGTACCGCACGTCCGAGTCTGCGCGACCACGCAGACAGTCGTCGTTCGCTCGGCGAGAGGGGCAGAGGTGCCCAATTCGATCTGGGCCGCAAGGACTGCTACATGCCTCTGACTGGTGCGTTTGGCGTCTCGTTCCACATGTGCGTCGAAAGCGGTCCCAAAGTGGAAACAAATGACGCAATGGGAGACGGCGTCTAATGCTGTTGGTTGTCACGACTCTGGCACTCGATCGTAGAAGTTTCGGAGAAAAATATTATGCAGGCTCGATCATGCTGACAAAGCCCGGGGAACACACAATATGTCCAGCACAAACCATACTCCACAAGGCACTTGTGCAAGGTTCTAAATCTCTTTTATTACTCTTTTTTCTACTTTTTTATTCTTACTTTATTATTTTTAAATTTCTATTTCTCATATATTTGATTTAATTTTATTTGTTTATTTTATTTCTTTTATTATTATTTAATGTACAGTAAACTTTTGTTAATTCGACCTCGACGGGACCTAGAAATTTGGTTGAATTATCCGAATGATCGAATTAAAAAAAGGACAGAAAAACGGTTGAAATTAAACTTCCTTTTATTGTCCAAAGTGCTCATGGATGGTCTGCTGCCGTCTGCGCTTAAGACGCGTGTCCAACAGCGTGCTCTGGAAAGCAGCGTAACTAAACGTCGCCACAAAAAAAAAAAAGAAAGTTTTATGAGTTGACTTTGGTACCAGGCAGCCAGACCGTCAACAACAAAAAAAAGTAAAAAAAGAAAGAAGAAAAGAGAACTTGCGTTTTCCTATGGATGGACCGCACACGATGTTACAGAAAAGTGCTTTGAGAGCGCGTGCTGAGAAAGCTTTACAAGCCGACTTTGGTGCCAGGCAACCAGACTGTCAAAAACAAAAAAAAAAAAAGAGAAGAAGAGAACACGCGCTCTCTGGCGCGCAAGATGAACCCCATACGATGCTACAAAGTGCTTTGAGCGCGCTGTCTCTGCGCCCGACCACGTGCTATGTTCTCCGCACTACTCCACGCCAGATTGGTTGTGCTGGCTCGTGTCATTCGCTACAGTCCATCTCAACGGCGTAGAGGAACAGGCGCATATCTGTGCACGTTCGGTTTTGCAGCAAAAGGGCCCGTGTTTTGCCGTACATTGGTAGTTTTCGTACCGTGGTGCCTTGCCTTGGGACAAATTATCCGATGCGGAGTCTTCCCGAGTTCGAACTACAGTTGAACCTCAATTTAACGAAATCCGATTTTACGAGTTTCCCGATTTAACGAACAAATTCGGATTCCCCGCGCAGCCTATCCCGAAGAATGTCTTTCTCGACTTTACGAAGTTCCCGATTTAACAAAATAATTAGGGGGTCCCGGTGATCTCGCTAAATCGAGGTTCAACTGTATCAAACTTTTCCTCCCATAGAAATGTTTGGGCGCTCGCCGGGACTTTTGAAGACGATCAGATTAAACGAGGTCGAACTAACGAAAGTTTATTGTATTTAATATTTTCATCCAAAACCTGTTGCCATTACTGGCACTTTTAGATAAAAATAACCACATTGACCAATCCATACCAGCCGCACTGGTAGCTAGGTGGCTCTAGCATCCAACTGCCACTGCACCGACCCGGATTCGAGCCCTGCCGGGGGCATGAGCTTTATATGTAATACCAACGTCTCCAACGCTTTCAGCGTGTCACTTGTTTATAACGCGGTTTCGTGACAAACATGTTTTGTGTTACGAGAGAAGCAAACGCAAGTGTCACTGTCGCTGCAACTTTCCAACTCCTGGCTGCCGAAGTTTGGGTGGACCGTCAGGCCGGACAGCAACCCGTGGCAGAACGGGTGTCGTACGCCTCCGCCGCCTTGCCATCGCCGTGGCAGACAACACCGCGGCGCCTCTACGACGTCGTTGGGCGGAAATCGAGGGACCACATCTGAGGACGCGGTAAACGCGCCAGTCGGAGATGCGCTCCAGGCACCGTAATCCCGGAGGCGGTGCTCGAGCGCGAGGAAGAAAGCAAGGTGCAGTTACCGGTGTCAGTTACTCCGGCGAGGAGGAGCTTTCCCAAAACCTTCTGGACGTTGTCCATGAGGGATGGGCTGTACTTCCCGGATGCCTTCATGTTCTGGGGGGAACGGGGCAAGCATGATAGAGTTTCAGACACGGCTTTACAGCGGCCCCAGGACCAAGGTTACGGCTTTCAAGGGAGCCGGGGAAACCGCGTGGCACAAACGTCCGGCAATCCCGGCGAGCATAACGTTGACAAGCGACGGCGACGAAAAGTGTCTTACGATTGCAAAATGGCCTGCACGAATTTCCGAGCTTCGCGCAGTTGGCTTCCTAAAAATTTTATTGCGCATACTTTCAGGTTTAGAACCGAAAAACGAAAGTGCAGCACCTTTCAACGTCAATTTGATTTTCTCTCTGTTTGAGTGGGCGTCATTGCCCAAAGAAACTCTCGCCTCACGCTCGCAGCGTAGAAGAGTACAAAAGGACTGCACTCGTCGAAACATAGACGCGGAACAAAACAGAGAGCTTTCAACGGTTAGTTCAGAAGGTTTTTACGAAGAGAGCAGAATTCACAGTAAAAAGAAGAAAAACAAGGTAGCTTTGGTTTGAACCGGGAGACCTCCAATACGTTGAGGCATTAGGTTCGGCCAGTTGCTACACATAGGTAATAATGAAACGGTAAAATGACGCTGACAGAGACCAAGGAGGCAAGGAAGAGATGTGCACAGGTGCCGAATCTCATCCTTGTCCGCAAGCTGCGGTTGCCTATACACGATATAAAGTCTGCAGATGCAGGCGTGCTTCTCTCCTGTGCAACGGTCCTGCCACACTGGTCGTCCAAAAACAATCTGCAGACGTGTTCAAGCATGCCTCAGGCATGCCCGCAGATACTCCCGTCGTCTTGCCTGCGGCAAACACTGTGTCTTTTGTATCATGTATTACCAGTGTGACTCTGGTTTTAGTATATTTTAGTGCCGTTTTACCGTCTTGACACATATTACTTCAAGTCTAGAACGGGGTGAAGCACGACCCGAGGGCAGAAGGTACTTGCCTGCAGTGCGGGGGATAGCAGGCAGCAGCAGGTTCGCACGGCCTCCAGCCGGATCTCCTTGTGCTCGCTCGTAAGGTACGTGTCGGCGCAGTGCCTCACGAAGTTGGTCAGCGTCCGGCCTGCGGCAAACAGAGGGTCGTCTCACCGGCCCCAAACCCGAGGCAAACAAACCCCCTAAATCCGATGACGTGTAACGAGAGTAAGTCGCGAGACTAAGCTCGTTACCACCCACAGAGGTTCTTCTGTGGCACGCTTAAAAGCTTGGATGGAAAGAGTTCTCAAGTCAACGTCCCCAAAAGAGGTCTCCTTCCTACGAGCAGCGTTCACAAACTAAGTTGTGCATCGCAAAAGGGTGCGTTCTCCTAGTTGACGACGATGACCGTGCTCTGGTATGTACTAGGTATGTGCGAACAGTGTATTTTTGAGCTCAAAGCGAACAGGGGTTTTAGCCGAATATTTTCAAATTGAATGTCACCTTGAATTAATGAATAGTTTCTCCGTGACATACCTCGTTGCTGGTTGTCTCGGTCACGACTTACACGCAAGCAATCTCGCTTAAACATTTTATTCTCTCGCTTACTCGCGCGCAGCAGTATCGGCGGTATAGCTAAGCCTTGCCGTTCCTCACCAACGGCTACAGCGGTTGCCCATGAAATTCAACAGGTGCAGTCCATGTTACGTGCATGCATCATCTGTGCGCTTCCCCTAACATCTCTAAGCATTCCACGAAAACCAGGCTAAACTTGTGGAGGTTGTTGCCGAGCTTCCGCTTGTCCATTTCTAAGATAAGTGATATTAATCTATCTACTGTTGAATACCGCGCATCCGCCCATTCCATATTCATTGCCCATTCCAAAATTTCTAAGATCTGAGAAAACATGCACAGTAGATTGATAAGTAAAACTGATGACCGGACAAGCGCCCATCCCCTATGTTTTTGCAATTATCTCGAAATTTTTAATGGGCACTTGTCCGGTATTTTACTGTATATTTATTAATCTCCGACGTAACAGCGCACTCAAACAACTGTCACCCTGAGGACAAAACACGCAACGAAAGGAACACCCACTCAGCGGTGGGTGAGCGTTCCTCTTTGTTGCACGTTTGTGTCCTCAGTGTGATAAGCCTTTCTGGTGTGCTGTTACGTCGAACAACCAACTCGCCCAACACAGCAGTATATTTATTGCTTGTGGCCTCCGAAAGTCCAATGCCTACATTGGGATGGCAAGCAAACGACATACAGTTATCCCTCATTATAACAAAATCGCTTTTTTTGAATTGCTGCGTTTATAGAAGTTCAACACGGTCCCGACCGAAATGCACGCATTTTGAACCGGATTATACAAAGTGTACCAGTGGTTGATCACGCTTATTACGAAGGCTGCGGTGCCGAAAGCACTCGAACCTAGACAGAGGCGCACGGAGACCCTTGCGTTCCCTCCCTTCTCCACCGAGGCAAACGGCAAACAAGAAAACGGAGCAAACGGGTGACGGAGGGTTGAGCCAATGAAGAGCACTGCTTTCGATACTGATGCACCGATGCAGGCTGGGAGCAGCGTCCACGTTCCGACGCAACTCACGGTGCCCGAGGCCGACGCTGCTCGACTCCTGTCAAAATCGGGTCAGGGGAGCAATGGAGCCGATGGAGCCCCGAGGAGATCATCCCTTTGGAAGCCCGACATGTTTCCATGGGAGCTAAATGCTTAGCTCCCATAAAAACGCAGCAATGCCACCGGTCTTCAAACAACACGGCACCGTTTCACACGGGAGACAAGAGATGGTGCAAGCGGTCGCGACGCCAACTGCCGCCAACGAACGAGCATACGGCGCCGAGAGCCGGCGTCTTTGGAAGACAAGGAACTGCAGTTTTTTGTTGTTACCGCGCCTGTTTTTGTTTCTGTGACTGCTGCCGCCTGCCGAACGCGCGCCGCTTTTGAATCAAAAAGATTGTCTGCTAAAGACGCATGCTCTCGGCGCCGTATGCTCGTTTGTTGGTAGCGTTCGTTGCGCCATCTCGTCTCCCGTGCGAAACGGCGCCGTGTTGTTTGAAGACCGGTGGCTTCGCTGCGTTTCCATAAGCCTTTTTCTTGTTTTTTACTTTTTCCTCAGGTAAGTTCGCTCTTTGCAAATTCTACAAAAAAAAAAAATGCACCATCTGTGGGCAACGCTGCACAAAGTCGTAGCGCGATAGGTTAAGAAACTGAATTTTGCGGTCGATTTAAAGAGCCTGGCGTCTCCTTGAATTACCTTGCACACACCAGGGGTGGCCAAGCTGAGGCTCCCGAGCTGCATGCGGCTCTTCACGAGTTAAAGTGCGGCTCACCAGCTCCCCCCCTACCAACCTTCCCTCCATCCTTCCTTCCTTCCCCTTCCCCCCCGCCTCCCTCCCTCCCGATCACACGAGCACTTCGGCAAAAAGAGAAATGGAACGCGTCTTAAATCAAAAGATGGGTTGCAGTTTGGTAGTCTTGTGCTACTGCTAGCTTACGTACAGCGGGACTGCTTTTGACTCGGATAGATTGAAAGTAGTTCAAGTTTCGTTTATTGCTCAGGACAAATGTTTGCACACCCCCCCCCCCCCCCCAGTCGCTCCTGGAGGTTTTGTGGTTTTGTTTGTGGCTCTTAGGCCGGGTCAGCTTGGCCACCCCTGATATTTACGGTCAGAGTGATCTGCAGTGTTCCCATCAAACTTCAAGGCTGCTGGCGGTGCTTTGTTTTTTTTTTTGGCTGTATCACTTTTATTGAATTACCACTTAGACCGAAATTTTTGGCCGTCCCGTTGACTTCGTTATTACGAGGGATTACTGTATTTGACATAAAATTAAACCTATAGAGATGCTTGTCTATACTTATAATCCAGGGGATTTATAAATGTTCTAGCTATATGCAATTTTTTTTTTCTCATTACATATGATTAACATAGGTTGTCAAGGCATCTGTGCTTAACATATACTAATGCATGCCTGTTTAACATATACCTGTGCGTAACAGATTAATTTTGAAAATTTTACTGCAATGTAGGTATCAAGATTCATGATATTTCTGTTTATACACCAGGCGTGCACGTGCACCATCCCGCTTTGAAATGAGCTTTTATCCTAGCCATGCGGCTGTGACATTTGTAAGTTGTTTAATTGTTGATCACGATGGGGTTCGTTCCATTCAGTGCACGGTGCACAGTGGAAAAGCCACACCCGCGGAAGCGAGCTTAGCGTGTGTGGCCTCTCCGCAGTGCAAAAATGCTCGGCAAGAAGCATGCTCAAAAGGGCTAACCTGCCGCGATCAATACTTCGAAGAATACGAATATCACAGTTCATCTCAAAGCGAGTATTGAATAGCATATTATTCGAAACTACTGTTCGAAAATTTGAATATTTGCGCAACACTAGTATCTACACATACTCACCTTGGAAATCGAAACTCCCCAAGGTCTTCAGGGCCAGTGATATTGTTGCGACATCAGTTGTCTCTGAACAACAAAAAACAAGGTCATACAAGGACTCGGTGCTACACACAAGCCAAATACTTCAATGAACATATAAGCAAAACAAAAAGACAATGATTCACGGTGATTTAAAGTGAATTCACAGTAACACAGGCAACATCATCAGTACAATAAGCCTGGTTTACCTGGATGGCAGATAAAATGTTGGACTTAAGAGTATTTCATGCAATTGGCTAACATAAGCAATGAGTGAAGAAATGTTAAACAAATGTAGAAGCACTACCAACTTGCCACCTGCAGTATAAAAAACTAAGTAACAGCAACACACTTCAGCTGCATCCGCTCGAACATGACAAAGACAATTGCAGTTATGAAGCTGTTTACTCTTATTGCTGAAGCATAAGATGGCAGCACCTTAGTTGTAATGAAACTAGAAAAAATAAAGGGTTGGGCTAACTTTCGACATGCTAGGTCGTACATCGAATGTCGCTGAAAGATTCTCGGCCCAGTTTCTCGTTCACTCGTGCCTATGTCAGCTGTCTGGACAACAGTGTGAGCGTTGTACGATTCGAAACACAAGAAAAGAATTTTTGTTTTATCAAAGGTGCAGCCTCCACCACTGTTAAAATTCTGGTTGTTACTCTCCACATACATCTAAATCCAGGCAACACTATTCTTGGTGGTTTTGCATGGATGGCAAATCGGGCACAAAACAGAGCTTGGGTTGTCACCAACCCGACCTTTTTTTTGAATTTGTATTTTTGCAGAAAAAGTGGAGGCCAGGGTAATTGACGTGGTGTGTCACGAACCGTATATAAGTGTATGTTTTTCAAATTAAACTTTCAGCTGCGAGCATGCCAACGCATTGTCTCTTCTTCCTCGTCCTTGTTTATTAGGCGTTCAGTTCAGATGGAAAACCAACCGGCCCAACTTATTACTTTGCTGCCACAAACCTTTGTTGAACCTCAACCTTCTTACTTTTGGCAAACCCTTCTGGACACAAACCTTCTTACTTCTGGAAAAATTCGACCAAGTTTGATTTTTGAGTAGTTGACCAACCTTTACACAGAATTTTCAATTTTAGAAAAAGTAATTTATACAGCAGAATATTAACCAGCAGTCCTCAGACTGTGGTCTGGGGACCCCCAGAGATTCTCATGAGCGTTCATGGCAGTCTGCGCCAAGTAAAAGAACCAATAAAAAAAAAAAAAGCCCTCCTTTGCCATTGCACAGGACCCTGACGCAGAATGCATTGGGGTTCCCTGAAAGGCCTCCACGCGGGTCAGGGGCTCCGTAACAGCCAAAAGTTTGAGTATCGCAGTTCTAAACCTTGAGACACAAAGAAATAAAATGGACAAGACGACACACAGAATCTCAAATGCAGCTGTGTTTGAGATTCTGTGTTGTCTTGTCCGTTGTTTTTTATTTCTCAGTGTCTCAAGTTTAGATTATGATTGTTTCCTAACTAGCTTGCGTGTACAGTTTCCCTTCGTGTAATTTATAGGGTAGTTTATTTTGAAGTTCAGAAAATGATTACAAATGTTTATGCACTACAAAAGAAAACATATAGTATTTTAATGATTTAGTTAGTTTGCTAGCCCCCTCCACCAGGTGGTGTCAGATCATCCTCAATTTGTGTGCAGGCGCATAATGGTCGAAGTTCAAATCAAACTTCAGTCAAACTTTGCGTTCAAATTTAGAAAACGTCGAGCCTAATCAAACTTTCATCTTGGCAGGTTCGCATCATCCCTAGTAGACAGTTCTTCAAGGACAGGTTATGTTGTATTGCGCTCGTTAAAACACACATTACATACCCTTTCCCACTGCCCTTTCTCTTTTCCCTTCCCAATAAGATGTCTATAAGAGAGGCATTGACAGCACACAACTTGTTCTTTGCTACGCAGCCACCATAAGATAAAGTCATTCCGTCCATTCTTCCAAGCTGCCTCGTCCATCCAGCTTACTCCTAGTGACGAACATCACATCATGAACCCGCATAAAATAACGAACATCACTCTGCCCTTTCCTCCTGAAGCATGCGCGCTCTGCTCTCCGGAGCCAATGCCGCCAACCAACAAATCACCTGGCGTCTGCTGGGCAACCTGCATGTGCTTGGGGATGCCTGGGTGCTTGAGCGGCCGCTGCATCAGGATGCATGAGAGCATCTTCAGCAGGCCGTCCTGGATGTCACGCTTGAGCGACGGGATGCGCACCGACACCTCCTGCAGGGCGGCCGTCAGGGCCGGGCTGCACGCAAGCGCCATCTCCCGGTCACTCCTGACAACACTAATCCCCGAGATCCGACATGCGGGCATCGGTGACCACGATGAAAGGACGAATTTGTCAGTGCCATGGGGTGCCGACCGTGAAATTAACTACGGGTGTAAAAATATTTTAAACTTGGAATAATTTGCGAATGGTGCTTGCCATTTGATTCAATTCGCGACACACTTCTTCTTTTTTAAAGAATGGTTGAGTACTACTAGGACATATACAATGCTTTGACGAAACTTTTGCAACAATTAAGTGGTTATTTTTAAAGAAGCACCAACAGGTCAAAATCTTTTTTTTTTTATTATCTAAAACAATTGAAAACAATGCCTGGACATTACCCTCAGAATTCAAAACTTGGGAACTCAGTATTTGTGGAGTAAGAAAACAATTTCCAAAAGCCGAATTTGAGGTTCCCGCACGATCGGCGTCAATGCAGTGACGTCAAAGATTGAGTCGTCTTGCAACTCGAGTTCCTCTTAAACCTCCGTGTCAGGTTCACCCGCATCCCATGATCCCCCGCTCTGTGCGTGCTGCCCATCGCTGTGAGCAGACGACGCTTCACTTCAAAATTTGTAGTTCTTTTAGGGCTCTTTCAGCAATCTCTAAATCCTTTGAAACGGTACGAGGTCGAAGAGAATGTGCAGTGGATTTTTGTGAGCGACGTGAGGGGCCACGTCGCACCAGCTTTGTGTGAAAGGCTGCCCCGGCAGAATCCCAACCAAAACTATGGTACACAGACGCCAAACACAGTTGATTTGACTGTTTGACGATTTGCTTTTCGAAGTCTGAGAAGTCGTCGGGTGCCTAAAAAAGAGAACCTCGTCCGAGTTCCTGACTCTCCCGATCATCCTCATGTGTCGAGCACCGCCATGTTTTCTAAGGGAGGATAAAAAGCCAGGAGGCGACATCATATTGGACTCCAATTTCCGGTGTTTCAAAAAGAAGGGTCGTAGTGTGTTCGAAATTGCATTAAAAACATGTTTTATAAATGCCGTTCTTAAATGTTATAGAAATGTCACAAAGCTTCTAAATTTCATAATTGATTACGTCACAAATAAAAAAAGCAAGGAGGTGGGAAGCAAGCAAAAAAAAAATAAAAAGACAAACATAAAAAAAAAATGTCCGCTCGTAAAAACATTTTTTTTTTTTTGCGTTCTGGTATTTTCTTGCATGTCTATGATTACAACTTGCATCATTTTTGAGAACAAAAACAAATACGACCCTTGGGATGTCAGTACCCCTTTAAGTTCAGAAGGCGAGAACATTGGTGGAATTAAACTTCACTGAAAGAATAAACACAGGCACAGATATGATGACACGTCTTTCGACTTTCAACTGGTCTTCAGCGAGGTACACATGTCGGCTGTGGACGTGGCGGTGAGCAGGGAGCTCTATGTCAAGGAATCTGGAGACCGGACCTCCCAGTTTGTCAATGATTATGTTGCTCTTCACGACCGTCTTCGGGCAGCTGTTCTCACACAACTCAAAAGGCATTCCTATCTTCACCAGAGAGCATTCTGCGGATGGACTACAGTTTCCTGATTTGTGTGTGACACCCACCCAAACGGCCTCTGCTAGAGCTTAGAACACGATTTCAGAAGCCCGTGCTTCCCTTCATGAATCCCCATTCAAAGAATGTCGAGTTTTGGACTGTAAAAACACTTCTTTCCTCATCTTGCTTGAAATCTTGCTCATACTTTTCTCATTCTAGACTAACCTCCCAACTTAACTGCGTACAGAAAGCTGGCTGCCCTCACGACCTCAATGAAACTTCCCTAAAATTTCTTAAAGGGGCACAGACACATCAAAATCAATTTTTTTTTATTATCTGAAACGACTGAAAACGATGCCGAGACATTACCTTCAAAATTAAAAACTTGGGAATTCAGTATTTGTAAAGTAAAAAAACAATTTCCAAATACCGAATTCGAAGTTCCCACGCGATCCGTGCCGGTGTGTTGATGTCAAATATCGCGGAGTCCTGAGAGTCCACTTTCTTTCACGACTCCGTGCTGTTGCCATCGCGACCCAAAGCGAGAAGGAAATGAGCGGCAGATGAGGGCGCCGGCGGACCGAAAAAAAAAAACGGTTTTGAGCGGTGTCGCCTGCCCAGGCAGCATGCTTTCCAAGGGAGGATACAAATCTAGGAGACAACATCACACTGGACTCCAATTTTTGGTATTTCAAAAAGAAGGGCTGTAGTAAGTTCACAATTGCATTAAATTTTACGATTGCCGTTATTAAATGTTATAGAAATGTCGCCTACAAAGTTTCTAAATTTCATGATTTTTGACGTCACAAATCAAATGAAGTGAGGAGGCGATGAGCGGCAGAGGAAATCACCAAAAATAAAAAAGCGCGCGCGCGTAAAAGTTTTTTTTTTTTTTCAATGCATTTTTTTTTGCATTGTTTTAGACATAAAAAAAAAAAGACAACTTGGGGAGTCAGTGCCTCTTTAAAGACTCTCTCCCCTCCTTCTCTCTCTCCTCCTCCTCCTCCTCCTCCTCCTCCTCCTCCTCCTCCTCCTCCTCCTCCTCCTCCCCCTCCCCCCCCCCACACACACACACGCAATTGCCTTGCCCCAAGAAATTTGTGATCATGCCATATTACCACAGCACATCAAACCGCTTTGGGAGCATGAGCGGGAGGCCGTCGGCAATGACGCTGACTCCCAGCACCCCGTTCTTGTTCATGGTAAGGTATAGTTCTCGGTGCCGCACTGGCTTCTCAACTGCTTGGGTTATTGGGTAGCACGGGGGATGACATAGACGCTTTGCAGCAGCTGTGCATGGATGCCGCCATAACCAACCTTAAATTTTAAAGCGATAGCTTTATGGGCGACACTTTGCAGGAATTTTGGCGTCAGCGTTTGTTGCTGTCTGTAGTTGCGGCGGAGATAGAGAAACCCTTCTTACCTACCCTCATAACGTGAGGAGACAGAAGTCGGATGTCCCCATTGGCCGTGCACAACGTGGCCACGCTGCGCGAAGAGGGAAGATTATGCGTTCCCCCCTCCACTCGTCGCCGAGCATCAACTTCACATCCTTTCCTCACTGCTCAACAACACCGGGGAAACCTGCGCCTTCGCTCGCTTCGTTACTGTCGCTGGCTCTTCCTAATGGCGCCACCGCACTGAGGTTCAACTCCCTTTCAGGAGTGAGCACAAAGAGAATGGCTGGCTTCCGCGGCTCCCGTGGGCGCATACTTTCGACGTGGTCAACCCGCAACGGACGTTTCTCCAATTTCCTGCATCGCTAATTTCATGCTCCGAGCCGCGACGTCTCACTAGTCGTAACCGGCGACTTCACCGTCGACCTTGGCGGCTGCGAGAACAAGTGGTTCCACAGCCTTATCACGGTGGAATTGGGCCTCCGAGTGATGTCTGATGTCGGCGCATCGAAAATGCGCACCGGCAACACCATCGACCTCGCGCTTACGAAGAGCACTGACACTCGCATCCAGTGTCTTGCCTTGGCCACTTACTTCTCCAATCACCGAGCGCTTGTGGCGGTCGTCAGTGGCATCCACGATGGCAATGTGCATGAACCACCTCGCACCTCCGTCCTGACATACACGACGACACAGTTTTGCCCGCATTGCACGAACATGCTACAGTTGTCACTTTCGCTTCTTTGCACATTCAGGGGTGGAACTCATGAAATGTACTTGGGAGCAGCCACGGGAGCAGCTGAAACAGCTGTTTTGGAGCAGGTTGGGAGCAGCTAAAACTACGTTCTGGAGCAGGCTAGGAGCAGCTCAGATCAGTTTTCATTGCACTTCAGCTTGCGTCTTAGACAAGCACGGGAGCAATTTCAATCGTACTTAGCAGAACAGATGAACATGAATGGTTAGGGACCTAGGTAGATGGGATAACAGTGTAACAGATGCGAAAACTTGAAACTTTGTGAGCCTTAATGAGAATCAAAAAGCCAGTACCCTGTTTCTCAAGATAGCGTCCTTGATATTTTCCGAGTGGCTTTCAGCTGCTCAAAATGCAAACCAGCACTGCTTATCGCACAACCCACACGTGCTTGACATAGTGATTATGTGTGCGAACCCCGTGACGTGCGCAAGCAATGGACGTGCAGTTGCACGGAGGAACAGGGCAACAAATTTCGCGTTTATCCTATTGTGCAACTCGATTACGAAGCAGCAGACTACGATTAACGAAGTTATCGTATTTGAAGCGATAAGCAGGAGCAAGGTTAAAGTACGCCGAGCAGATCTATCACTCGCAAAAGAGCTGCTGGCCGGAAAGGTTTCGGATCGGACCGCGTTTCAGTCAATCAAATCACGATTTATCTTGCGAGAATGCGGTTCCAACTTCTAACGATGAAGCACTAAAAGGAATATCTTGCTCATTTGTTTTCAACTGGCTGACGTCCGGATCCCGGGCCGCAGAGCCTCAGGCAATCTGACGCTTAACGACTCGACCTCACCTCAGCCGACTTGCTTAACCGCTTATGGTTGAAGAATAACAATCCAGTCGCAGGTGGCGTGGCGCTTAGAATCCTAGTTTTTTCGCGCGCTTCCGACTCGGGATACACAGGGAGAATAAACAGAACAAAGGATTGCAAGGCCGACCAGGCTTAACGCGCTCATTGTTGCCAATCGAGTCAATAAAACCGAAACCAAGACAAAATAAAAAGTTTCTTGGCGCACGTTTTGCGATCTGGCGCACAATGGCGCGAGGTATTGGCTGTGGCGCAGTTTCTGCAACATGGCGCAGGATGGCGCAGACATATGCGTCTGGCGCAAAATGGCGCAAATGGCGCAGCCGTTCCACCTCTGACATTGTGGGTGAAAAGGGGTGACTTTTTTTGTTTCCTCTTATTTGGTTTACTTCACTTCATCATTACCATAGCAGGCCAGGTTATTGCCATTTTAGATTCTAGTGTTCTTCTCCTTGGCATTGGCCTTTGTGTAGGCTCGTCAACGCCCGTTTCGGTGGCTCAGTATCTCAGTAAGATGAGAGAAGATTGCCAACGGTGGCCGTAATCCAGAGTTTATGTAAAGCGTCTTTAGGCAAGAAATAATTGAGGCATGTGCAATGATGCACATGTCCCATAATGTGTTGTCCCATACTTTCTCTCTCCAACAAAGAAGCCGATTTCCCCCGTCCCCAGTTGGCGTCCTTGGTCTCCCCCTTTCCTGCCTTCGGTACCCCTTGACGACGGACGACCATGCAACACCTCCTAGAAGAGAAGGCGGTAGCGCTCCGAGTGGTTACGTCACAATGTCGGCGAAGAAAGTCCATAGCACAACTACGTGAGAAAATGAGAAAAAATTTCTGGCATCGACGTGAAAAAAAGTTTCTTGTAGAGCGATGCGGGGTGTTCGTGAGCGTTTATCCGACATTAATATATGTTTTAAAAGTGCTGTATTGTACAATTTATTATATATATAATATAAACATAATATACAACGTGCTACCAAGGTGGAAAGTACCAATTTTATATTTATGATTATCCCCGTAACCGCAGGACTACGTGCGATCCCGCAGATCCCCACACTTTTCGAATGAACCGGTCCGCTGCGGCGTTTTCTTTTCTCGTACAAGCTCCGATTCTGGTAAATTTACGTTGTGTGTGAGCTGCTGACTGTCTAAAAAGGAACGCTGAGACTTTCAGAAGGGAAGGAAACTGAAAAAAATCCAGTTATCGCCACAGGGAACGCACGCCAGTGCACGCAAGCAAGAGATGGGTCAACAACGTTAAGCCTCTCACACTGCTGCCACCCGCTGCTCTCGTGTGTGTGTGTGGTTCTTTCGATCCTCCCGACCCGTCGTTTTTTTGTCGTCACCGCAGTCTCGGGTAGGTTTTCTGTGTTCGCTTCATACTACGGCATTTATGTGGATTCGCGGAGCAAGTCCTGCTACGGTTTGAGTGACATGTGTGGCAACTAGCCAACGATGACACTGGTCTATTATCAATAAACCTCTCTTTCAACAAAAATAAGTTTGTGTTCAAATGTTTTCGTCACGGATATTGTGGGACGTATGGATACGATCGACAGGTGAGGAACAACTTATTTACAGGCTTTCTTGGTCATGTGGGACGCAAGTAAAGTGCTGCAGTCGGGTTGTTTTTTTGTTTTTGTTTTTCGTGATAGAATGGCATCTTGTTCGTCGTTATCCGCTTGCGGCTGCGTCGACATTTGTAAATATGCGTGGTAATATTCTAGTTTTCACTGAAAGGTGAATAGCAAGTTTGTGTGATTATACAAAGTGCGTTGTTTGTGCTTATGTGTTTATACTAATGTTATTTTATTGCCTTTACCGCTTTTATACTAGAATCTTAACTTAAAACTTAGAACTGCCTTAGAACAAAATAAGATATTTTGTTCTAAGGCAGCTCGAGCCCATAGGGAGAAGTAAATTAGTTGACTGTAAATAGTAAGTTTAGTACCCTTGCCACACGGAAAAGTTAATATATTTTCATTAAATGATATGGGACTTAATCAAAAGCTGATTTGTCGACTTCATAATGTCATTTAATCGAAATTTCATTACTTTTGCCATGTGGCCAGGGTATGATGCAAGGATTCAGTGACTGCACGCGATAACATCGCTTACATGATCGTTAGTGACACTTGTCAAGCCTTGTCCGGGTTGAGTACGTCTACCTTACTTTTAACTGTGATCTGTTTTGCTGGGTCATCACTGCGTGTCTCGCCATTTTGTCGAAGTATTTCTGTGTAAAATATGCATTCCTAAAGCAATAATTGCATGACTCAATATTTTCTCTTATACGCCTACCTCGTACCATTTCGTACCATTTATTTAGCGGTGCAATATTTTGCCCGTGTAATAAAATATTTTCAAGACCCCTTGCTATGTGCAGCTTTCATTTTAGCTAATAAGACACGTGTATGTGACTAAAAGCGCGTTACGATGGTCGATCCATGCGCTTTGCCTTCGCTTTGCCGAGCCCCCCGATTGCCTTCCTTCGCGACGTCACGAGAAGGGCGCTACGACCTTCTCTTTTACGAGGTGTTGGACCATGCCACCTTTGATGAGCGAGACCCCACCCGAGCAATTTCCCCTTTCTTTCCATCCAGTTCACTCTCTTCCTGCTGCACTTTTTCTTCACTCCTTCCCATTCCTTCGTAACTGCCCCGTGTCAGTGTGTCCGTCCCGGTGCTTATTCTTTCAGTAACATGCAAGTAATTTTAATTCCACATAAGTTGTCCGTAAAAGGTAATCTATAAAGATTCTCTCCACAACGAACAACTTGTCAAACGCTGCTTTGCTTTAACATAGTTTTCATAAAGGTAAACTAAACTCTATCATCTAATTTATGAACTAAAAAACATAAAATCATCTTTCCGTTCAATACCGTGGCTCGTGATCTCACTAAACGGCCAAAGAAAGCCCAGGTGCCATGCAAATTGCTTTTTAGAGACAGGAAGCATTGTTTGATGGTGATGACGATGTGGCAGAGCATTCTGCGAGAGCTACAGATCCTCCAAGCTCTCCACAAAGGAAAGGAATGCCAGAAATTCTAATTTCTTGAGCCAAGCCAAATCCATGCAACCGTGGTTTTCAAACATGGATGCGTCAGAGACCCCTTGGGGACCCGCCAAAGTGATGGGGGACACCCCATGCTAGCGAAGGAAGGCCGACCTACAGTGGGAGAGTATAAAGTAAAACCCCTAATTGCAGTGTGAAAAGGGCATCCTTTACTGTTATGGACAGAAGTGACAAGCATCAAGCAAGAGGATGAATGGATGGATAGATAGTAATGACTGCACGCTTTATAACGGGCAGTAGCTTGTGCCACCTAGCCAAGATCAACAAAAGAAAGATTTTTTTTAAAGAATTGAGGAAGGGGGGGGGGCGGGTGTTGAGGCGAGGCGCAGACCCCAAAAATGGCTTTAACAAGTCTACGGAACCCCATTCATGGTCGTGGGTCAGTACCATAGGCACGCGATTCTCCGCAATGATTTGGAGCAGTTTGCGAGAAGAACAGATCGTTTGAAGCAGCAATGTCGGCAAAAGTGACAGCATGGCGCTGCTGCGCAAGAGGAAAATATTTCTTTCTCTCAAAAAGAAAAAAGTGAAAAGGGGCTGACTTCGCGGATGATTTCAGCAAATCTGATGGCATTGATGCCGACAAAAAAAGCGTTCATGAAGAAACAAATGACGAACAAATCATTAGAAGTTTGCTTTGTTCTTGCTTTCTGACCCCAACCTGCTTTCTTCCGCCCCTTAAACCCGACTGGTCCGGGTGGATCCTGTTGGGTCTAAAAAAGAATGGTTTCTTCCAGCTTTTTGTGTTCAGTGTGTTTGGTTGCAGTAGTACTGGTGTGGAAGAAGGTGTTTACTTTGTGAAAGTAATTGTTTTGTTTTGTTCTTGATGTTGGCTTCCAACCAACTTTCCACCTACCTCCCCCCTACCCCCCTCAATCTTTTGGTTCGTTTGGATTGGGTTTAGGGGAGAATGGTTTCTTCTTATCTCTTGTGTTCAGAGCGAATGTCTCTTTGTGGAATATTCTATTTAAGTACTTTTCAAGTAAAATAGGTTTCACCCGCGTTCGAGACATTTCGAGCATGTGTCGTCCTTTGCTTACCTGCATCCTCGGGGTTGTCTCGTGTCTAACCTTCCCCAGCTCGTTTGTGCCCAGGCGCTTTGTTCATTAAAAGCATTCTCGATGATAATTTCTCAAATTATGAAGACAATGCTGCTTGAAACTCTGTACGCCTGTGCTCACGTCCCAGGAAATGGATGCGTTTCGAATTGTCAAAACTTATGTCCGTGCCAACGACAACAATGTTGAGGTGCAGTTGATGGTTGACCGTGCAAATCGGGTTGTGCTGCACTTCTTTAAAAAAAAAGTGGGAACAGTCCAGACCGAATGATTCCTGGAATTAAAGCTCATTCACGTGCTACCGCAACATATATCTCGTTGCTGTTTGCCGACTTCACAACGACAAAGTTCCCGCGACAACAAGCTTTCTTGCGTGTCCCGTCAATTTCGCCGTAGCGGGTATCGACCGTATTAAAAAATTATGAATACTCAAAAATGACAAATAATGTCTTCAGAATTCTCAGACTTTTTGCTTCAAGCTTCACTGCTTCGCCCCAGGGCTCTCACATCCTGCTTTCGCTGCTATGCACTGGCCGTGCCGAAAGAAACGGCCGACGTGTCTAAGCATTTTGGTTGGCCCATGGTTTCGTCAATTTTTCTCCCCACTGTAGGTCGGCCTTTTTTTAGTCTAGAATAGCACTTTGACCCCCAATGTTAAAGAATGGAGCTACGCTCAAATAAAATGACGTAGTCATTCATTTGCTTGCCATGCTACACTATGTTTTACCCAATACATCTTATTGGGACCACTTCTTTTCTTAAACAAGTTTGTGAAACCTGTTTCCTTTATATAGACAAAGCATAATTTGATTATTTCGGCACAGTAGAACGCGGGTTCTTAAACCGGATCAACCCGGTGTTTCCCCAGAGTGCCCTTGTGGGTTCTTTGGATGTTTTCAACTACATGCTGCCTATGTACGCTGCCTGTTCGTATTCCCACGGGCAAGTTTCTTCATTTTGATGAACCGACGTCAATGATCAGTGGTACGGAGCCGGGCCCAACCTGAAGCCGGTGTTGAGCATAGGGTCCACCAAGTCCTTGACGTCGTTTGTGATCAGCTCTTTGTGGGCTCTGACCAGGAGGCTGATGCACGTGAACACTGCCGGGTCAAGCACGGGGCCCTTCTTCCTGCAAGCCAAAACAAACGTGTTGCAATCCGACTCGTGCAAGGCCCTCAGATAGGAGAATCTGAAACGAAAAAGTATGACATTTGAAGCTTTGCAAGATACGTTTGTCACAGTTAGTCAGCAAAATGTCCGAAACATCCAGAAATGCGGCTCTTCTTGGTAAACAGCCCGCAGTTCCAAAACCTGCCAAGTCAAACACAAAAAAATCTTGCCAAAAGAAAAACAAAAATGCAGACCCTTTTGAAGCAGACCTTCTTGAAGCAGGGACTTTTGTAAGAATCCCTACCTGCAATGTGTAGCTACAGTGTAGTTTGTTAGTATCTTGCCAAGCACATCCCTTAGAATCATTAGGCCTGTTCAGTCTCTCTAAAGTCTTCAGGATCAGTGTAGAAAGTTCAACTCTGTGTCATTCGATTTGGGAGTGAAACTTACTTTGGAACACACATCAGAAGCTCACACCACTAGTATACATCCATCCGAAAGGGTCTTCTTTGGTTAAGGACAGAGTAGTGCTGCCACTATATTGTTTTCACACTTCCACGAATGCTCCGTGGTTTCTTGAGCTACCCAAAACTAGTACTACATTTTCTAAGCAGTAGGGCTTTAGTGCTCCCAGAATGCTACAATTAAAAATAGCTACAAGAAAAAACTACAAATAAAGGCAATGCCAAAACCAACATTCCTATTTCCCTGCATTTTCAAGTTGCACAATGTCACTTGCAGGCACATTACCACATCGGGCAGGCAGTCTAGAAAACAGAGTATGTCCCACACTGTATTTGATGCATCAAGGCAAGCACCGGTGTGGGCTTCCACAGCATTCATTTTACGCTATCAAACTCCTTATAATCAGTCGGAAAGAAGTTTCACTGCCCAAACAGTGAACTTGCACCTGCCACTGGCATCACTTTTCAGTGCTGCCATGTAGAACATTTTAGCCTAAAAAAAGACGGTAAGCACAAAATTTGCAAATTTAATAGCTTTGGAAAATTAAAATATTTTAAGATAATATTTGGTTTACAGTTTGTCCACACCCATTATTCCCTGAAGCCACTTTCGAGGCAAATTGGTTACAATTAAAAATGAGGCTGTGTTTTGGCAATGATTAACTGCAGACTACATCAAAATGCAACAGCATTGTTCATTTTTTTGAAGGCTATACTCTGCCGATTAAATTGCGCCGAACCATGTATAGTGGGTAACTGAGCATTTGCTGGCTGCTCAATTCTTCACATAACCTTTCATTCCAACAGAATGAGCTTGCCTTTCTTTTCCATCCCTAGTCGAACAACCCTTTCCCTTTTGTCAAGCATCTCTTTGGCATGTCGAGAATGGTCCTACTCCGCACGTCGCCATATCTATTCGGCCGTCTCCTCTTTGGAGGGAGCAATGTTGCATGCTTGGTCGAGCGGGCAGCACAAGCGGCTCTCATGCGAAAGAACTGGGCTCAAATCACAGTAGCCCAGTTTTTGATTTTGCTATCTACATCCAAATCGTTTCGTGCTACAGATCAGAATTCTTCTGGGGGGACTGGCCAAAAATAATGTCATCGTATCTAGAAAATAAAGCAAAAAAACGGCGGAGTCTCGCTTTTAGCTCGCACGATAGCAAAGGCCACAGCACGAGAACGCTTGCGGCCTTGAATTATGCTTTCGCAGGATGGACGCTTGCACCAGCAAAGTCTGTTGGCTTCAAGGTGAACAGAGCATACTCACTTAGAGGGGGTGCTGTTGCTGGGCAGGGAGGCCCGGATGACCTCCATCACCCTGGGCAGGTAGGGGATCATGGGCTCCCCCACAGCCACTGCCAGCAGGCCGATGGAAAGGAAGGCCTGGCTGCGCTCACGCTCCCTCCGCAGGCAGGCCAGCAGGTAGTCCATCGTCTCCGGCAAGTGCCTGCCATCCAGAGACACCCCGGGGACAGCTCGCTAGAATCGGTGCCTTAGCTTAGGCCCCGCGAAAGAAAGCCCGCCAAGCCTGGCACACGCGAGTGCTTGACGGTCGACTTCATTTGCCGTTCCACTCGTGGGCTACCTGCAATGGTGCCTTACTTTGCGCAGTCTCAGGCGAGACGCCGCTGCTAGTGAGCCAGCCCAGGAAACGTTCGCTGCTGCGCTACAAAACTACCATGGCGTTTGGAATGCTTCTTCAGCCGGTGCTTTTAGCATCCTACACTGCCAATGCACCAAAGGTGGTCCCAAAGTGGCGAAAAATTGAAATGCGAGACTCGGTGCATTGTGCCGTCGGATGTCACAAACCCCGCCGGTTGGTCGTAGAAGTTTGGGCAAAAAAGACGGGCGAGTGCGAGTGTCGCCGTCATTGCAGCATTCCAACTCCCAACTGCCAAATCTTTTGTGGACTGCTAAGCTGGAGAGAGACCTGCAACTCATATCCATCTCTGCCGTTGTGACTCTACCGGGGCTGTAGGAGGCAAGAGTACGGGGTAAACACACCCGATGGAGACACGTTCTAAGCACCGTATCCGTGCTTCTGCCACGCCATTGTGGGGGCAGTGCGGGCAATTGTCGTGATCTAAGAAGGAGCCTATTGAAGGATCGAGCCTGGAAAATGAACTGGCCCAACACTGCGACCTGCACTAGATTTCGAGTATGTGAAATGCCGTGGTCGGTGGTCCAATAGAGACACCTTCTAAAATTAAAAAGTCCTCACAACCTCGACTTTTAAAACGATAGCTTTTACGGGCAACACTTTGGAGAGATTTCATTCTCGTGAGCTGTCATTGCCGCATGCGTGAAGAAGAGAAATTTTTTTTTCTTTCTCTACTCTCGGCCATACCTTGGCAAACCTCACTCATGAGGGCCCTCACTCACCCTCATCTTCACAGGTGAGGTGAGGGTGAGTGAGTTTCTGAACCAGGAAAATTCATGAGTGTGAGGGTGAGTGAGGGCCGTGATGGCTGTGAGGGCCGTGAGGGCGGTGAGGGCGGTGAGGGCGGTGAGGGCCGTGAGGGCCGTGAGGGTGGTGAGGGCCGTGAGGGCGGTGAGGGGTATGACGCCCATGAGTGCGTGAGGGGCGTGAGTGGTGTGAGGGCGGTGAGTGCGTGAGGGGTGTGAGGGCCATGAGTGCGTGAGGGCGGTGAGCGCATGAGGCCCCCTTCAGATCGAGCATCTTTCTCAGCAATTTTGGTGGTAATGGCGGGTTGTTCTCTAGCTTACCCTAGATCGACACGAATTGCTAAGATCGGGTCCGGTTCGAAATAAGCAAGCAACTCGGAGCAATTCGAATGCGTTTGAAGCGGCTGCATCCAATCAGGGATGCAAAATTTTCACGTGGTACCTCGTGCCGGTGATGATGACACCGAAAGACTTGGTTCTGGTTTGAAATCGATCGTTTTTTTGGAAATAAACCGTTTCAGAAAGGTGCATTAGTATTCTTAACGAGATTTAAATGCACAAAAACACGTTTATAACGCGTAATTGTGTCTAAATAGTGCAAGAAAAATTTTATGATGACGATGGCAAATTGCAGCAAGTGGTTGCTGCGTGTGATCGAGGGGGCCCGTGTTGCTGGTGTTGCGACGTCAAGTTTCTGAACGAAATTGCCCCATCCGAAGCTGGCCTGAGTAGCGTGGGGGCCATCAGTGCGTGAGGGGCGTGAGGGGTGTGAGGGCCGCAAGGGCGGTGAGGCGCGTGAGGGCGGTGAGTGGCGTGAGGGCGGTGAGTGGCGTGAAGGCGGTGAGTGGCGTGAAGGCGGTGAGTGGCGTGAAGGCGGTGAGTGGCGTGAGGGCCGTGAGGGCGGTGAGGGCGGTGAGGGCGGTGAGGGGCGTGAGGTCTATGAGTGCGTGAGGGCGGTGAGGGCGGTGAGGGCGTTGAGGGCCGTGAGGGCGGTGAGGGCCCTGAGGGCGGAGAGTGGCGTGAGGGCCATGAGTGAGTGAGGGGCGTGAGGGCCGTGAGGGGCGTGAGGGCCGTGAGGGCGGTGAGTGCGTGAGGGCCGTGAGGTTCAGTGAGGGTGAGTGAAGGGCTGAAGGTGAGTGTGACTGTGAGGGTGAGGGTGAGTGAGGGGCTGAAGGTGAGTGTAGCTATGAGGGTGAGGGTGAGTGAGGGGCTTAGGTGAGTGTGGCTGTGAGGATGAGGGTGAGTGAGGGCGACCTAAAATGCCGACCTCTGCTCTCGGCACGAGGGACAGGAAGTCGGGACTTCCTGCCGGCCGTGCCGCGCGAAGAGGACGGCCCTGGTGCCCCACCATGAATGGCGTAACGAAGAGAGAATCTCTGTGTCGTCTGCTTGAAAAACTGGTTTTCAAACATGACTCACATTACGCGCAATCCCACTTTGGCAGTATCCAGTTTCTATGCGCAATGTTGAATAATTTGAGAAACTTCCACCGCGCTTACTCACTTACTTCACGGTTCACTGAGCACTGGTGGCGGTCGTCAGTGGCATCCATGACGCCAACCACGACGGCTACGAGAATTAACCACGTTGCACCTTCTTCCTCGACCGTGCTACAGCTCTTGCTTTTGTTTATTCACGCATTGTGGACGAAAAATGTGTTTTTCCAGCTTTCTTCTAAAGAGCCCGACAGTTCCCTCCCCGATGAGCTATGGGTAAGTGGACATGTACTAGGCCTTGTTAAGCAGTGCGCATTATATTCAAGCAAGCACGACAGTATGAGCGTGCCAATACAATATGCTGTACTCGAAACAATAAATGCCAGGACAGGCACATAAAAATATTAAAGCAATGTGTCATCTCTGTCTCATTCCTTGGGTAGTCTAGGCTGGCTCAATTTTATTGGCAATACTCGCGAGGCCCTAGCTCAGTGGTAAAATTATATCAGTTTCACACGACTGATCTACGTAACTTCTTGGACAAAGGGCTCGTATATCAGCCTCCCTGGAAGTTTGGCAAAACTTTTCTAAAAAAGACGTCCCAGTGAAGCCTAGGGGCAAGGGTGCTGTTTGGCCCGACAGTAACATTTGCTTAATTAAAGGATAGTGGCAGATGATGCACTTGCTTTTAGAAAATTAGTTCTTTCCGAAATCCCAAAGGATTTTTCAGACTGCACAATGGCTGCAGTCTCAGTAAACATGACAAAAGCCAGAGAAGGGTCATTCTAATAGTCAATTCCACAGGTAGATCGGGAGTGCGGATCTTATGCTCGCAGATCTGGCTCGAGTTGGTCATCTGCCGTTTATAGATTTATGGCAACACGGGCCCCACGGAGCGCTCGTAATCGCGCCGCAACCACTCTGCCGAAATCGGCTACCGGTCGCCGGAAAGTTCAATAAGTTTATCAAGTTTGAGCTTGGGCAAGCTCAAGCAGTGGCCATATTCTACGGCGGGCAGCCTCCGGCAGGTCACTCCAAAAATGCGAGACCATCCACCGCGAATTGATTTGGAGCGTGCCCCACGGAGCAGGTTTTCTCTGCCCTCGCAGATTTCGGATATCGATCCAGGTCTATTAGCAGAATCCACCGGAACATTGTTTCTGAAGTTCAAGTAGAATATTAGAACCCTAGTCGTGCTGGAATACCTCAGGCCGACCTAAATTGACAAGATTGAGGCCCAAATTTTGACAGAGTCAAATTGCCTTTTAAAAAAATTACACCCGGATTCAACAGAGCCCGAAAGTGAAAACCCTCTTGAAAGTGTCGACGGAACTTGACCAGTCACACTGAGCCATAAAAAAAGGTGGGAGAGAGACGTGTAAAATGGATGCACTCGAGGATGAGACGCAACACTTCCAAACCAATGGCACATGTAGGAAAGCATAGTAACCGGCAAGTCACACCTGTGCCTGCCATAAGCAAGAGGGATGACTTTCTGCGCGTTAAGACGCTTGTTGTAGAAGCTTGTTTTTGATGGCATATTGTTCATTGGGCTTTAGCCAATAAAAATGATTCAGTTCTAGATGGCAAGATGTCCCGGTAAACTCGCAGCAATAGGAATACACAGACACTATTTACTCTTAAGGGCCATCTTGGGGTCCCCACCACCTCCACAAAATCTGATCAATGAAAATAGTTAATTACGCATAGATTCCGTGCGCTACTATGTATTCTTGCTCTTTTTAGGCGCACCATGCGCTATATTTCGTTAAAATGTCATATCTTTGGGTGTAGGAGCCTTAATACAGCAACTATTGCTTGAAAACGCCACAGCCGTTTATACCGAGAGAGCTTGGCCAATGGGTGGAGCTTGTGGCCCGCTAGAACCAGCGGATTTTGCGATAACAGAAAATGGAGCTACTTCTTTGTCTTGTTTATTCCCGAGAAATCGCATAGAGTTCCAATGAGTCAGAGCCACAAAATGGCGGACAGAAGTAGTCATGCCCCGGTTGTCAGACTATGCTGCTGTGGTTGCCACGCTGTCAAGATTTCCTCAAGAAAGGCCAAACTCTCTCAGTATAAACGGCTCTGGAAAATGCCGTCCTACGGTGCCCCCTGGTGTCTGCTCCAAGGCACAGAAAGAGCGGCGCGTCACAATCTTTGATTAGACTTTTAATAGGGAAATTAGCCATTCATGAGTGTAATTTCGAGTTTCTTAGAATGTTTAGAGCCTGCAGAGCGAGTTATCGCCATAAATAGACAATTTCAGAAACCACTTCAGTGCCCCTTTAAGGCACCATGTCATGATACTGTTTGTGTCACAAATATATTTGGCGGTGCAGAAATAAATTTGTAACTGACTCAAACCTGCACAAATCTGTCACTGGGACAAGATGCCAAGGTATGACATTGATTTGTCGGGATTCACGAAGATCTTTATGAGCAGAAGCAATGTGTGTGAAGAAATGAGTACTACTGAGAGGTGCGAAAAACAAAATTTTGCAACTCTGAAGTGCTCATACCTTTTCACAAATCTCTTGGTCTGGAAAGCAGCGAGTCTAGGAATCACAGTATGCAGCACCTGCTGGATGTGCGGGTTGCGCAGCGACCACTGCTTCAGAACTCTCTCGCAGATCTGGGGAATGAGAATCGAACAAAGCACAAAACTGGAGTTATAAACACATCCTTGGTATTTGTTTATTCTTTTTCATACAATAGAAAGGTGGTAGTATTCATCAACACGGGATGCAAACGGGCTCAAACAGCACCACCTCAGACATAAAAGAAGGCCTTAGAAAGTTGCATTCTTGATTTTTCACAGCAGACAGTTTTCGCAGCAATTTAATGATTGCAAAATGTTTAACTAGAAAAGAAAAATAGCTAACACACCAAAAGGGACGTCGGAAATATTCGGGAGAGGGGGGGGGGGGGGGGGGGGGGGTGACGGTGGTGGCAGTATGGGGGAGGGGGAGATTTCCCTCCCACACTCCCATATTGTTTATTTGATGAAATGTCTGTCTGATAGTCTCCCTGCCACCCCTGTTACGTTACCACTGCACACAAATAAATCAATTTATAGAAGTGAATAGCTTGTCTACCCTTGATTGCAGAATTTTGTTCTCACGAAATATTACTAAAGGTTGCGCTTTAAAACAAAGCAGTCAACATTTAGGTCCAACAATACACACTCATCTACAGTATCCCCTCAAACATGCGAGAGAGAAGCACTGAGAGAGAACAGTGCATGGGGTGGTCATGTCTGTAGTCTCCCAATGAATACGTTAGGGACACAAAGTGTGAGGAAGGTGTGTTTCATAAATGCACTCTGAGACTGCAGGTCACTGGGCTGCCTCGCTTAAAATGCAGGCTGCCAATGAAAGCCATTCGTATACTACACTGTCCTTTCAAGCATGAGTGAGGCAAGAATAGAAATACAAAACATGTACCACAATTTCCAGATTCAATACCCTTCCTATAACATTACCTGCACCTCTTTGTAGACAAAACAATGATTTTCCTACAGGAAACACAGAAACATTGCCCGTACACCGGAATTTGCGGCTGCATATTATTTGAGTTCAAAAGAAGTCAGCTGAGAAAAAAAAGCGAGGGTGCTTCATCTCTATGATAAAGCCGAGGTGCACAGGATATCATGTGGGATTTGTTTATGGCCTAAGATTTAGAGGGTTAGAGCGCATTGGTGTACAATTACACTACACAAATTCAACTTTTCCCACTAAATTTAGCGGGGATATTATGTGTTACACTTCTTTTGGAGAGATATTTTTTATGGAACTTAACTCACGCACATATTCTAATCACACTCTAGAAAATTATACACACAATAGAACGAGAGACATCTACCTCATTCGAGGACCCCGCAAAAAGTTATGTTCCGCATTTCTAGCATTCAATACCGTCGCCGTGCGACTAAAACCATTTTTATGGAGGCAGACATGTTTAACGAAGTGGTGGCCTGTGACTAAAACCATTTTTATGGAGGCAGACATGTTTAGCGAAGTGGTGGCCAGCTTCTTCACCTGATCAAACTTCTCCTCGAGCAGACGCTTGCACGTGTTGCTCTCATGGGTAGGGACCAGATGGTGGCTGTGGTGCAGACGCAGCCGGTGGCGCTGGTGCCTCTGGGTGTGGCCTGCCATGAAAAGCCCCTGTGCCCGATGGTAGCGCAGCAGGGCGGTCCGGGTGCCTCCCCGGGGCCGCTGCTGCTGCATCTGCTGCAGCGACCTGAGCGAGCGGGTGAGCGAGCTACCCGGCCCTGCGCCCCCCTGCAGACGGTGGGCCTCGTGCCGTGCCTGCTGAGAGGTCACCTCCTCCAGCTCCTGGCGGACCTTCTCGCCCTCCACGTTGCTGCACCGCAGCAGCTCGTTGATGACGAGCAGCGAGCCGTGGATGCGGTCCTCACGACCGACCCCCTTCTGGGCGACCGCGGCCTCCTCGAAGCCAGCCTCGGCCTCTTCGTAGCACTTCAGGTACCAGGGCGGGTTCTGCGTGTCCTTGGTCTCTCGCTGGGCCGTGACCACCAGGGCGGCCCGGAGCGCCAGCACGGCGCCCTCCCGGATCATGGGCTTGGGGTCGCGCACTGCGTTGAAGATGCAGTCGAAGACGGGCGGCACGTTCTGGAAGAAGACGGTCGGCGTGGACATGGCCAGCTCCTGGAGGATTAGCACGGCGGCGTGGCGCTTGGCTTCGTGGCGCTCCTCGTTGAGCCATTCGATGGCGCGGTCCTTGACGAAGTCGGCGTATTCGGCGGTGAACGTGCTGCCGACGGTGGTGAGGCGCCCGATAGCGTACGCAGCCAGCTCGGTGACAGTCGTGTCGTTCGATGGCAGAATGTTACGCAGGTAATTGGCGAAGCGGCTGATGCGGGCACCTGTGTTGCCGGAGTCCACCTCGAGGAGGTTCACTGCAGCGGTGGCCAAGGGGAAAGGAAGCGTTACGATTGACTGTTCCAAACAGCCGAAAATAGCGAGATGTCACTTGAGGCCCGCATAAAGGCTTGTAAGGGCACACTCAAAGCTCTAGCGGTAAATCGTGCGCAAGTAATGATGTACCCAAGTATGCTCATACGACTTTCGTGGAACAATGAAAAATTTCTTCGATGGTTTCAACAAAATTTAGAAGAAAACTGTACTTAAGGTAAGCAAGACGAAATTATACGCAAAAAAATTACACTGAATCAGAATTTGTGATTAATTTGATTCTTGCTGAACATTATCTAGACGTGCATCCTAAGTTGAACCGAGGCAGTACAATATCCTCAATAGACAGCTCTAGCGTAGCACGACCGCAGGCTAACGTACGAAGGGGCACTGCTAAAGGAAGTTTACGCCGACACTTCGAAGCATGCTCTCAAGCATGGGTGGTAACACTGCTAAAGCACATTAATAACAGAAAGATGTCTGCTACTACTTTGAGGTTTTTCCAGGAGTCTCTTCTTCAGTAAAGTTGTGCTCCATTTATGCAAATGCTTTACATTCCACACCATTACATTAACAAATTAACAAATCCCATCTGTTATACTGAGTCTGACTATGTAAATGGAGAGCATATTTGTTTTTGACTCAAACAACTCAGTGAGGCAGAAATCTGCTTTACTGAGAGCTACCCTTTCCAGGAAGTTCTGCGACCAATCTACGTAGCTACATCTCCCAGTGTGCAAAAAGAAGCATGTATACACCCTTTTCCCTAAGCTGATGGTGTGGAGGATGCTATGTGTCCGGTGGACCAGTCATATGTCTCTCTTTCGCTATGGGGCCATACTCCTGCCCATACCACGCATAGAAAGTAAAGCCAAGTGATGAAAGGGAGGCGGTTGAGTAGCACGGCGAGCGCGAGCTCCCATTGCACCGTCCCCTTAAAGGCAAATTATGTTGCATGGCACTGATGTTACATCAGTGGCCATTGCAAGGGACCTTGCTGCTGTGTGCACACGTTCTGCAGAAGATATTTGACACTATGAAATTTGTTTTTCCTGGCAAGTGAGAATGACCACTGGTACGGTGCAATGACAACACATCTTTTAAGACATGTCCTCGAAAGACGGCTGGACACCCTTCCAGGGTCATCCAAGATCATAGACGCTCAAGCGGCCAACTCGGCGAATGATGGTCCCACACACCGATGGCCAGGATGCCGCCCTTCTTCTCGTTGGGGTCGGCGCTCGAGACCATCTTGAAGATGTGGTGGTGGAACTCCTCCATGAAGGACGATACGTCCTCCGTGCTCATCTCCCGCAGCTCCGTGGTCACGTAGTGGTGCAGCTCCTTGGCCGTCTTGAGCCGCACGTCCTCGCTGCGGCTCTTCAGGCCCGCCACGAACTGGCTCACGTGGGCTATCATGTTGGACTTGATCATGGCATCTGCGCCACAACCGAGGGTTCAATAGCGAGATTGAGACGCGCAGGCCAGGCGGGCGCAAGCCGGCGATACCAAGCCCGCGCGGACGCCCAACTACGACTCTTGTTTCATAGCCATAACGCTAGAATAAAACACGTTACAGTCACGAAAAGACAGTGGGAAGCCGCGTGCATAAACGGGGGACGTTTGGGGTGGTTGGCTTCCTCTGCTGCGCATGCAGTCGTGAGCACTTTCGCGTAGTTCAAAAGCTCTGAGGCTTTCTTAACATTCTCGAGCAGTTGTGCGACGGCAGTATTTGCGACACAGAAAGTTAGCCAGACGACGTACGTTTAGAATACAGTACGCCAAATCAGTTTCGATTTCGCTGCTTCGCAGTCGATCGATTCTACGAATACATAACGGTAATACCGCGATTGCGGCACATTTTTGGTATTACGTACCGTCTAGAGAGTGGAGATCAGCTTAGAAATCGAAAACACTAAGAGCAACGATTTGCCCGGAAGGTTACATGTTGGTAAGCACGCCAAGAGCTCGCACAACATTTAACAAACTTTTCACAATAAAATTTGCGGCGCCCTCGATGTAATCTCAGGGTTGGCAAGCGAACCGAGCGAACAGCAAGCGTTGTGTAAACGGGGCGTAAAAACGAGTTCACTTCAGGTGTAATTTTCTGTCCGTTAATGTTACTTAAATTTATAGGGCTAAAATTAACAAAAGAAAGTGCCATAAGACCGAATATTAGTAAACAAATAGTCTGCCCTAAAACCGTAACCAAAGTATAGCTTTTCGTTAGTGGCGCTAGTAGTTTGTTTACAATTTGTAGCAGACGATAGGCGAATTACCGCGGCTCCGTGGCTCCTTGTTCCCGGTTAAATAATCGATACAGCCGGGGAAAATACCGCTGCAATGGCCGTCTTGTTTCAAATTCTTCCAGTGAAGGTAGCTTTGATTCAGATATTATTAAACGCGTGGTTTGTCCACTTTGCTTCGTCGACAGAGCAGAACGCAGGTAAGCTAAACGGCTGCACCCCTCACCGCTGCAGAACCGACATTTCATGCTTCTTTTCCTCTTTGTTCGCGCACGAAGAAGCGTGTCTGGCGACTTCAAGTTTGAACGTAGATCTTGTTAGTTAAAACAGAAATACTATTTTATGCTCGTGGTGGGAGTTGTAAAATGGAAATAACGAGGAACGCAGCAACGCTAGAGCATTATAATTAAATTATTAAGCGCGAACAGACAGTGTACCCAGCAAAGCATTGCGAGCTACCAGGGAGATGGGTCGTATCTGAAAAAATCGGCCTTTTAGAGAACTTCTTCGGAGAAAAATTCGCACCAAAATATTTGTGGAAAACGATAAACCGGGGTTCGGTCATTCATCTATGCGGAACACATGTTCGTCTGCTTCTTGCACAGGGGTTTCGATGATGTCAAAACACCAAACTCTTACTGGCTGAATAAAAAAAAAAAAAAAAAAAAAATAGCGGGTAGATCTTAAGGCACCTAGCCTTGAGGTTTACCCACTATCATTCCAATCAAAGCCAATCAGAGCTCGGCTTGCCCCTCCCTTCCCTCTAAATTTACTTCTATCTCCCCCCTCAACCCCCCACCTTTCTTCCCCCAAAACCCCAACCCCCCTGTGAGCCAATAACCACAATGCGCCCTGTGCGCGTACACGATTGGCCCTCTCCTCCCCCCCCCCCCCCCCCCCCCCCCTCAACCTTCACTACAACGCCTACACACACACATGCACAAAAAGCAGACAACTTGCCCTCCGCATATGTAAACGGGAATTGGCCAACTCGTCGAAAGCCGACTCGTCGACGGTCAACTTGCATCTGACGTCATCCGCGGACATGCCAGTATTTTATGCGCCGCAAGCGTTCGGAGTGTCCGTGTTGGTTTCGCATCGCACAAGTTGTAGTTCGAAGAAACAAACTGAGCCGTCAGTACCCAGCAATGGCGACACTTGCGAGCTATAAGACAATTCGTCGAAGGGCAACTTGCCCTACAACGAAATCTGTCGAAGGGCGGTTCGTCGAATGGGTTGAATGACGGTCCGAGGTAAAAGTTCGTAAATTGTTGTTATCTTTTTACCTTTTTTTGCTTCGTGTTTGGACAACGGACAGCGCTCTTGCTAGGTTATAACTTATAAGACCGAAAGAAAAATCAGGGCAGAACGTTGAGACAAGTTGAGAAATGTGTCATCTCGGGATCGTTCTCGTGTTCCTTTTCTTTATTGATTTTTCTAATAAGCCGCCACAGACTTTCACCGCGAAGCGGCGTGAATGGGTGGGCCGAGTAGGTTAACACGAGCTCCAGTGGTACATGCGCGACGTAGTGACCGCCCCCCACTGCACAAGGAAAACTGCAAGTTGTTATCTTCCACAAGAAAGAGCACACTAGAGGTCAATTACCGTGCAGCGGTTTTACGGATTACCATAGGACAGTATTTTCTTTAAAATATTGGGACAAAAATAATATATTTTGGCCCTGAAAAAGCGACGACCAATTTTCCTCTTCCACGAGTTCCCCTTCGACGAGTTGCCTTCGACGAATGGGCTGCCGATGAGTTGGCCCTCGACGAGTTGGTTTAGACTTCAAGTAAGTAGGACGGCATGTGATCGACGGCCTAAGGGCGTAGTTACATTCCGTCTTACAAATATTTAGGTGTATATATATCTTCAGACCTGTCCTGAAAAACTCACACCAATTACGTTATTAACAACGCAAACCGCACGCTTGGTTGCCCGACAAGTAACTTTTCGCAGACTCCATCTTCATTAAAACTGCTTCTTTATAAAACATTAGTTCGATCAAAACTGGAATCTGCAAGTCCAGTCTGGGACCCTGGCATTGAAAGTTGCATATCTTCACTTGAAGCCGTACAAAAACGTTCAGCATGCTTCATACTGTAAAACTATCATCGTACATCAAGTGCAACATTTATTGAATCTAGTCTTTCACTGCTTGCTCCAGCAATTCGCCGCACGATCTTTTGTTTGCGTTAATTTCATAAAGTATATTGTGATAATCGTAGCCTAAAAAACAAACAAACAGCAAGAACGACTAATAAATGAACCAGTCTATGTCTCGTCTCGCTTCGACCACATCTACAAATTTGGCACATCCACTTGTCAGTCTAATTACATTTTTTTATCTTTCATCTCTAGAACGCCTCGCGAATGAAACTGCCTTCCCCCATCCATTGCGACCATCGCAGATTTGGCCCGTTTCACACTAACAAGTTTTTAATAATGTATTGAGCCGTGCTAACCACACTCTAAAAAAAAAAAAAAAAAAAAAAAAAAAAAACCGTGCGCCTACTTTTCCGCAGAACACTTGGAAAGCCAGTCACCATAACTCACGGAGGCAGCTCAGCGAATGTCGATGTCGAAACATATGATTATATATATAAAAAATGCAGTCTGAGTTGTGACACTAAACAATACAAGCGTGACGTTTTGCATTGCTCAGTGTCACAACTCAGACTGCGTCTTTTGGTCTAATCATTTGTTTCGGCATTGTGATTCGCTGAGCTGCCTCCGTGAGTTGCGGTGATTGGCTATTTAAGTGTTGTTCGGGAAAGTAAATTCATGGGCTTTTTTCAGAGTGCATTGTTTATTACGTTTGTACTTTTGTTTCCAAAGCTCCTCCGTAATGCTTCGGCCCTGAGAGTACAATAAACAAATAAATAAATAAATAAATAAATAAAATGTGGTTTTCTTAGTGTAGAAGCTTTAACTGGGGCGTAATCGTGACAAATAAAATGATTAAGAAATACGGCGATCTGCGTCAATCGGACGTGCCTACACACGTGTATATATGACCATACAACCCTTTTCCCAACAAAACCTCAAAACAAAGGAACAAATAAGTACCGGGTGTTTGAGAAACAATTAATCGATGTTCATATCTTTTCAGCGCAAAAATAAGGTACGCAAAGCCAAGCGCTCAGTTTCCCCGCCCCAAATGCAGCGCTGGCGGATGGGACCCAGACATAAAGGGAATTTTTCCGCTAAATTTAACAGGGAAATGTTTCCGCCAAATTTTGTGGGAAATCTTTTCTGCTAAATTTAGCGGGGAATTTTTTCAGCTAAATTTAGGGCGGAATTTTTTCTAAATTTAGCGCGGAAACTTTTCCACTAAATTTAGGAATTTTTCTGCTAGATTTAGCAGGAAAATTTTGCCGTTAAATTTAGCGGGGAATTCTTCCCGCTAAGTTTAGCGGGAAATTTCTTTTTTTGCTAAATTTAACGGGGAAGTTTTTATGCTAAATTTAGCGGGGAACGTATTCTGCTAAATTTAGCGGGAAATTTTTTACGCTAAATTTAGCGGGGAACGTCTTCTGCTAAATTTAGCGGGAAATTTTTTTCCGCCAAATTTAGCGGGAAATTTTCCCGCTAAATCAAGCGGGGAATTTTTCCGCTAAATCAGGTGGGGAATTTTTTCCGCTACATTTGACGGTATATCCATGCCTTTTGTAACGGTACCCCAAACAACTTTTTTTTTCATGTTGTCTTAATAAAATACATTGATTGATTGATCGAAGAATTAAAACGAGTCTGTTTAAACGTTGTTTTACGCGTTACTTCTCAAAAGTAACGAGATGCATTTACTTGTTACTTGGCCTTAAAATTAACTAGGCACGTTACTAGTTCTTTTTCTGAGGAATTAGCGAAATACGTTACTCATTACCGAAAAAAGTAACTACGTAGATGTTACTCGTTATTAGTAACGCTTACGTACATGTCTGCTCGATGGCCTTGAACATCGAGCATCGCGAAGGAGGACCCCTTCGTTTGTTCCCACTCAATGAAAAAATAAAAGGGTTAAAAAGGTTTCGAAATTGCCAGTCATTTGTTTCTAATTTATTTGCAGTTTCAGTCCCAGTAACTTTTTGGGAGGACAATAAACTAACTCTATGAAACGGGAGTCAACATCGCCATCGTCGTTTTTGAATGACATTTAAAAATTCAGAAATGCGCGATCTTAAATTTTTAA